GAGGTCTATGACGCACGGGAGTCCAACGTATTTCCCTCCAGAAGCCATGAGAAAGTTGTCCGGCTGCGGGGACTGTGCGGGGGGATTTATACTAACGTTACTGTCTGTACTTACTGGTGGCACAGACGCTGTTTCTTCCTTTCCTACACTGAAATTACCCTTGCCTAACGATTGCGTCTGAAGCTGGGCTTGTAGCACAGCTATTCTCGCCGTAAGGCGATCGTTCTCCTGTATATTATGAGTACAGCGACTGCAATTAGAAGACATCATGTTAATGTTACTACTTAGCTTCGGCTGTTGAAGATGTTGACGAACCATGTCCAGATAAAGCGTCCGGAGTGAAAAAGTTGAATGAGGGAAAAAAGTTGCGATGGAAAAAAGGAAAATAAAGTAAAGTTGGCAGCAAAAACGCACAGGAAAATGACTCTTCTGTCTCGGGATAAAACGTCCAGGGTGAAAAAGTTTAACGAAAAAAGATGAGTGAGGACAAAACTAAAAAGTTGGTAAATTTGTTGAACACAGAGATTGATTAAACGTTTATTAAAAGTAAAACGTGAATAGTTTGGCAGGTAGCCAAGTAGCAACAAACAGCACAGCAGCACGGAGACAATGCGGAAGCGAGACGGAAGCCATAAGTAACACACAACCTTCTTACTTATTATCTGTGGTGGAAACTCAAAGTGTGAAAAGCACAGGTAAGGTAAGCCATTGGAGTTAAACCTTTTGTTTGTCCTCCGCCTCCTTAGCGACCTTAGAGAGGAAGAAGGGGAAGAGGAGAAGGAGACTGGTGGTGGACCAGGCCAAGGAGCTGTCCAACCAGGCCATCAGGGAGCAGCTCACTGACTATTCAGATCTCACTGCCCCATTGGACATAGCCCCACCCACCCAACAAATCATGCAATGGAAAGAGAGTGGAGGGGTGGACAGGCTCTTCAGTCACCTCTGTGCCCCTGTCATTCATCCACACCTTCAACAGGTAAGCAGGGTGTGAAATCAACATTGTCCCATCAGTCAAATGTAGGTTGACACATTTACCTTTAATGTTTATCAATTAAAATTGTATTGAATGGAATTAAGAAATATATAAATATTAGGACGAGCAATGTCGGATTCCGGAGTATAAATATACATACTGTATGTGATGGGATGTATAGACAAGACGGACAGTATATGGATAGAATATGTAGTATATCTTATAAAGTGGCCGGTGTTCCATGACTACATAAGTAGGGCAGCAGCCTCTAAGGTGCATGGTAGAGTAACCCGGTGGTAGCCGGTTAGTGACAGTGAATAAAGTTCAGGGCAGGGTACTGGGCGAAGGCCGGCTAGTGGTGACTATTTAACAGTCTGATGGCCTTGAGGTAGAAGCTGTTTTTCAGTCTCTCAGTCCCAGCCTTGATGCACCTGTACTGACCTCGCCTTCTGGATGGTAGTGGGGTGAACAGTCTGTGGCTCGGGTGGCTGAGGTCCATGATGATCTTCTTGGCCTTCCTATCTCATCTGTTACACTAAAAAGTACAGGTTTATAATGTTGTTCCACCTAAGTCAAGCCTACAATATATAAATATTGGATTCCACACTTAAGTGAGGAAATTGAGTTCACATCTGTAACCAGTGATGTATAGCAGCAGTGCATTTTGATTCAACAACTGCCCCCATTCTGCCTCTGCAGCTCTATTCCAGGGATGTGTTTCGGGGGAAAACAGATGGGGTGGGCATTGAAGATGACCGTGAAGAGATGAGAGACATGAGGGTAGGAGGTCATATTCACAGAGAGCAACACCATGTTATAGAAATGATTGTCTGAGAATACGAGTCATTACATTGCATGAATTTGGGAGAATTGAATTCCCCATTACCTTTGAACTGTTATGTTTCCTATTTTGGTGTATTAATTTTGTGTGTGTCTGTACAGTGGACACTGATGTGAGCGACCTGCCCAGTGAGCTCAGTGTCCTGCATGAGACTATGGGTCCTGAGAAAATGGGACACGATGTGGAGCTCACTGCTCTGCACCACCATGGGAATGACAACCCACCTGAGGACATCTGGGACACAGTACATGTAAAGAGCTCAACATGAACACAAAATATGCTTTTTTCACCATTAAAAAGTGTTTATATAACCTTTAGTCAACCAGGTTATCTCATTGTCTATACATTTGTCTGACAACATTCCCTGTTCCTCCTTTCTCTTTTTCTTGTCTCTCAGGATGAGAGGAGATTTGAGGTTTCTCACCCTGAGCTTCCTTCTGAGGATTCCATGCATGTTCATCCTTCTGTAATGGAGAGGGAATCTCCATCGAATGTGACACGGAACACACAGGTGCTTTCACATGCATTGAATATACACACAGAAATACATACACACAAGCTTACACACAGAAAAGCACAAACGGTCATCATGAGTGTGGTGTGATGTACGGTACACTCTGTAATGTGTTGTTATCCCAAACTACAGGCTATGGTGGACAGCCAGGATGACTTTGAGGAGAGGAGGATGACCACCCGAGCACAGAAACTACTAAACGCTCTCAAAGTAAGAACCCAGTACCCCTATGCAGCAGGGCATCCATTCTTATCCTTTGTCAGCTTGCTAGCTTGATTACAATCAGACCCAGAAATCTGCAGAGTCACAGATGATAGGGATTTAAAAGATTAAAAGGCTAGAGCAGGATTGGGCAGGATTAGGGGACAGTCGGTGGAAATTAAATTGCTGCATTGTGCAATTGTGTGTTGTGTTAAAACAAACGGATGGGATTTTCCCTGCTTTCCTGACATTTATCCTTCATATAATAAATCAGAAACGGGGCTATAAACAAAATTCTGATTGTTCTATGTTGTCCTGATGACTTCCCTAAACAGATTCAGAGCTGCAGCAGCAACGCCATGTTCAGTCTGCAGATGTTGTGTGAGAGGAACAGTCGCTCCCAGGCCTCAGCCACCTTCTTTTGCCTCCTGGTGCTGAAGAAACAGCAGGCCCTGGACCTGCACCAGAGCGAGCCTTACGCTGACATTATAGCCACACCTGGACTCAGGTTCTAAGAGGCGTAGAGGAGGACTCGTAGTGGAGGAAGAGGAGGAGGTTTTGATATGAAGACGCCTGCTAATTGTGCCTTGTTCATAGACTCAATGTTATCTGTCAACAACTGCACAAAACTCTAGCGGTCTAGATAGCCTCGTCATACATGGACCTTAGGAGGGTAGCATCTCAGAGGATGGACACTAATTAAGAACTGATTACACCAATAAATATCCTTTTGATAATTTACCAAACTGGGTTGTGATATACAGCACTTACCAGCACTAATGAGATAGTTATGGCACCTCTGTATCTCCCAGGACCCAGACCCAAGTTAGTCACTCCCTTTGTGAGAAAGCAGGGCTTGCTACAAGACATCATTTGGACAGGGTTTTTGCTCATTGGGTCAGAGTAAAGGTTTTGGAATGTTCTGTTATTGTTTTGTTCAAGAGCTTTAGGTTTAATTTACTTGTTTGAATAAGATGGTTGTGTTGTTATTGTTCATTATGCCGACAGACTAGGATTAGTTAGATTTACCAATTTCAGTAATTTAGTAATGGCAGTTTTAGTTCAGTGTTTTTAATTCAGCAATTCTTTTTACTGGTTACATTTTTTTTTTATTCTTAACGATCTGTAAATAGAACAGTGAATCTTATTCAATGAAATGTTTAAGCAGCCTTCTTCAATGTTTGTAAAGTATGTATATAAAGTCTCAATTAAAAGAAGTGCAAGTTCACCATAGAATGATGTTGAGCTAATACTTTTAAGAGTAATGAGGATACAATGGCATGGATTTTAATTAATCTATTAAAAAAATTACATATTACAGTTGAAGTCGGAAGTTTACATACACTTAGGTTGGAGTCATTAAAACTTGTTTTTCAACCGCTCCACAAATGTCTTGTTAACAAACTAAAGTCTTGGCAAGTCGGATAGGACATCTACTTTCTGCATGACTCAAGTAATTTTTCCAACAATTGTTTACAGACAGATTATTTCACTTACAGTGAGGGAAAAAAGTATTTGATCCCCTGCTGATTTTGTACATTTGCCCATAGACAAAGAAATGATCAGTCTATAATTTTAATGGTAGGTTTATTTGAACAGTGAGAGACAGAATAACAACAAAAAAATCCAGAAAAACGCATGTCAAAAATGTTATAAATTGATTTGCATTTTAATGAGAGAAATACGTATTTGACCCCTCTGCAAAACATGACTTAGTACTTGGTGGCAAAACCCTTGTTGGCAATCACAGAGGTCAGACGTTTCTTGTAGTTGGCCACCAGGTTTGCACACATCTCAGGAAGGATTTTGTCCCACTCCTCTTTGCAGATCTTCTCCAAGTCATTAAGGTTTCGAGGCTGACATTTGGCAACTCGAACCTTCAGCTCCCTCCACAGATTTTCTATGGGATTAAGGTCTGGAGACTGGCTAGGCCACTCCAGGACCTTAATGTGCTTCTTCTTGTGCCACTCCTTTGTTGCCTTGGCTGTGTGTTTTGGGTCATTGTCATGCTGGAATACCCATCCACAACCCATTTTCAATGCCCTGGCTGAGAGAAGGAGGTTCTCACCCAAGATTTGACAGTACATGGCCCCGTCCATTGTCCCTTTGGTTGTCCTGTCCCCTTAGCAGATAAACACCCCCAAAGCATAATGTTTCCACCTCCATGTTTGACGGTGGGGATGGTGTTCTTGGGGTCATAGGCAGCATTCCTCCTCCTCCAAACACGGCGAGTTGAGTTGATGCCAAATAGCTCCATTTTGGTCTCATCTGACCACAACACTTTCACCCAGTTCTCCTCTGAATCATTCAGATGTTCATTGGCATTCTTCAGATGGGCCTGTATATGTGCTTTCTTGAGCAGGGGGACCTTGCGGGCGCTGCAGGATTTCAGTCCTTCACAGCGTAGTGTGTTACCAATTGATTTCTTGGTGACTATGGTCCCAGCTGCCTTGAGATCATTGACAAGATCCTCCCGTGTAGTTCAGGGCTGATTCCTCACCGTTCTCATGATCATTGCAACTCCATGAGGTGAGATCTTGCATGGAGCCCCAGGTCGAGGGAGATTGACAGTTATTTTATGTTTCTTCCATTTGCGAATAATCGCACCAACTGTTGTCACCTTCTCACCAAGCTGCTTGGCGATGGTCTTGTAGCCCATTCCAGCCTTGTGTAGGTCTACAATCTTGTCCCTGACATCCTTGGAGAGCTCCTTGGTCTTGGCCATGGTGGAGAGTTTGGAATCTGATTGATTGATTGCTTCTGTGGACAGGTGTCTTTTATACAGGTAACAAGCTGAGATTAGGAGCACTCCCTTTAAGAGTGTGCTCCTAATCTCAGCTCGTTACCTGTATAAAAGACACCTGGGAGCCAGAAATCTTTCTGATTGAGAGGGGGTCAAATACTTATTTCCCTCATTAAAATGCAAATCAATTTATAACATTTTTGACATGCATTTTTCAGGATTTTTTTGTTGTTATTCTGTCTCTCACTGTTCAAATAAACCTACCATTAAAATTATAGACTGATCATTTCTTTGTCAGTGGGCAAACGTACAAAATCAGCAGGGGATCAAATACTTTTTTCCCTCACTGTATAATTCACTGTATCACAATTCCAGTGGGTCAGAAGTTTACATACACTTAGTTGACTGTGCCTTTTAAACAGTTTGGAAAATTCCAGAAAATGATGTCATGGCTTTAGAAGCTTCTGATAGGCTAATTGACATCATTTGAGTCAATTGGAGGTGTACCTGTGGATGTATTTCAAGGCCTACCTTCAAACTCAGTGCCTCTTTGCTTGACATCATTGGAAAATCAAAAGAAATCAGCCAAGACCTCAGAAAATAAATTGTAGACCTCCACAAATCTGGTTCATCATTGGGAGCAATTTCCAAACGCCTGAAGGTACCACGTTCATCTGTTCAAACAATAGTACGCAAGTATAAACACCATGGGACCACGCAGCCATCATACCGCTCAGGAAGGAGACACGTTCTGTCTCCTAGAGATGAACGTACTTTGGATGGCTTTGGTACTTTGCAAATCAATCCCAGAACAACAGCAAATGACCTTGTGAAGATGCTGGAGGAAACAGGTACAAAAGTATCTATATCCACAGTAAAACTAGTCCTATATCGACATCACCTGAAAGGCCGCTCAGCAAGGAAGAAGCCACTGCTCCAAAACCGCCATTAAAAAGCCAGACTACGGTTTGCAACGAAGAACACCATCCCAACCGTGAAGCACAGGGGTGGCAGCATCATGCAGTGGGGGTGCTTTGCTGCAGGAGGGACTGGTGCACTTCACAAAATAGATGGCATAATGAGGAAATAAAATTATGTGGATATATTGAAGCAACATCTCAAGACATCAGTCAGGAAGTTAAAGCTTGGTCGCAAATGGGTCTTCCAAATGGACAATGACCCCAAGCATACTTCCAAAGTTGTGGCAAAATGGCTTAAGGACAACAAAGTCAAGGTATTGGAGTGGCCATCACAAAGCCCTGACCTCAATCCTATAGAACATTTGTGGGCAGAACTGAAAAAGCATGTGCGAGTAAGGAGGCCTACAAACCTGACTCAGTTACACCAGCTCTGTCAGGAGGAATGGGCCAAAATTCACCCAACTTATTGTGTGAAGCTTGTGGAAGGCTACACGAAACGTTTGACCCAAGTTAAACAATTTAAAGGCAATGCTACCAAATACTAATTGAGTGTATGTAAACTTCTGACCCACTGGGAATGTGATGAAAGAAATAAAAGCTTAAATAAATAATTATCTCTACTATTATTCTGACATTTCACATTCTTAAAATAAAGTGGTGATCTGAACTGACCTAAGACAGGGAATTATTACTAGGATTAAATGTCAGGAATTGTGAAAAACTGAGTTTAAATGTATTTGGCTAAGGTGTATGTAAACTTCCGACTTCAACTGTACATACATCACTGTTGCCCTGACCTGAATTTGTTTTGGTCCCAAACACCCATGCCCCTTGTAAATACACATGTTGGCAAGATACTACCATCAGACCATCCCCAGATTCCCCACCATTGTTAGGCGTTAGATAATTGCCGAATGATGCGCCATGATCCATTGTCTCTTTTAAGAGAATCCGATGAGTATACGCCAGGGTTCTTCAGTTCCGGTCCTGGAGGGCCGAAACACCTCTGTTTTTCATCCTCTCCTTCTAATCAGGGGCTAATTCAGACCTGGGACACCAGGTGAGTACAATTAACTACCAGGTAGAAATAAAAAACAGAAGTGTTTCGGCCCTCCAGGACCGGAATTGAAGAACCCTGGTATACGCAATTGCCTAAAAATCTTCTTCATGGCAGGTTCTCCGACCTGTTTGAAGCTAGCCACAATAAGGATTAGCCACAATAGTGGAATTTGCGGTTTTGCCTTCGAAATAAAAGGCTGAAACCCCATTTCATGGACTGAAGATCCATAGTTTAGGCTGTATGTACATTGCAATATGAATGTTCTTTACTCACAATAGTATTGGGGATTCATTATTCTCCTAAATTGATGGGATGACTAACTTAGAAAGAATGCATTCTTGACTGGGCTAATGTAGGTTGTGACACCTGGCAGGCTGTGATTGATGTGAAGAGCTGTTTTAGGGGGTAAAATAAGATAAGGATTGTGTCTCCAAATGCTAGACTATGCTGGTTCTTTGTGATCTGTGAACCTTCCTTGGACGTAGGAATGATGTCTAAGGGAGCTGGCTCTTCTCACTATGACAGGTTGTTATGATAAACTTGTGCCTGGCTGAAGTGTGCAACAAATGGCGCCGAGGAGATGGGACCAACCCCTGAACCAACGGATTGGCTGAGTAAAGTTTAAACCACGCTCAAGTCTTTACTCTAATTGGCCAGCAGAGAAGTGGGAAATTCCCTCTGTCAGAGTATTTGAGTATTGGATCTGCAACAATGTTTTTAGTTAATAATAATAATAATACACCATTTAGCAGACGCTTTTATCCAAAGCGACTTACAGTCATGCGTGCATACATTTTTGTGTATGGGTGGTCCCGGGGATCGAACCCACTACCTTGGCGTTACAAGCGCCATGCTCTACCAGCTGAGCTACAGAGGACCACAGTTCTCTGAAGTGCCCTGCGAGGTATTTCAAAGAGCCCGTATATACGAAACATCATATTTACCATTGAAGGTTTTTGCATTAATTAAAATAACTAGTATATCTTAGAAGTCGTGTTGACCTCTTTTGTTCCTAATACCAGATTTGAATTGACGCAACTTTGACAATAGGCTGAATAGTGAGGTGATTTCCCACAGTTAAAGTTCCTTAATATGAGCTATGACGCTAATATTTGTGTCAACTTCAGAATTGTAATCCGTGGATGTCACTGAGTAGGTTTACACCTGTGCAATACACAATTTCATGGACCCAAGATCCATAGGTAAGTGTACAGTGCATTTATGCCCCCAATGCAATTCTAAAGTCTAATATATCCACAGTGCGATTTCAACTGTTTTTATATTATTGTCTTTTGTTGAATTTATATAACAACATTCCGACCTTGTTTAGCATTATCTACTCCAATTCTAGCATGATTCCACTATTTTTATGTTTGAATCACAGTGGGGGACTTTTATTTTGAAGGCAAACCGCAAATTCCACTATTGTGGCTAATCCTTATTGTGGCTCGTTTCACACAGGTGGCTCCCGGCATGGACTCTCATCAGCAGCACAGTAACCATCTACATGCCACTGGTGACGGTTCTCAGGCGTCCATACACAAGTCCGGCGGGGACAAATTCTACTCCACGATGTAGGACAGTTTATGCGCAAAAATGGTAAATGTTGGGAATCGTGTCACCTTGTTAGTGTACTGCTATGTTAGAGACCACGGAGTCAGGTAATCGCTGCATCAGAGAGGAGGCTGGTGTATTGAATCACAGTAGCCTATGTAGGGCACAGCCAGGCCTAAATTCGTTTGTCACCTATTTCTGCCTCGTCCCGAAGATTCCAAACGTTGGATGGGATGTTTGGGTTCACCGGAAAGTGATGTTGGCTGGTAGGATTTTGCTTTTAGATTTATAATGGCATATCATCTATGGTGTAGTAATTGTTTTCTATAATGTCAATGTCTCTCGCAGTGACGCACGGAGATGCAACTGATATGTTTTGTGCTTATGGCTTTCGGCGTCTTGTCCATTCATCAACAGCGCGCGCGTCTATAGGAAAAGAAGGCACTGATCAAAATATTGCCAATTGTAGTGGCAATATTCAGTTGGTTCAAGAGGGAAAAGCCTATACAGCGCTCCCTACCCTTCTGCATTGTACAGATTACGTAAAGCACCATGCTCAACCTTATTCAGTAATTTCACTGAAACCTAGGTAGGTGGCATATTACTGCATAATGTCAATCAAATTATCAGCCAACATTAAACCTTATTCCCGTTAATTCACCCTCATCCTACAACCCAGTTATGCTGTCTGATGCTGCTCACAATTACGTAAGAAGTACATTGCGTGACCCCACCACCTGTTGCGCAGGGGCCCTACAGTATCCCCTGTAGGGTAGGCCTAGTTGTGATCCCTGCCTCTCCCATTCTTTCATGTATTGATCAAATGTACTGTGTCCTCAAATGTCCCATTGGCACAGTGACAGTAGACAACCATATCACGTGGCATATCACAGGCATGCCATGCCTTTGTATCTCTGAGCTGCTTTGTGCTCAGCAGGGATGTTCTCTTTGATCATACGTTTTTCCTCCATTATTGTTTGAGCATTACTGCTCAGCTCAGTCAGCCACAGACTTGCTGATGAGGCAACCCTGTTTGCGTAGCACCTTTTAAAATCGGTTTCTGTACCAACTGGTCTGGTTTTGTTATTTATTGTTATTTATTGGTTCTTTGGATTTTGCCAGTGGATATTATGATTTATGTTTATTCCCGGCTGTCTGTGGTTACCAGGGATGGCGTGTGCGGCAGTGAGATGGGTGATGGACTCACAGAATGCCCTGTGTCCGTCCTGGTCTGTCCTGTGAAAGGCTTCTTTATCTGTTGAAGGGCTCCTGATGGCCAGACTGGTTTACTCATCAATGGGCTCCTAACATGCAGGGCAGTCAGGGCCACAACAAACAGTAGGCCTACAACACCCCCCCAAAAAAAATAAAATAATAATAACAAATACTTCATTGTCTTATGATGAATGTGTTTCTTTAATACACCGTTTGAGACCATGACATAGGACTATGTCCTTGCCCAGGGATTAAAACCGGTATCTGGTAGGTAGAGGAAATGTCCACAAAATTGATTGCTTTTCCATGCTAGTTTTTAATGGATTATCTCCTGTCTACGTCCATTCTGTTTTCTCTATGTTTGTACATTATGTATTGTGCAGTAAGCCATCTTCCTAGCCTTCCTCTTGGAGCCAGCAGCAGAGCGATAGCAGTGGTCCACACCCATGTCACTCCCTCCCAGTCGGAAGCCCTCTGCAGGTCAGCGCAGGTACTGCTGCTCCCTTCTCTCGCTATTGTCTTTTTTTGCTGTGTGATGATCCCAAGTGATGATGTATGAAAATGTTAGAGTAAAATAGTACCACATGTATAGTGAGTGAGTTTTTGGAAGCAATGCATTGATTTAGTTTGTTTTCTTAATGTTTGTGACTGAAGATAAGAGTCTCATCAATGTGTAACATTAACATAGCCTCTGTTGCAGGCGGTCAGTGGCTACTAGCAGTGGGTGCCATTCCCATAGCAATGCCTCCAATACCAACACTTACCCCACCAACACTTACCCTGGCAGGGCTAGTGAGGGCAGTCCTACAGCCCGGACATACCCTGGCACACCCAGGTATGACACAGCATCTGTACATCATATGCAAGACACACGCAAATATAGTTTTGTTTTAGGAATCGTTTTTTTTAAGTTGAGCCCAAAATATCATGCAGTAAAGATGATTCAGAAGAACACCAAGCAAATGTTTTAAGAATAAGGTGCAGAATCTGCCTTGCAATAAAAGGGGGGGAATATAATGTAGTCTTGAGATTCATAATTTATTATAAAAACCAAAAGATGCAGAGCTTGCATAAAAACCCCACTGATATCTACTCATAAGATATAAAACAGGCTTCTCACTTTTACTGAAAACTCCCTTCTTGTTATTATCTGATGATTGATCTCTGATGCATAACTGATCATCACTATAAACTCTCCTTCACACCCCTATGCAAACCCAGGCGTCAGGCGAAGCATGCCACCTGCAGTGATAACCACGGGATCCGCCCCCCCACACCAGAGCAGTACCTCACCCCGCTGCAGCAGAAGGAGGTGTGTATCAGACACCTGCGAGCCAGGCTAAGGGAGAATGTTGAGATGCTGCAGCACAGGTGAGTCTGGAGGGATGCGTTGTGACACAGAAGCAGAATATTCCTGACCAATGTGGTACTTCAGATGTAGGCTGAGTGGCTGACAATTTTTTTTTAATTGCATATTGTAGATCTCATGGTCAATAGAAGTGTCTCATCCACAACCCAGCTCTTGGGTTACATGTAACCAAGCTATGATTACAAAAATAGCAACATCAATAACGGTCTTACATTTCACTACAGAAACTGGGATTGTATCTCAGACTTCTCATGCCTCTCAAGGCATACCGCACATTGATTCCTTTTCCTTGGGAAGCCCTCATACTCTCAATCTCCCTCCCTCTCTCTCTCTCTCTCTCTCTCTCTCTCTCTCTCTCTCTCTCTCTCTCTCTCTCTCTCTCTCTCTCTCTCTCTCTCTCTCTCTCTCTCTCTCTCTCTCTCTCTCTCTCTCTCTCTATCTCTCTCTATCTCTCTCCTCTCTGTCAGGGACAGTGAGATAACTGAAATGAGGACCCAGCTGTGTCGGATGCAGGAGGACTGGATAGAGGAGGAGTGTCACCGTGTGGAGGCCCAGCTTGCTCTAAAGGAGGCACGCAGGGAGATTCAGCACCTACATGAGGTCGTGGAGACAGTACGATCAAATCTCGGCACCCCAGAAAAATCCCCCCACGACCAAAAGCCATACCTCTCACCGCAGGGACCCCGACCTGTCAAGTCCCGCTCCTGTGGTTGCTCCCCAGCCAGCACCCTGAGCCGCAGCACCACCTACACACGGCTGAGCAGTGAGGGCCTGCATCTGGACCGCAATGGAAACATCCCAGGGCCTGACCTGCGTGCAGCGGCACGGGCAGAAGGGGGACGGACCCACCTGCTCCTGGAAGCAGCCCTTCTGTCAGAACAAAACCCAGCCGGCTCCGCCCGTGGCCCCTTCTCCTCCACCATGCCACGCTCCTCCACCTACGAGAGGCTGTACAGCGGGGGGGCTGTCCTGCCTCTCTCCCACTCCTGCCACTCCCTGGGTAACAGCTGCAGGTGCAGCGGACACACCTACCTCCCGCATCACCACCTCTTCCTGCACCTCCCCCAGGAGGAGCCCCCGGCTGCAGTGGCAGCGGCTGCTGCTGCCCCCATGACAGATGTGAAACCGGAGGTCCGATCCCAGGCCTGCAGCCCCACCATGACCTGGGTCTCGGAGGAAGGAGGGGGAGAAGAGCTAAGCGTCATCTCCCTGGCAACAACCGACATCACCCCAGTCTACTCCGAGCAACAACTGTTCCCTCCCTCCTTGTCTTCCCCCTCTCCTCCCCAGCCGTTCCCTCCCTTCTTGTCTTCCTCCCCTCCTCCCCAGCTCTCCTACAACCTAGAGCCGCTGCCTCCAGATGGCCCTGTGGAGATGACAAGAATGCCAACAGTGGCCCAAACCTGCCAGCCCAAGCCTGGGCCACTGTATTCACCAGAGAGGCAAGGAAGCGTGACAGTGGTGGAGGTGGAGGAGGAAGAGAAGGAGGAGGCTGTTGAAGTTGAAATTGTTGTGGAAGAGGGGGAGGAGGGGGCTCCCCAGCGGAACTTCTGGAGCCAATACTTCCTGGTGGACCTGTTGGCGGTGGCCATGCCGGTGGTGCCGACAGTGGCCTGGCTGTGCCATGGGGCCCCGCGGGAGGTCATGCCTGTCTACCACATTGGCTCTCTGCTACGGGGTTGCTGCGCTGTGGCCCTTCACTCTCTGCGACGCAGGGGATGTGGCCAGGGCCGTGCCCCCACAAGCATGAATGGGGCGACCAATATCTGACAACTTTACTCCTTAGTCCCCTGACTCCCCTCACAGCAACCATGCAACCCCAACCTCTTACGAGCCACAGCCACAACGGCAATTATACAGACTTTGATTTGGACTTAAACTACTATTGCTTTTTATTCTCCACCCACCACGTGTCTGATTTGAGGATGACCTTGAGATTTACATGATCCGATTTTATTGCAGTTGACCTTTGTGAATTTTGTTTATTGGTTACAGCAGACAGGAATTAGGCTAATTGTATAGTTCAAGCCTGTTTCTGTTAGATTTGTAATCATGCCTTGCTATCAAAGAAAATCTAATGCAATAGTGATTTGATGGGGAATGCATTAGCCTGCTTAAATTGACTTTTTGACACTGGTCTACAGTGTCTCCCATGACTGTACAACTGTACAGTGCATGTAAACCTGAGAAATGTTCAACCTTTTGCCATTACCTCACTTTAAACAGACCTGCTACATTTGAACCTTGAAGACTTTGATGTATGCTCCATAAATCTTCTAGTGTTGTCTTTGAAATTGGGGTGAATACGGTTCATCTTGTTAGAAACATCAGCAACATTTTATTTTAGTTTCTAGCGCTAAGTGAATGAGGGACCTGAGTAGGAGTTCTAGTTGAATGTCTTTGAATTCTTTATTTTCTCAAGAAAATTGAGGATGGAAAAATATGTGTTTGCACAACGACCGGGAGATAGAGAATCTATTACATTTCAGGGATCCAAAGTTTATCTTCTGGTTTCATGAATTTTATTTATAGTCCAAGGATAAGATAACAATTCTGAATAAGACTAGCACTGTCACTATCCATGCAAATGCTGAATGCCAGTCATAAAAAAATGCCAGCTATGTATTTATTGTTGTTAAGGCATATATACCATTTGCTAAATTTCACAATTTACAATATTACGAATATTATCAATTGTTTCCAATAGTTAGCCTAGATATTTGACGTTGCACTTTTTTCCCCACACTTGGCTTTGCATGTTATCAAACATTAACCATGCAAGTCTGCTTTTGAGCCACATCGTGCCGCCAATGCTACAGTGACAGATTTGTCTCAATTATTCAGAGGTCAAAATCAATGATAAAAAGCAATGATGAAATGTCTTTACTTGGGTTGATAAATTGCACAAAAAGCTTTAGAATGCAAAGCGTAAATAGCTCTGGATGTATTTCCTCCTCCCTTTGAAAATAAACTGAAAGTTGCCTTTGTCTGTGTGTCATCTATTGAAGTGTGCTCTGAGAGAATTAGAGACGCCTAGGAATCAATATGAAATAAAAAATACATTCAAAGTCTCTTTTTGAAGTTGATAGAACATCCTATCGAAAGCTCTTAGGGATGAGGAACATAATTTTTTTCATCAACCAATGGGGTGGGAGTTTACTCATTATTGTGTTTGGGGAAATGTAATTCTACAGATCCATAGCTTGCTGAACAGGTTCCTTAAAATCTGGTTTTAGCGCGTCACTAATCCTCTGAAAACAAAATCATGCAACTTATCAAATCTTCTGGAATAGTATGATGGTATAATTCTGGAATAGTACTGTGAATGATAATGTTTGGCCCAAAACAAAGGGACTCTATTTTGCCTTCCCTTGTGATTACTAATGGTGTTCAAACATGCCCTCAACACTTCTCAGAGCGTCACTTGAAATAATTGGTATACAGTTGTCAGATACTGTGAAACATAAAACCAGTGATACAAGGAAAATGTATTGGAGAAATCAGACCAAACTATCCTAGTTTAGAGAACACAAGGTCAAGCTGACTTGGGGATAAAGGGTGATCATTGTATTCAAACATACCATAGGAAATTGACCCATTTTGTTGCTTGAGAGGATAACTATACTTGCCAGCATATTATGTGAGTTTGGCACTATAATAATGACCAGATTGAATTACACATGTAATATTTGGTCTTGCCAACAGACATCTTGTGCCATGCTTGTCCGTCTATTCAGTGTTTAATACAGATAGTTAACGTTACTGGAACAAATATATATTAACCAAAACATTTTATTTTTTTTTACATTTAAATGAAAATTCCACCCAAAAACTATTTTGGTGTTTGTGTCATTAGTCCATTGTTGATAGTCCCAAAATGTTTTGAATGTCAGCAATCAAACCAGCAGTATCTCTGTATTTAGAAAGTTATATCTTGAAAACCTGATTGCTGACTTGGAAAACATTTTGTTTTTTTTTCCCTTTGTCAACTTCTGCAATCCAATTACATTAATCCAATCCATTTGGGGAAAGTCATTTATTCATAATTTCTTTCTCAATTATCATGTCCACAATAACACATTTTCTGAAAAGTTGCTAAAGCAAGGCCACTCATAGAGCCACAAGAATGAGATCAAATTGAATATGCGTAATGATACTTTATCCAAAATTGTATCAGTACCTACCCGATGGCAGGCATGACTTACAAATTTCACAACAAAAAAGACCATAAAAAACATACATTACAATAAAATGACATGATATCTGAAAGGTATGGCCTATGACTTGTTAGGGTCTTCTAATACAAGAAAGAACAAGAATAAGGTATTTTAAGCAAGTGACAAACACATTTGAATCTAAATGGAAAGGAGAGTGAAGTGGTGAAGCTATAGATTAGTCTTTTACAGGAGTCAAGTGCATTAATCTTCCTTTTGCCTTTTCCTCCATGTTCCCGAGATAGGAGTCAACCTGTAGAAAGGGACAGGGATACAATTATGTGGTTAACAGAAGAGACACGACAGAGGGGATTATGGGAGATGAGCACCAAAGCTTGTTAAACACACTAATGAGCACTTAAGCTCATATAACTGTGTTGTAAATCGCTCTGGATAAGAGCGTCTGCTAAATGACTAAAATGTAAAAATGTAAAGTACTCCTTCAACACTAACAATGTAGTAGTGCAATTTGTGCAGGCGATTTGCATGCAGAATTGTCTCACCCTGAAAATTTGAGTGGAATTAAACATGTAGTAATTGCACACAAGCATCACTCCAGGCCCATCAGCTCCACATCGAAGATGAGGGTAGAGTTGGGTGGAATGATGCCAGGGTGCCCTTTGCTGCCATAGGCGAAGTCCGGCGTGCAGGTCAGAGTTGCCCTCTGGCCCACACTCATCTGTGGGGAAGGTGAAACAAAAAGAAAGGTCATATTATTATCAAGACGCATCTAATATAACCCTAAAATTGCTTGTGTCCTTGCCAATTTTGGATTTTCCAAGTGATTGAAATAAGTGGTGCAATCATTCAAGGGGATATCTAATGTAAACACACCCAGGAGACCCTTCTTACCTGGCCAACCCCCTCCTCCCAGCCACGGATCACCTCCTGCTTGCCAATCTTGAACTTGAAAGGCTTGCCTCTGTCCCGGGAAGAGTCAAACTTGGTTCCATCAGTCAGTGAGCCTGCGATAGGATTGAGAGAAGGTTAGTTATACAGCCGTGTAACGTTACCTATATTCTGTCCCCTCCAAAATTGCTAGCTAGCATTCATGGATTAAAATATTTAATTACAGTACCCTGGACAAACATTATCGGCTACTGGCTAACTAGCCAATTTATTTCCTAAAGATACATTAATCTTTATTACATTCATTCTCACTGATTTGAGGAAACTGTCAATTAGCTAGCTAGCTAGTAACGTTAGTAGTAGTCCCGTGTAGCTCAGTTGGTAGAGCATGGCGTTTGCAACGCCAGGGTTGTGGGTTCAATTCCCACGGGAGGGCAGTATGAAAATGTATGGACTCACTAACTGTAAGTCGCTCTGGATAAGACCGTCTGCTAAATGACTTAAATGTACGGGCGGCAACTAGCTACTAGCTACAAACGATAACTTAGCTAGGGTGTACAACTACTTTAGCCGTATAAAAATTACTTGAATTAGCTAAGCAAATCGTTTAACTAATTGTTAGTTATATTATGAGACAATATCGTTTGGCAGATTACACACACATTATATAAATATCACAACATTTACATTGTTGCCGACGAAAGTGGACAACTGACAATAGCTAACTAAGCTAACTAGCTATCAAGCTGGTTAGCTTGCTGACTCACCGACATAATGCACAACGCATGTCTGTCCTTTTTTGGGAAATGTCTGTCCTAAAAGATGGAAGAAAGGGAAATAATTAGCTAAGTATTGTGTTAACGACTTAATATTTTGAATTTAGCAACATCCACTTGGCTAATTTAATCATATTTACTGTTTGTTCCTTACCATCACCAGGGGTTATGGTCTCGATTTCTACTCCCATTTTACTCTCCGACGCACTACAATGCAAACTGAAACTGGAAGTCCAGCTCATTGAATTCAAGAAAGGGGGAGGGCAATATAAAATGGCCAATACCAGTTATATGACGAGAATTAGTGTAAGCCTACCTGGTCATATTTTAAGGCCCACCTACATTGATGTAGTTTCATTTTTCAAGAGAGATGATGAAAACATAAAAACAACAATTGGTTGACACTCAACAATTTCTAGAAATATAAATTAATTAAAGTTGATGTCATTAACCACGTTTCCATCCAGTTATGCGAGTAAAGTCATTCCATATTTACATATTTATATATATATAAAGTAAAGACATCTGTGATGGAAACATTAAGTTACGGTACACTGTTATAAGTGCCGACAGATCATTTGTTCGTTCGACATATTTTTGTGTCGGTAAAATGTATTATGCGAGAAATGGCGGTGGAAACGCCTTTATGCGCAAATATTCATATCATAACCATCATTTTGAAGTAAACTTGGAGTCACGCGATGACATCACAGATAGAACAATGAGCCAGATATTCCACCGGATGTATAAATGTGAAGCATCCGGTTGGCGTTTCTACTCACTACCAAATATGGTGATGAGAGAAAACCCTGTGGCCGGCGGTGGGGGAAGCTGGAGCAAGATGGATTTCTGCCGACATTTTCTCATCGATTAAACATTTGATCTCAATACAGTTTTCTTTCCCCAAAACTATAATCTGTTACGAACAGAGTGGACTAGGTTTTGTAGATTTTACCCTTTGCCAAAGGAAAAAAAAAAGCGTTGTTTAGGAGTGCAAGGGCGAATTGAGTTATTGCACACGTGCACTTCACGGAGTAGGCGTTACCTAACGGAAATATGCAAACATCTTGCTAGCTAGTGCTTGGCTCTGCCCCACTCCTTGCTTGTTCTGCCTCTACGAATCATTTGTTCCCATTAGAAACGACAGGCTGTGGTCTATCTTGGGTTAGTTATAAAAATATTTTATGATATGGTGTGTGGTCCTCCCACTACAACTCAGGAAACCATGCAGTTTCAATTGGATGTGCATTCCGCCACTTACTGTGCGGGTGGATAATAAGGATCCCAAAAAGGAAATAATGCGGGTTATTTATTTTATTATAATCATACAAACTATGAAAGAAGAAATCAACTAAACAAAATCAACCAGGCACCCTGCTCCGAAGATCAATACAGGTTACTTCTGACGTGGGCAGGTCCTTCTGTTCTATTTTGCTTGAGGGACTATGCTAGTCACTCAATGAAATATCCTTCCGCCTGGCGGCAGGATGAGTCAAGATATTAATATCAGAGTAATTCCGTACCACGAGTGTGATGCGCCCCCATCCCCTATAAATCCCTGGGCGCATAGCATCACTTCCTATTTTCTTAACTCGGCTACGCAGGTGAGCGAAAAGTGGATATAGAAGACAAGGTAGGTGAGTTTTTCGTTGTGTGTAGAGTATACTACATCTTGGGCAAAGATTGCTCCTCCCAGGAGTGCTCTTCAGTGTTTTGTTGTCAAAGCTTTTTCTTACAGGTCGACAACATGCTACGAAGTAGGGTGAACTGGTTGAGCCAACCTGTTCACGGCGCAAGACTTGTCTTGTCTGTGTCTGTCCGCCGGTTAGCCTCCCGGCTAATTGCGTTACCTGTTGCTTGTTAGCTTCAGCTGGAGGCTAGCCTCTTCTCTCTGGAGTCTGGGTACCGCGCCTACCCAGGCTAAGGAAGGCTGTGTTATCTAGCTCTAGATAGATCTCCGGGTCACACCTTAATGTCCAGGCTTTGCATCCTAGCTAGCATACTCTCTTACTGGCTCGAGCTGCAGCTGTTGCCGGAGTGAGATTCAGAGCGTCTGTTCTTAGGACTTCTCCTCACACAGTCTGTTACTGTCTCAGTGTAATTGGCTCCTCACATCCATACCTTTTGGGGATTGTGAGTGAATTTACCAAATATATTCTGTTATCCATAGAATATATTATTACTTAAATTCACATATTGCCCTGAAACAGAACTACTTTAAACTTACACCTAGTATAGTATTAAAGGGGTGTTATGCAGATTATCTGTTCTATAAGACATATCTGTATTTCTGCTTCTGTCTAGACCGGGAGAAGATTATACATGCCATACTACTGTGATAAATGCAATGCTGGCTTGGCTTCGGTTGATGCCCATTCCACCTGTATGATGTGCCTAGGCTTAGAGCATGCTGTTCAGGTTGTGGATTCCCCCCTTAGCTGCATGTATTGTGCTTCTCTTGGCCCACGCCTATGTGAAGCGCGATTAGATACTATGAAGGAGACAAATGCTAGAGGCTCCGGGAACGGACTCAAGCGTAAGCAACCCTCCTCAGCGGCGGGCCCGCCCACCTTCACAGCTCCGTTCTCTCAGCCTGACAGGCTCAGTTGAAGACTTAAGACAGGATCCTGATGCCATCTCCATCTTTAATGGTAATGACCTAGACAAAGAGAGACCTCTGAGGCCGGTTCTGGGTCAGCGAACCATGGCTCATAGGGCTGAGAGTGAAGCGCCCTTTTCATCAGCTGATCTGCAGGAGCTCCTCTCTAGGATCCTGAAAGCTCTGGATATTAATCCAGACCCTAACAGCAGCCTGGGCAGAGTGTACATTCCTCAGTGCCACAAGTTCTCCAATGAACTGCGTCAAACTTGGGCTAAGGTGAACTCAAGCCAGTGCAAGCCTTGGACATTCATGGCTTCTCCTGAGGAGTTGGTACTGGACCAGTACCCAGTCATGGACCCCATTGTTGCGGTCATGGTCCTCCCAGACAAGGAGATCATTGGTAAGTCTCCCTGCTGTCCTCATCAGGCTGCTGACGACCACTTAAAGGACACCTTCTGGACCTTGGCTGTGGTGGCTCGACCACTCTTCTGCAGGCATACCTGCATGGTCTGATAGCTCTCCTGTCCACCAACAGTGACCCTGAGCTGAAAGCTGAAATGTACATTTACGTCATTTAGCAGACGCTCTTATCCAGAGCGACTTACATTATATATATTTTTTCATACCCCCTGTGGGAATCGAACCCACAACCCTGGCGTTGCAAACACCATGCTCTATCAACTGAGCTACATCCCTGCCGGCCATTCCCTCCCCTACCCTGGACGACGCTGGGCCAATTGCGCGCCGCCCCATGGGTCTCCCGGTCGGCTACGACAGAGCCTGGATTCGAACCAGGATCTCTAGTGGCACAGCTAGCACTGCGATGCAGTGCCTTAGACCACTGCGCCACTCAGGAGACTCCAGTGTCCACACTCCTCTCCCTCTTAAATGTTGAGATGTCACGTGCTAATGGCAAAGCCCTGTATACGGTCATCTTGTCACGCAGACCGCTTTGGCTCTCACAGACAAAGATGTCAGCCTCCGTGAAGAAGGGTACCAAGTGTTACCTTTCAGCCTTTCCCTGGCACCAAGAACATTCACAAAATGCATGGATGCCGCTCTAGCACCCCTAACATCACAAGGGATGATAGTACTAAATTACCTAGATGATTTGCTAATCTGCGCTTGGTCACGAGAACAGGCAGCAGCAGACAACATATCTCCTGAAGCATATCTCAGTGCTAGGCCTCAGGTTGAACATGCAAAAAGGACACCTGGTCCCCACACAAACTGAAGTTTGTGGGCATACGGATCGACTTGTCTCTAATGAGGGCTCACCTCACCGAAGAGCGAGTCCAGAAAATTGTAGATCTCCTCAATCCTTTTGTCCAAGAAGGTAACTGTTCTTCAGTGTCAGAGACTGATGGGTCTCCTCTTCGCACCCTCTCTTTTGACCCCATTGGGCCTTCTACACTTGAGACCCCTGCAGAGGTGGTTCAATGCGCAAGGTTTAAATCCCAAGGAACCCCGGTATTGTCGCCTGACTGTGTCCAAGGAATGCACGCAAGCCCTGGCAAGATTGCGATCCCTGAAATTCCTTTCAGGCGGGATATGTCTGATTCCATCGGAGGGAACTGGTTCAAACAGAAGCCTCCTTGACAAGCTGGTGAGCAGTATTGAGGGGGAGGGCGGCCAGCGGGACATGGAGCTCCAGCTGGTCCAAACAATATGCTGGAGTTGAGAGCAGTCCAACTAGCTCTGCTCAACTTTGTCTCACAACTGCGAGACAAACGTGCTGGTACAGACAGCACCACAGTGGTAGCGTACATAAACCACCAAGGGGTTCTGGGTTCCATCCGCCTCCACCAGATGGTACATACACCTTCTGCTGTGGTCACAGAAGAATCTGGCCTCACTAAGAGCTGTACACCTCCCAGGGACCCTGCGGCGGACATGCTGTCCAGGGAAGGGCCTCCGGAAAGGGAGTGGCGTCTACATCCCCGAAAAGTGAGTCGCATGTGGGGATTCTTTGGGGAAGCGGAGGTGGATCTGTTTGCTTCAGTGAGGAACACACAGTGCCCCCTCTGGTTCTCGATATCAAACCCCCCCACCAGGTCTTTCTGATTGCCCCGAGATGGCAGAGACGCCACTGGTTCAGCACAATACTGTCACTCCTAGCGGGGACATCATGGGAACTACCTCGGAAGCTGGACCTATTGTCGCAGGCGGGGGGCACATTGTGGCATCCGAATCCCTTCTGCCTGCAGCTGTGGGCCTGGCCGCTGAACAGCGAAAAAGCTGTTCAGTCTGGTTGTTAACATCTTACAGAGTTCCAGGGCCCCCTCCACCACGTCAACCTATGACACGAGGTGGCACGTGTTCTGCCAGTGGTGTGGGGAGCAGTGGGTTGCTCCAGAATCTTGCAGCATAAGAACTGTGCTCCAGTTCTTGGCGTCTTTGTTCGATGCTGGCAGGGCTGCATCCACACTTAAGATATACGCAGCAGCCATTTCAGCATGTCATGATGAAGAGCAGGATAGTCCGCTTGGCAGCCACCCGCCCATGGCAAGGTTTCTTAAGGGAGTCTGTCAATTATGCCCCTCATTAGCCCCCTCAGATCCCAAATGGGATTTGGATCTGGTTCTTGGAGTACTATCCAGACCTCCCTTTGAACCGTTAGATGCTATAGACATGAAACATCTCTCTCAAGACAGCGTGTCTGGTGGCCTTCGCCTCTACCAAGAGGGTTGGTGAGCTCCATGCTTTGTCTGTTAGTGATGAGTGTTATCATCTAGGCCCGGGTAAGGCGAGTGTTACTCTGTGGCCTAGTCCTGCCTTTCTACTAAAGGTCCTGCCCCCAGGTCACATGAACAGGGAAATGGTGCTAACAGCCTTATCCACCTCCATGCCAACTGGGGCTCATGATGTTGATGTACGCGCTCTGTGTCCTGTGAGATCCCTAAACGCGTACGTGGAGTGGCGATCTGTCGCTCTGATCAGCTGTTTGTGTGCTTTGGAGATACAGGGTAAGCCTCTCTGAAAACAACGGTTGTCACTTTGGATTGTAGACACCATCCTGCAAGCATATAGTCTAGCTGCCACCCAGCCCCATCCTTTATGGTAGCGCACTCCACCGGGGGAGTTGCCACCTCCTGGGCACTGCTTAAGGGAGTCCCCCTCTCTGACATCTGTGGCTGCCAGCTGGGCATCCCCCAGTACCTTTGCAGGTTTTACTGGGGGAATGTTGCTAACCCTCACAGTGTGAGCTCAGCTGTGCTTGGTGCTACCCTTCCCTCCCAAAACTAACCTGTGGTTGGTCCGGGTACTGCCTCAAGCACCTATGGTGATGTGTTGCTCTAGGCTGTGCCCTACGGGAACCGACTTACTCTGGTATTGTCATCCCATTGAGTGACTAGCGTAGTCCCTCAAGCAAAATAGAATTAAGGTTACTCACGTAACCACAGTTCTATGAGCTAGGGACTATGCTAGTCTAGCTGTTGGATCCCTTGTAGCCTCGGGAAGAGTCTTGAGGAAGTGATGATACGCGCGCAGGTATTTTTAGGGGGTGGGGGCACGCGCATCACACCCGTGGCACGGAATTACTCTGATATTAATATCTTGACTCATCTTGCCGCCAGGCGTAAGAATATCCCATTGAGTGACTAGCATAGTCCCTAGCTCATAGAACTGTTGTTACGTGAGTAACCTTCGTTCTTCATCGACACAATTAACCAAAACAAGGCCGCTTTTAGTCACCTTGATTAAATCCATTTTTCCAAAAGTCCAACAAGAAATGCATTATTAGACCGATCCTTGTCTTCTACTACTACAACTTTTGCTCGTTTCGTTCCATTCCTTGTTTTCACAATTTTCCATTAATTGTCACACACTTCCCTTGCCGCACTTCCAGATTCAAGCAACAATTCCATGGACGCTGCCATTTTGCCAAAGGAGACCAACAATGCAGTTTATTAGGCTACAGTTGAAATAAGTTATGAAATTCACAGGGTGGTGAAAGTGCACTGTGATCTTGATGTGCCTTTCCAATAAATATCGAGGGTCTCATTCTGGTGACATGATACAGTGGGGGAAAAAAGTATTTAGTCAGCCACCAATTGTGCAAGTTCTCCCACTTAAAAAGATGAGAGAGGCCTGTAATTTTCATCATAGGTACACGTCAACTATGACAGACAAAATGAGGAAAAAAAATCCAGAAAATCACATTGTAGGATTTTTAATGAATTTATTTGCAAATTATGGTGGAAAATAAGTATTTGGTCAATAACAAAAGTTTCTCAATACTTTGTTATATACCCTTTGTTGGCAATGACACAGGTCAAACGTTTTCTGTAAGTCTTCACAAGGTTTTCACACACTGTTGCTGGTATTTTGGCACATTCCTCCATGCAGATCTCCTCTAGAGCAGTGATGTTTTGGGGCTGTCGCTGGGCAACACGGACTTTCAACTCCCTCCAAATATTTTCTATGGGATTGAGATCTGGAGACTGGCTAGGCCACTCCAGGACCTTGAAATGCTTCTTACGAAGCCACTCCTTCGTTGCCCGGGCGGTGTGTTTGGGATCATTGTCATGCTGAAAGACCCAGACACGTTTCATCTTCAATGCCCTTGCTGATGGAAGGAGGTTTTCACTCAAAATCTCACAATACATGGCCCCATTCATTCTTTCCTTTACACGGATCAGTCGTCCTGGTCCCTTTGCAGAAAAACAGCCCCAAAGCATGATGTTTCCACCCCCATGCTTCACAGTAGGTATGGTGTTCTTTGGATGCAACTCAGCATTCTTTGTCCTCCAAACACGACGAGTTGAGTTTTTACCAAAAAGTTCTATTTTGGTTTCATCTGACCATATGACATTCTCCCAATCCTCTTCTGGATCATCCAAATGCACTCTAGCAAACTTCAGACGGGCCTGGACATGTACTGGCTTAAGCAGGGGGACACGTCTGGCACTGCAGGATTTGAGTCCCTGGCGGCGTAGTGTGTTACTGATGGTAGGCTTTGTTACTTTGGTCCCAGCTCTCTGCAGGTCATTCACTAGGTCCCCCCGTGTGGTTCTGGGATTTTTGCTCACCGTTCTTGTGATCATTTTGACCCCACGGGGTGAGATCTTGCGTGGAGCCCCAGATCGAGGGAGATTATCAGTGGTCTTGTATGTCTTCCATTTCCTAATAATTGCTCCCACAGTTGATTTCTTCAAACCAAGCTGCTTACCTATTGCAGATTCAGTCTTCCCAGCCTGGTGCAGGTCTACAATTTTGTTTCTGGTGTCCTTTGACAGCTCTTTGGTCTTGGCCATAGTGGAGTTTGGAGTGTGACTGTTTGAGGTTGTGGACAGGTGTCTTTTATACTGATAACAAGTTCAAACAGGTGCCATTAATACAGGTAACGAATGGAGGACAGAGGAGCCTCTTAAAGAAGAAGTTACAGGTCTGTGAGAGCCAGAAATCTTGCTTGTTTGTAGGTGACCAAATACTTATTTTCCACCATAATTTGCAAATAAATTCATAAAAAATCCTACAATGTGATTTTCTGGAGAAAAAAATTCTCAATTCGTCTGTCATAGTTGACGTGTACCTATGATGAAAATTACAGGCCTCTCTCATCTTTTTAAGTGGGAGAACTTGCACAATTGGTGGCTGACTAAATACTTTTTTTCCCCACTGTATATACACACACAAATAAAAACAGAGTTAATGAGTTTGATGGATGTTGGCACAAACTCTTAGATTTTAATGGGAAAGCTCTATACCCGCGCCCGGAGGGTAGGTGGCTATATTGGTCTATCAGTGTGTGTGTGTGTGTGTGTGTGTGTGTGTGTGTGTGTGTGTGTGTGTGTGTGTGTGTGTGTGTGGTGTCAAATGCTATTTGTTCCCCCCTTCTTCCTCACTTGTTTTTTGTAAATGTCACTGAGAGGTTCCTGACTTGCTCCGATTACCTTCCTACTGATTCTTATTACCCTGTTCAATGGGTTCTGACTTGTGTTCCCTAGAGCACCAAACCACCCCACAATATTAAAGCCTAAGATGGATTCTATAAAGCATATATAAAATGCTTGGGGAATTGGTGTACATTAAACTTCATCAATTTCTGTAGAAAGAACATGCGTTGACATTTTGAGTGAATGTGTTCAATGTTTCTTTTGAAGGAGAGCTTGTTGTCAATGCTGGTTCCTTGGTATTTGTAGTCCTCCATTCGCTCAATGATCTGTCTGTTAATGTCCAGCGCTTGGATGCTAGGTTGGTCTCTTCTGAAGTCAATGACCAGGTCTTTGGTTTTGGTTGCATTGAGGTTCAGGTAGTTCTGGCTACACCACAGTGAAAGCCTGGAGTTTCCCCGAGTTGCCTGCTGTGTCCATGATTACGGTGTCATCCGAGTACTTCATGAACATCATCTCTGGGTCTGAGCTCCTACAGTCGTCTGTTTACAGGTTGAATAAAACAGGCGAGATTGGAGCCTGTAGAGATGATTCTGGACGAGCTGCAATGACCATTGAATCTGACCAACTGTTCTCTATTTGTCAGGAAGGAGAGGACCCAGATAATCAGATGTGGATTGACATTCATGTTCTGGAGCTTTTGACCCATTAAGTGAGGCTGCACTGTATTAAATGCACTAGAGAAATCCAAAGATACCATCCTGACTTATACCTTGGGCTTCCCCAGGTGGGTGTAGGCACAGTGCAGTAGGGACAGAACTGCATCAACACCCCTGTGCCGCTTGCAAGCAAACTGGAGTGGGTCTGTTTAAGAGCATACCTCCTTTTGCAGCTGGGGGAGAATCAGCCTTTCAAAAGCTCTTCCCACCTTGTTGGGAAAATGCACATTTTCTTTATACAGATTCTAGAGTATTCGCATGAAAATCTGTCGCCAATTGGACAGAAACCTAGCTAGTCAGATGATCTAGCAGGTCTACGCCTATCTTGAAAGTGTATGATTATTATTTTATGTTTTACATATTCACATTTTCTAATGTAGTATTTATTGACATTTGTAGCTTTTTTTCTTAACAGAAATCACCAAATATTTGATTTGTATTTCTTCATCCCGGGTGAACACAGTCCTACAAGAAACATAAAGAAGATATTCGGCCCACTGGTGACTTTATTTGGCCCCTCAGAAAAGTATTATTATATAAAAATACATCGTTATTGGACATAAGACTGTACAATCATCAGAAAATCAGTTAAAATTTATTTTAAATGTAGGAAATCTGTCCCAAGTATTCCCACACATACAGTGCCTTCAGAAAGTATTCTGGTCACTACCATGAAGGCCCAATTGGTGGAGTGCTGCAGAGATGGTTTTGGCTCTGACATGCACTGTCAACTGTGGGACCTTATACAGTGAGGGAAAAAACTATTTGATCCCCTGCTGATTTTGTACGTTTGCCCACTGACAAAGAAATGATCAGTCTATAATTTTAATGATAGGTTTATTTATTTTTATTTTTTAGACCCATGTAATTTTAAATTTTCCTTCAGACTTGTTAGACATCCTATGATCAGATTTATGTGAGCAGTGATTAGAATTTGGCCTAGAATTCCATGGAAGGTGATCTGAGTTGGGCTTAGATTCTTGTGAATGGGAATTCAAATCAGGCCTGACCTCCAGTGGATTGTGATGAGCAGATTTGTTTGATTGGTTATTTAACTTTTTGGAGCCTCTGAGGTTGTGACTTTTCAAGGTAGACTTGTTTGAAATACAACTGGACTTAGTTGGCTGTGACTCGCCACTTGACTTCAGACTGGACTCATGTGGTTGGTGTCTTGACTGATGAATGTGTGATCCTATCTCCTCTTCTATATCAGTTGAATGTATGGCTTCAACACTGAATAGAGGGAAAACAAGAAAACAGTTAGTTGCCTAGGGCTACACATATTCATATTCATCGTCATGCACATACAAAACGTCAATAAAGAGTGGGGCAGGATGTTTGAGAATCATAAACTCAGGAATGTGTAAGGGAAGTTGTGATGCAGTATGTTGGATTTAGAGAGGAAGCTATTGTCAGAGTAGGAGCACTAAGGCAGCCTATTAGGAGTGTGAATGACTCACACTCTTCCTCGCTCTCTCTGGAGCTGGAGGCGTCGATCCTCATTGATGGGGTACAGGTGGAAGAAGACCAGCCCCACCAGCAGCAGGGTGATGGGCACAGGGGCAAAAAGCACAATAAGAGCAGTCACCACGTCCTCACTATGGCTACAGGCACCTGCACGATACCCCACAAAGCTGCAGTACAAACAAGCATACAAACACACAACATAAATACATAGAAATAATATGGTGATCGAAACATATACAGTGCATTCGGAAAGTATTCAGACCCCTTCACTCCACATTGTTACGTTACAGCCTTATTCTAAAATGGATGAAATTGTATTTTTTCCCTCAATCTACACACAATTCCCCATAATGACAAAGCAAAAACAGATTTGAAATGTTTGCAAATTTCTTAAAAATAAAAAACGGAAACATCACATTCACATAAGTATTCAGACCCTTTACTCAGTACTTTGTTGAAGCAACTTTGGCAGCGATTACAGCCTTGAGTCTTCTTGGGTATGACGCTACAAGCTTGGCACACCTGTATTTGGGGAGTTTCTCCCATTCTTCTCTGCAGATCCTCTCAAGCTCCATCAGGTTGGATGGGGAGTGTCGCTGCACAGCTATTTTCAGGTCTCTCCAGAGATGTTCGATCAGGTTCAAGTCCGAGCTGGGTCATTCAAGGACATTCAGAGACTTGTCCCGAAGCCACTCCTGCATTGTCTTGGCTGTGTGCTCAGGGTCGTTGTCCTGTTGGAAGGTGAACCTTCGCCCCAGTCTGAGGTCGCTCTGGAGCAGGTTTTCATCAAGGATCTCTTTGTACTTTGCGCCGTTCATCTTTCTCTCGATCTTGACTAGTCTCCCAGTCCCTGTCGCTGAAAAACATCCCCACAGCATGATGCTGCCACCACCATGCTTCACCGTAGGGATGGTGCCAGGTTTCCTCCAGACGTGACGCTTGGCATTCAGGCCAAAGAGTTCAATCTTGGTTTCATCAGACCAGAGAATCTTGTTTCTCATGGTCTGAGAGTTCTTTAGGTGCCTTTTGGCAAACTCCATGTGGGCTGTCATGCCTTTTATTGAGGAGTGGCTTCCATCTGGCCACTCTACCCTAAAGGCCTGATTGGTGAAGTGCTGCGGAGATGGTTGTCCTTCTGGAAGGTTGTCCCATCTCCACAGAGGAACTCTGGAGCTTTGTCAGAGTGACCATTGGGTTCTTGGTCACCTCCATGACTAAGGCCCTTCTCCCCCGATTGTTCAGTTTGGCCGGGCAGCCAGCTCTAGGAAGAGTCTTGGTGGTTCCAAACTTCTTCCATTTAAGAATGATGGAGGCCACTGTGTTCTTGGGGACCTTAAATGCTGCAGAAATTTTTTGGTACCCTTCCCCAGATCTGTGCCTCGACACAATCCTGTCTCGGAGCTCTACGGATAATTCCTTCGACCTCATGGCTTGGTTTTTGCTCTGACATGCACTGTCAACTGTGGGACCTTATATAGACGTGTGTGCCTTTCCAAATCATGTCCAACCAATTGAATTTACCACATTTGGACTCCAATCTAGTTGTAGAAACATCTCAAGGATGATCAATGGAAACAGGATGCACCGGAGCTCAATTTTGAGTCTTATAGCAAAGGGTCTGAATACTTATGTAAATAAGGCATGTTTTTTTATTTTTAATAAATGTGCAAACATTTCCAAAAACCTGTTTTCGCTTTGTCATTATGGGGTACTGTGTGTAGATTGATGAGGACATTTGTATATTTAATCAATTTTAGAATAAGGCTGTAACGTAACAAAATGTGGAAAATACTTTCCTAATGCACTGTAATAATGAAATTATATTTTACATAATGAGGGGGAGAAAAGGGGTGAGGGAGAGAAGGAGTAGGTGGATGAATGACTCACTGTAATGTCATGGTTGAGATTCCAACAGACAGGCCTCCCCCCAGCTTACTGCAGAAGGCATAGCAGGAGAAAAACAGGGGCTCCAGGTCCTTGCAGCAGGGGTTTCTCAAGGCAAAGTCATCTACCACGTCCGGGAGCATGGACCTACATGAATAATAAGAGACTGCCTTGCAAATCAGACCACACACAGATTATGCACCAAACACTGTCTGAGTGAATCGATTGAAGTGTAAAACAGTTTATATTAGTGAACTGGCCGAGTGTCAAATCAGCATATAAGAATATTCAACACTTGACAGGCTGTCATGGGGGGTTATGAATGTTAGCATTGTGTGTGTGTGTGTGTGTTTAGAGTCATTAAAAGTGGCAGAGACAGAACTGGAGCAGAGTGCAGTACAGAGAGGAGACATGGCCCTGAGCCAGAGTACGCTGACTCACCAAGGCAGCAGGAACATTGTTGCCAAGCTGAATCCTAACATCACACACATGGTCACAAAGACCGGCAGGTTACTGGGTACACAAGCTATGATTGTTACAGCTGGGATGAAGAGCTATAAAAAATACAAAAACATTTCACACACACAGTAAGTATTTCAGCATAAACATTGTCATAAAGGGACAAACAATGTTGTGCTCACAAATAGGCCGATGAAAAGTGTGGTCTTTTTCCCAACTCGTACCAGGATTGCCTGCCACAGTGGAACAGCTATAGTGGCTGCAATCTGTTAGGACGAAGAAACAGACTATATAAAACAAAAACAAGAGAATGTATTGTGGCTGTAGTTTTCCCTTTAATAAGGAAATGACAAGCGGTTAGCTTCCAGAGACGAATACCAGTTACACATAAATATATCACATCATAAAGAGTATGATATGCCGGATTAGATAACAATTGTGTTCTGTCATCTGTGTGTGTATTGGGCCAATCAGAGGGTGTGGGGTGTGTGATACGAGTATGTGTGAGGTCGACAGAACTGAACAGAACTGTCTTACCAGCAGAGCCAGGAGAAGGTGTTGGAACTGGGCCCCAAGCCCAGCTACATGGGTACAGAACAGTGCAAAATTCCCCAAAGACATCTAAAAGGGACAAATGTGCATTAGCGGGTTCAAGATGTATAAGTTGATCTATTTGGATGCAGTCCAGGCAAGGATTTACCTGGAAGGCAAGTGCAGCAAAGAGGAGGCCAAGGACCAGTCGTTGGTAAGGAATGTGGCACACAAGCATCTTTAGTGTGGTGAGATAGGACAGACGCACTCTAGCCGGACTATAGAGGGGAGCTGGAGAGAAAATCAGAGAGAGGTATTTGGTGTTGTAGAAAAAATAAATTCAAAAAATAGTTACTGTGATTTATGTCAAAAGTGACTTCTGCAAAACTTTAGTTCCAAGCACATCATTTAGCCCACCTCCCAGAACTAGACTCTTGAACACATTCTACTGAACCTTGACCTCCCCTGTGCTTTGCTCTGGCAGTTCTAAACTGACCCCAACTCTAGTGTTCTGACCCTTGACTCACCATGCTGCTCTTTCACCCCCAGGAAGAGGACCAGGCAGCAGAGGAAGAACAGCCCGCCTATGACCAGCGCTGAGGTCAGGAAAGCCTTACGCTAGGGAGAGATACACAAAACCTCACAGGTAAGCAAAGCTACACAAACAAATGATTCACATGTATGCATATACATAAAAAACCACTTAGGCCTATGGGTAAACAAACAAGACAAACGCACATACTTGAAATGCAAAGACACACGGACGCAAGTACACACGCATACATGAGCATGCACACACACGCTAAGAACAGTTAATTACTGTGTAATATGATATCCCTGGGACTAGGTAAGTTCACTTCCACTGACAAAGAAATGCTGCTAAACTAACATAGTAGAGGAGTGTTATGTTCATCAGTGTGTGTGTCAGTGCTGGGTTAGTGATTGTGACTGGAGAGTAGTTACTCGCACCAAGCCCTGCTGTGTGACGCATAGTGGTAGTACCGTGGCCTGTAGTGTATCTGCCTGTGGCGCAGGGGTGTTGTGAGGCAGCTCCTGGATCTGGTCCAGCTGTTGACAGGCCCCAGCCCTCTCTGTGTTATATACAGCCACAACCTGACCCTGAATCACTGAGGCCACCAGCATCGCCAGCATTTCCACACTCATCCCTGAGAGAGAGAGAGAGAGAGAGAGAGAGAGAGAATGTATGATTTTATCCATTTTTACTGTATGCCATTCATCATTACAAGATTTTTAAAAAATTGCCAGAGAGTGGATGTCAAGCTCTTACTGTAGGCTGTGGCAGAGTCTCTATCTCTCTGGTCTCCACCCAAAAACATGCTCAGCGAAAGGTAAGGCACATTAAAACACTGTCAGGAGAAAGAGACAGAAACCATGGTGACGGTGCAAAAAAAAGGGGTATGTGATACTGTACTGTGAGTCAATAATTGCACCTTGTAACCATGGTCACACTGACACAGGAAGAGTATGGCACACAGTAACCATAGTGATGCCCTAAAGGAAAGTGGTCATTATCAAGAGGCAGCAATGATAACACTGCAGAGATCAGACTACAGAAAGCAGCTAAGTGATTTGTTTGGGATACATACAGTAGTAATTATGATACAGTAAGTGGTCCTCTGTAGCTCAGTTGGTAGAGCATGGCTCTTGCAACACCAGAATAGTGGGCTCGATTCCCGGGACCACTCATGCGTGAAAAATGTATGCACACATGACTAAGTCGCTTTGGATAAGTGTCTGCTAAATGGCATTTATTATTATTATTATTATTATTATTATTATTATTATTATTATTATTATTATTATTATAGAAATGGAGCAAGGCAAGCAAGGGTTGAGGATGTAGACTAGATGATTAAGACTTGGAGATGGGGCTGAGTGGTCATACTGTATGTGAAGAAAGAGTAGAACAGCCTTGATGTTAACAGGCTGAAATGTCTCATCCAGTGGATGAGATCGTAGATCTTACAGTCATGAGAGTCTCAAACAGGCAGCTTGCTGTGAGGTACCAGGGAACACTGAAGGCTTGAGACATGGAGCCTTGGGGCATGAACCACAGCAGGACATAGGAGAGGACCCCAAAAGGCATGGCGAGAACCACCCTGAAAAACACAAAAATACAGAAAGGGATGCTCTGAGAAGGACAGCAAGAATGGATTGCACTGGCCAAAATCAATATCAAAATGGAAGAGGCATTGTTGAGATCCACTGACCATGGCATGAGTTTGCCAATGGGTGTCAAGCTACTGCGGCTCACCAAGTACCCCACCAGTGGGTCCGTTACAGCATCCCAGGCCCGACTCACAAACAGGATCAGAGAAACATAGAAGGCCTCGATCTGCAAAAGAGCCAGGGACAGACAGGACTCAGACACCCTTCAGAGCCTGGTTCTTCTAGGTTTCTACGTAGGTTCCTGCCTTTCAGGGAGTTTTTCCTAGCCAGCGTGCTTCTACATCTGCATTGCTTGCAGTTTGGGGTTTTATGATGGGTTTCTGTATAAGCACTTTGTGACATCTGCTGATGTAAAAATGGTTTTATAAATACATTTGATTGATTTGATAGAGACAGAGACTCCAGCCTAGAGAGGTTACACAGACAGACATGAGACAGTGGACTGTACACAGACAGACAGACAGACAGACAGACAGACAATGAGTAACATTACTGACCTGTACAACATCTAGCAGGAAAATCTGTAAGGAGAAGCCCATGGCAACCGTAGTAATCTGATATGGCACACCTCCCACGGCATAGCACAGCTTCCTGGACAGAGGAATCCCTGCCGGACGCTACAGTGATCGGATATATTACAAAGACACACACACAAATTGATCAGACATGCTTGAGAGCGAGAGAGAGAAAGAGAGAGCGAGAGATTGTTAGGTTGTTAACAGTGTTATATTTAATTAATTCAAACTTTAAAGCTTTCAGGACCTCATGTTTCCCTGTCCTATTCCACAGCTTTATTAGTGGAAAACATACCCTGATTTGGTTTACTAAGCACAATAAAAGGTTGTTAATAGTGACACTTGAAACCCTACCTCTTTAAGGAATACCTGGAATAGTATAAAAGTAATCCTTCTACTCCCCCCTCCCCCACCAAAAAAAAGATGAAAAAAAAAGTGGTTGTCCCACTGGCTATCATAAATTGAATGGACCAATTTGTAAGTCACTCTGGATAAGAGCGTCTGCTAAATGACGTAAATGTTATATTGAAGAAATTCAAACTTTTAAAGCTTACAGTGGTCTTGCATTGATGACTGTCCTTGCATGTGTTTCCATCTTGCCGTTCAATGGTATGGGGGGGTAAATGACTCCTCAAGGTCTGTAGTTGATCTGTCAAAGTCTGGAAGCAGCTCATCCTTTGGAATTAGGTGTCTCCCGTGGTTACAGTCCACTCCAGATCACAATTTGCCTCCTCGACAGGGTAAAGCTCTGTCCTACAACTTCAACATGTTTCTCTGCTTCTGACATGAGAACAAACAAACTACTAGTATCTGGTAACAATGGACACATGCACACACATTTGTGCTGTGTGTGCACACCTCTTAATCCTTTGTGACATTGGAATCCCACCAAACAACTCTGGCCCTTTGAAAGTGAGAAACTCCTGTCGAGGTCTATTTCAACCCACCTATTAAAGTACTACATTGTTTTAACACAAACAGGTGTTAAAGCCCCTGTAAGTCTAAGCCTTTAGATCGCAATATCTACTAAACATATTAAATTGTTTTAAGATGGTAATAAAATGTATCATTTTGCAATTTGATTTGGAATTTTAGGACCTCTGTAGGTATATATATATATATATATACAGTGGGGGAAAAAAGTATTTAGTCAGCCACCAATTGTGCAAGTTCTCCCACTTAAAAAGATGAGAGAGGCCTGTAATTTTCATCATAGGTACACGTCAACTATGACAGACAAAATGAGAAAAAAAAATCCAGAAAATCACATTGTAGGATTTTTAATGAATTGATTTGCAAATTATGGTGGAAAATAAGTATTTGGTCAATAACAAAAGTTTCTCAATACTTTGTTATATACCCTTTGTTGGCAATGACACAGGTCAAACGTTTTCTGTAAGTCTTCACAAGGTTTTCACACACTGTTGCTGGTATTTTGGCCCATTCCTCCATGCAGATCTCCTCTAGAGCAGTGATGTTTTGGGGCTGTCGCTGGACAACACGGACTTTCAACTCCCTCCAAAGATTTTCTATGGGGTTGAGATCTGGAGACTGGCTAGGCCACTCCAGGACCTTGAAATGCTTCTTACGAAGCCACTCCTTCGTTGCCCGGGCGGTGTGTTTGGGATCATTGTCATGTTGACAGACCCAGCCACGTTTCATCTTCAATGCCCTTGCTGATGGAAGGAGGTTTGCACTCAAAATCTCACGATACATGGCCCCATTCATTCTTTCCTTTACACGGATCAGTCGTCCTGGTCCCTTTGCAGAAAAACAGCCCCAAAGCATGATGTTTCCACCCCCATGCTTCACAGTAGGTATGGTGTTCTTTGGATGCAACTCAGCATTCTTTGTCCTCCAAACACGACGAGTTGAGTTTTTACCAAAAAGTTCTATTTTGGTTTCATCTGACCATATGACATTCTCCCAATCCTCTTCTGGATCATCCAAATGCACTCTAGCAAACTTCAGACGGGCCTGGACATGTACTGGCTTAAGCAGGGGGACACGTCTGGCACTGCAGGATTTGAGTCCCTGGCGGCGTAGTGTGTTACTGATGGTAGGCTTTGTTACTTTGGTCCCAGCTCTCTGCAGGTCATTCACTAGGTCCCCCCGTGTGGTTCTGGGATTTTTGCTCACCGTTCTTGTGATCATTTTGACCCCACGGGGTGAGATCTTGCGTGGAGCCCCAGATCGAGGGAGATTATCAGTGGTCTTGTATGTCTTCCATTTCCTAATAATTGCTCCCACAGTTGATTTATTCGAAACAAGCTGCTCACCTATTGCAGATTCAGTCTTCCCAGCCTGGTGCAGGTCTACAATTTTGTTTCTGGTGTCCTTTGACAGCTCTTTGGTCTTGGCCATAGTGGAGTTTGGAGTGTGACTGTTTGAGGTTGTGGACAGGTGTCTTTTATACTGATAACAAGTTCAAACAGGTGCCATTAATACAGGTAACGAGTGGAGGACAGAGGAGCCTCTTAAAGAAGAAGTTACAGGTCTGTGAGAGCCAGAAATCTTGCTTGTTTGTAGGTGACCAAATACTTATTTTCCACCATAATTTGCAAATAAATTCATAAAAAATCCTACAATGTGATTTTCTGGATTTTTTTTCCTCAATTTGTCTGTCATAGTTGACGTGTACCTATGATGAAAATTACAGGCCTCTCTCATCTTTTTAAGTGGGAGAACTTGCATAATTGGTGGCTGACTAAATACTTTTTTTTCCCACTGTGTGTGTGTGTGTATATATATATATATATATATATATATATATATACATACATACATACATACATACACACACACACACACACACACACACACACACACACACACACACACACACACACACACACACACACACACACACACTGCTCAAAAAAATGAAGGGAACACTAAAATAACACATCCTAGATCTGAATGAATGAAATAATCTTATTAAATACTTTTTTCTTTACATAGTTGAATGTGCTGACAACAAAATCACACACAAATTATCAATGGAAATCAAATTTATCAACCCATGGAGGTCTGGATTTGGAGTCACACTCAAAATTAAAGTGGAAAACCACACTACAGGCTGATCCAACTTTGATGTAATGTCCTTAAAACAAGTCAAAATGAGGCTCAGTAGTGTGTGTGGCCTCCACGTGCCTGTATGACCTCCCTACAATGCCTGGGCATGCTCCTGATGAGGTGGCGGATGGTCTCCTGAGGGATCTCCTCCCAGACCTGGACTAAAGCATCCGCCAACTCCTGGACAGTCTGTGGTGCAACGTGGCGTTGGATGGAGCGAGACATGATGTCCCAGATGTGCTCAATTGGATTCAGGTCTGGGGAACGGGCAGTCCATAGCATCAATGCCTTCCTCTTGCAGGAACTGCTGACACACTCCAGCCACATGAGGTCTAGCATTGTCTTGCATTAGGAGGAACCCAGGGCCAACCGCACCAGCATATGGTCTCACAAGGGGTCTGAGGATCTCATCTCGGTACCTAATGGCAGTCAGGCTACCTCTGGCGAGCACATGGAGGGCTGTGCGGCCCCCCAAAGAAATGCCACCCCACACCATGACTGACCCACCGCCAAACCGGTCATGCTGGAGGATGTTGCAGGCAGCAGAACGTTCTCCACGGCGTCTCCAGACTCTGTCACGTCTGTCACATGTGCTCAGTGTGAACCTGCTTTCATCTGTGAAGAGCACAGGGCGCCAGTGGCGAATTTGCCAATCTTGGTGTTCTCTGGCAAATGCCAAGCGTCCTGCACGGTGTTGGGCTGTAAGCACAACCCCCACCTGTGGACGTCGGGCCCTCATACCACCCTCATGGAGTCTGCTCAAACGGTCAGAAACAGACACATGCACATTTTTGCTCACCGTTCTTGTGATCATTTTGACCCCACGGGGTGAGATCTTGCGTGGAGCCCCAGATCGAGGGAGATTATCAGTGGTCTTGTATGTCTTCCATTTCCTAATAATTGCTCCCACAGTTGATTTCTTCAAACCAAGCTGCTTACCTATTGCAGATTCAGTCTTCCCAGCCTGGTGCAGGTCTACAATTTTGTTTCTGGTGTCCTTTGACAGCTCTTTGGTCTTGGCCATAGTGGAGTTTGGAGTGTGACTGTTTGAGGTTGTGGACAGGTGTCTTTTATACTGATAACAAGTTCAAACAGGTGCCATTAATACAGGTAACGTGTGGAGGACAGAGGAGCCCCTTAAAGAAGAAGTTACAGGTCTGTGAGAGCCAGAAATCTTGCTTGTTTGTAGGTGACCAAATACTTATTTTCCACCATAATTTGCAAATAAATTCATAAAAAATCCTACAATGTGATTTTCTGGAGAAAAAAAATCTCAATTCATCTGTCATAGTTGACGTGTACCTATGATGAAAATTACAGGCCTCTCTCATCTTTTTTAAGTGGGAGAACTTGCACAATTGGTGGCTGACTAAATACTTTTTTCCCCCACTGTAAATGCTTCAGAGTTCAAGTAACAGACACGTCAACATCAACTGTTCAGAGGAGACTGCGTGAATCAGGCTTCATGGTGGAATTGCTGCTAAAGGACACCAATAATAAGAAGAGACTTGCTTGGGCCAAGAAACACGAGCAATGGACATTAGACCGGCGGAAATCGGTCCTTTGGTCTGATGAGTCCTAATGTGAGATTTTTGGTTCCAACCGCCGTGTCTTTGTGAGACGCAGAGTAGGTGAACGGATGATCTCCGCATGTGTGGTTCCCACTGTGAAGCATGGAGGTGGTGATGTGATGGTGCTTTGCTGGTGACACTGTCAGTGATTTATTTAGAATTCAAAAAGGCACACTTAACCATCATGGCTACCACATTCTGCAGCAATACGCCATCTCTACTGGTTTGCGCTTAGTGGGACTATCATTTGTTTTTCAACAGGACAATGACCCAAAACACACCTCCAGGCTGTGTAAGGGCTATTTGACCAAGGAGAGTGATGGAGTGCTGCATCAGATGACCTGGCCTCCACAATCACCCGACCTCAACCCAATTGAGATGGTTTGGGATGAGTTAGACCGCAGAGTGAAGGAAAAGCAGCCAACAAGTGCTCAGCATATGTGGCAACTACTTCAAGACTGATGAAAAAGCATTCCTCATTAAGCTGGTTGAGAGAATGCCAAGAGTGTTCAAAGCTGTCATCAAGGCAAATGGTGGCTACTTTGAAGAATCTAAAATATTTAGATTTGTTTAACACTTTTTAGGTTAATATATGATTCCATATGTGTTATTTCATAGTTTTGATGTCTTCACTATTATTCTACAAAGTAGAAAATAGTAAAAATAAAGAAAACATTTGTTTGGACACACCTACTCTCATGGTGAGCACAAATAAAACATCACAAATCACTCAGAAAAACAGTTACATTCCTCCACAAATAAATCCCCAATCAATACTTTAAATTGACTTAACGGCACCAGAACATCAAGATTAAATGTATTTTGAATTTTGTTCCAGCATTATGGTGCATTAAAACTAAAAGCAGATTTACCTAGCTCGGTGGAGACTCTAGGAACCTCAAGAGTTAACCAATCCTGTGAACGGATTAGGCAAATCAGATGTCTATACTTTAACAGAAATGTTTGATAAGGTGGAAGTTTATGAAGTTGGGCCTTTATGAAGTTGGGCCAGGTCTTTAGCGAAGTCCAGCCAACCTTTTGATACAGTGATGAATATCAAAACGGTCGCCTGTTAACAAAACGAAGGGCATTATGGGAGATTGCATCCAAAGGTTTAAGAGTAGTAGCAGCTGCACTTTGATAAATAATATCACCATAATCAAGAACAGATCATCTGCTTCCTACTGCTTAGAGAAAGCCACGATCTGTTACTGTAGAGAAAGTCAATAAAAAATGTTTGCTTCTTAACCAGCTCATCTATATGTTTTTTAAATGTCCAACCCATATCAATCCAAATGCCTAAGTATTTATGTGCGGGAACACGTTTGATTGGAGAACCATCTAATGAGTGAACATGTAATTCATCTGAAACATTCTTACGAGAGTTTAAAAACAACATGAATTTAGTTTTGCCCGTACCAAGCACAAGTTTTAAATCAGCAAGGGATTCCTGCATAGCTATAAAATCTGACTGTAGTTTTGACACAGCCAGATCAACAGTCGGGGCAATAGCATACATAATAGTATCATCCGCATATAGATGAAGTTTACACATTTTTAACAGATTGACCAATGGTGTTTATATAAATAGTTTAGAGAACAGGTCCCAAAAATGCACTTCAAGAAATTCCCTTAACCCCAATCAATCATGATGGCCTGAGTTCTTCCACTAAAAGAATCATGAAACCATGAACAGGCGTCAGAGTCAGGCCTATCGAGGACAACTTATTCAAATAAATAGCATGATCAACAGTATCAAAAGCTTTGGACAGGTCCACAAACAAAGCGCACATTTCATTTTAGTGTCTAAAGTATTGACAAGATCATTAACAACTAAAGTGGTTGCTGTAATAGTGCTATGGCCAGGCCTATATCCTGATTGGTTTACATTCCAAATATATTTCTCAGATAGAAAAGAGCAAAGTTGTACATTTACCAAGGATTCGAGAATCGTAGCTAGACAAGGATGCCTTGAAATGGGGCGATTAACTATTAATATCACTACTATCCCCGCCCTTATGGAGTGGCAGCACAAGAGCTGATTTCCATAATTTTGGAATATTTCCCAATAACAATGTTAAATAAAAAATGTGGGTTATTGAGCCAACAATGATGGGCGCTGCACATCATTGTGGATTTCTTGTTGTCTATGGCTAGCAAACCATCCAGGACTTATTTTTCTGTAAATAGCCTAAATGAAAAGCTTTGACTATTTCTCTGATCATTCAGCAAGTTTCCCCTATCAGCATCCAGCCCAATATCATTGTGAATAGGCTTAGAAGTTCTTTCAGAGATAGCCCACTGAAATAAAATGGTGAATAAATGTATCAATGATGGCATTTTTTTTCCGTAATGAGGCTAGTGTCTGAATTAATTTGTTGTGGCAGAGAGGAGGAAGTAGAACCCTTTAAGGATTTGACAGTTTTCCAGAATTTAGCCAGGTTCCCATTGCAATCAGAGAGTGGTTACATAATAATCAGATTTAGCCTTTCAGATTGTTTTTTTTACACAATGGTTCCTCAATTGCTTAAAAGCTTGCCAGTCTGGGCCTAAGCTTGTGTTCCTGGCCTTGAACCAAGCATCATCTCTTTTATGTCAAGGGAAATGGATTTCAGTAAAGAGAGAATGTTTTTTAAATAAAAATGGACACTCCACCACCTCTACCATGTCTGTCAGCTCTGAACACATGATAACCCTCAATATTAATATCAGAGTCCAGAATGTCCCCAAAGATCCAAGTTCCAGTCAATACCAGAATGTCCGGATTTGTCTGCATAGCCCAGATCTGAATTAACTCCAGTTCAGGAAGTAAGCTCCTGATGTTCAGATTCATCAACCCAAGTCCTTTACGATTTCTTAAGTCACATGGAAATTCCAACTCAAATCAAGCTACTGTATGTTCAATAGGCGGTTGCGGACCCTGTCTGATGGTTGATATTGATTTAGTTGGTTTGGCTATAAGATTGCATAGAACTAGACTATTTGGTCTATCCCTATTAGAAATAGAGGAAGGAGAAGAAATTGGAATTACTTTTCCAAGTTTAGCATCATAGGGCATGAGGCTACAGCCAATGTCAATATGAGGAACTCTCAGAGGAACCAATGATGGAATGTTATAAACTGACTTACATGGGCGTGCAACAGCCCAAACCCTCTACGTGATTTGAAAACCGAGGGGGTATTCAAGTTTATGGGATTCACATTTGAACTAAAAGCACTGGGTGAGCAGACCACAGTGGGCTCCTCTTTTGATCTAACAATAGCAGATCTAAGAGTAAATCAAACGAATGGGTACGCGATTACAACTGACAACACCCCTGGCAGTATAGACAACAGTATGACGATAACGCTTAGAGAGGATGGGAGGTATTACCTGAGCAGGGCATGGTCTGTCTCTGAGTCTATATCTTAACGCGGCTTTGAAATGTGAAGAGAGGGTCCAGGCTCCTAGATGGTTTGGGTGGAGTCCATCATCCCTGTAGAGCATCTTTTGTTTCCAAAAAGTTTCAGAATTGTCAATAAAAGTTATGCCAACAGAATGGCAGTAGACTTTAAGCCAGATATGAAGTGCTAAAAGCCTGCAGAACCTTTTGCAGCCGCAACTCAGCGATGGCACAGGACCAGAGATAATCGGCTGCTTTCAGAGCCTTTTAGGGTGTTGATCAGCTCAATAAAATCCTGTTTCATTAGCCATGATTTACCCTTTTTGATATCATTTGATCCCACATGCACTACAACAGCAGCAGCCCTTGGCTGTAGGAAGGTGAGGACAGAAAAATAAATATTGTGATATCCTTCACCGTAGCCCCCAGGTAGCACAGAGTTTTAGCTCCAGGAACTAAGATGTGCCTCACCATGGAACTACCAATGATAATGGCTGGAGGAAGGTGAGTAGCTGTGGACATCCAGCCTTTTCTGAGCCTCCTTGAGGACCGACGGGAGATGAGGGACGGAGGACCCTCATCAATAGAAGCCCCATTCACCAAACACTGCTTCCTTGCGCTGGATGAAACAGGTGTTAGTACCAAGTACCTTGCAATAAATAAATGTGCACAAATGAAATCCAACACTGTATCAAACTGCATTGACAGACAGTTTCCTTCACTATTAGTCCAGATCAGTCCCTTCCTTTCATTTTCCTTAGTTGGTTTATACTGGCGGTAACAGTTCTCCTGCTTTTTTCTCTGTACAGGAATTGTGTTTAAAGTGTACCTCCATGTTTTTCTCCCCTGCCTCTATTTACATCAGTCTCTCAGGGCCCTAAAGGTTGGTGCTCCTGGCACTATCCTTGGATGTGCGGATACCATAAAGCCACTTGATAACTCTGGCGTTCCTCTCAATTACTGAGACGCCATAGGGAGCTGGCTCTGCAGCCCCACCTTCCTCTTCACCCTCCTGGCCTGCACACTCTGACCCAGGAGCGCTGGCACTGCGGAACTGTGCAAGGGAGGCGACGTCTGAGCCCGGCACCTTCAGCACCTGCATCTCCGAAGGGTCCAAACCACACAGGTTGAAGAAGCGCTCCAGCTCAGTACTGGCCCGTGAGTAACGGTCACTCATGTCTGATTTGGAGCGGGTCAGAGAGGGACGTTTCCTGGAGGTACCGGATGACAGGCGGGTGACCGACGGGGAGGGCGGGAGTATGGGGGGGTTGGATGGGAGCTGGATGGGGGTAGACGGGGAGGTGGGATTTGGGGTGTGGTTTTGTGGTGGAGGGGCTGGGACAGGTTTAGGAGACGCATGGCCTGGTGTATAGGTAGTTCGGGGGTGGTGGAGACGCAGAGATGACATAGCGTTGTGGATCTGGGTGTGTGGATGCAGAGCCATGGGCTGCTGCTGTGCTCTAAGGGGCGTCCTCACTGGCATGGTGTGGTGGGGTTGGGGTATGACGTCCACTCTACGTATGGTCACTGCAGTTGGAGACTCTGTAGGATTTAGTGGGCCAGAGGCATTTACCCTTACTTTGACTGGGGTGGACCACTCAGGACAGGGGGTCTGGATACTCTCAGCAGCCCCCGACCCAGCAGAGACTGGAGAGGGACAGGGAGAGTTGGTAGTGGTGGGGCAGTCAGAGGCCTGACTACTCTCCACTGGGTCCATGGTGGGGGTGGTAGGGGAGGTGGGGGGAATTTCAGCCTCACCCACCCCATTGATCAGGTTACTCAGGTGCTCCAGGTCCAGTGGGGAACTCCCTTGCTGGGTGTAGTTAGGGCGAGGCGGTTGGGCCTTACGGGTGGGCCGCAGGGCGGGGGCCGGGGACATCAGAGGCTTGCGCATGACAGGCGGAGGCACTTTGATTGGCTGCTGCTTGGAGAGGGCCACCTGGCTCTTGACATATTTAGCCTTGTCTGCTGCCAGCCTCTCCACTGCGCTCTGCCTGGGCTCAGCTGCTGCCGCTGTTCTTGGTTGTAGGAGGAGGCGGTTGGGCATGAGAAGGCGGTTGGGCATTCCAGCAGCAGCAGCCCTCACGGCCACCGGCCGTCTTAGGCCAGGCTGGAGGGTCTCCACAGGCATGCTGGAGGTGGGGTTGGGAGGTAGCACGAGTGGGCTTGTTTGTCCTTGACTCCTGTCTTTATCCAGCCTTTTCTTCAGATGCCTTCAGTCCAGGATCATACTGTTCCCTATACACAAGTCCCTAAAAGTTGACAGGATGTTGCTTGTGGCTGATATGATTCCGTCTTCTTCCAGTTCCCATGGGGGTGTCACTTGAACCCTGGTGCCCTAAAGTCCTGGATGTCCAGCAGAAAAAGGAGAAACAGCATCACATCAGATAGCAACTACACACCATAAGAGGAGAGAGACAGCATACAGGCAAGCAATCAATATAAATACAGTTACCTCAAAGACAGAGGGAGCACCTCTCTGTCAGATCATTGACCTCCTACAGAGAAACTACCCCTATGGCACTGATACTTCAACTCACACAAATCACTTTAAAGTGCTGTGGTTGACTCAGGGATATTATAAGTCAACAGTAGTGGCCCCTCCCACTGCACTCACAAAACCCCAGGATGCAGCCAATCACAACACAGAATGTTATACAGTGCCTTGCAAAAGTATTTATCCCCCTTGGTGTTTCTCCTATTTTGTTGCATTACAACCTGTAATTTAAAATGATTTTTATTTGGATTTCATGTAATGGACATACACAAAATAGTCCAAATTGGTGAAGTGAAATGAAAAAAATAACTTGTTTCAAAAAATTCTAAAAAATAAATAACGGAAAAGTTGTGCGTGCATATGTATTCACCCCCTTTGCTACGAAGCCCCTAAATAATATCTGGTGCAACCAATTACCTTCAGAAGTCACATAATTAGTTAAATAAGTCCACCTGTGTGCAATCTAAGTGTCACATGATCTGTCACATGATCTCAGTATATATACAGTGAGGGAAAAAAGTATTTGATCCCCTGCTGATTTTGTATGTTTGCCCACTGACAAAGAAATGATCAGTCTATAATTTTAATGGTAGGTTTATTTGAACAGTGAGAGACAGAATAACAACAAAAAAATCCAGAAAAACACGTCAAGAATGTTATAAATTGATTTGCATTTTAATTAGGAAAATAAGTATTTGACCCCCTCTCAATCAGAAAGATTTCTGGTTCCCAGGTGTCTTTTATACAGGTAATGAGCTGAGATTAGGAGCACACTCTTAAAGGGAGTGCTCCTAATCTCAGCTTTTTACCTGTATAAAAGACACCTGTCCACAGAAGCAATCAATCAATCCGATTCCAAACTCTCCACCATGGCCAAGACCAAAGAGCTCTCCAAGGATGTCAGGAACAAGATTGTAGGCCTACACAAGGCTGGAATGGGCTACAAGACCATCGCCAAGCAGCTTGGTGAGAAGGTGACAACAGTTGGTGCGATTATTCGCAAATGGAAGAAACACAAAATAACTGTCAATCTCCCTCGGCCTGGGGATCCATGCAAGATCTCACCTCGTGGAGTTGCAATGATCATGAGAACGGTGAGGAATCAGCCCAGAACTACACGGGAGGATCTTGTCAATGATCTCAAGGCAGCTGGGACCATAGTCACCAAGAAAACAATTGGTAACACACTACGCCATGAAGGACTGAAATCCTGCAGCGCCCGCAAGGTCCCCCTGCTCAAGAAAGCACATATACAGGCCCGTCTGAAGTTTGCCAATGAACATCTGAATGATTCAGAGGAGAACTGGGTGAAAGTGTTGTGGTCAGATGAGACCAAAATTGAGCTCTTTTGGCAACTCTCCGTGTTTGGAGGAGGAGGAATGCTGCCTATGACCCCAAGAACACCATCCCCACCGTCAAACATGGAGATGGAAACATTATGCTTTGGGGGTGTTTTTCTGCTAAGGGGACAGGACAACTTCACCGCATCAAAGGGACGCTGGACGGCGCCATGTACCATCAAATCTTGGGTGAGAACCTCCTTCCCTCAGCCAGGGCAATGAAAATGAGTCGTGGATGGGTATTCCAGCATGACAATGACCCAAAACACATGGCCAAGGCAACAAAGGAGTGTCTCAAGAAGAAGCACATTAAGGTCCTGGAGTGGCCTAGCCAGTCTCCAGACCTTAATCCCATAGAAAATCTGTGGAGGGAGCTGAAGTTTCGAGTTGCCAAACGTCAGGCTCGAAACCTTAATGACTTGGAGAAGATCTGGGAAGAGGAGTGGGACAAAATCCCTCCTGAGATGTGTGCAAACCTGGTGGCCAACTACAAGAAGCGTCTGACCTCTGATTGCCAACAAGGGTTTTGCAAACAAGTACTAAGTCATGTTTTGCAGAGGGGTCAAATACTTATTTTCCCTCATTAAAATGCAAATCAATTTATAACATTTTTGACATGTGTTTCTGGATTTTTTTTTTGTTATTCTGTCTCTCACTTTTCAAATAAACCTACCATTAAAATTATAGATTGATCATGTCTTTGTCAATGGGCAAACATACAAAATCAGCAGGGGATCAAGTACTTTTTTCCTTTACTGTATACACCTGTTCTGAAAGCCCCCAGAGTCTGCAACACCACTAAGCAAGGGGCACCACCAAGCAAGCGGCACCATGAAGACCAAGGAGCTCTCCAAACAGGTCAGGAACAAAGTTGTAGAGAAGTACAGATCAGGGTTGGGTTATAAAAAAATATCTGAAACTTTGAACATCCCACGGAGCACCTTTAAATCCATTATAAAAATGTTTAAAGAATATGGCACCACAACAAACCTGCCATGAGAGGGCCGCCCACCAAAACTCACGGACCAGGCAAGGAGGGCATTAATCAGAGGCAACAAAGAGACCAAAGATAACCCTGAAGGAGCTGCAAAGCTCCACAGCGGAGATTGGAGTATCTGTCCATAGGACCACTTTAAGCCGTACACTCCACAGAGCTGGGATTTACGGAACAGTGGCCAGAAAAAAGCCATTGCTTCAAGAAAAAAATAAGCAAAAACGTTTGGTGTTCCCAAAAGGCATGTGGGAGACTCCCCAAACATATGGAAGAAGGTACTCTGGTCAGATGAGACTAAATTTGAGCTTTTTGGCCATCAAGGAAAACGCTATGTCTGGCGCAAACCCAACACCTCTCATCACCCCGAGACACCATCCCCACAGTGAAGCATGGTGGTGGTAGCATCATGCTGTGGGGATGTTTTTAATCGGCAGGGACTGGGAAACTGGTCAGAATTGAAGGAATAATGGATGGTGCATGGTATGAATAGTTATGCACGCTCAAGTTCTGTTTTTTGTCTTATTTCTTGTTTGTTTCACAAAAAAGATTTTGCATCTTCAAAGTGGTAGGCATGTTGTGTAAATCAAATGATCCAAACCCCCCAAAAATCAATTTTAATTCCAGGTTGTATGGCAACAAAATAGGAAAAATGCCAAGGGGGGTGAATACTTTTGCAAGCCACTGTACATCTCCACAGCTGTCAACAAACTATTGTTTGGAAGAATACTCAGACAGAGCCTATCACACACAGCAACAGCTGGTAGAGGGGAACAATGCATGTCATCTTTAAATAAAGATCCCAGTTGCTAGGGGGTCGTGCTGGGCTTCCTCTAGACCAGTGTTTCCCAACTCCAGTCCTCGAGTGTACCCTACAGCACATATTTCTGTTATAGCCCCGGACAAGCACACCTGATTCAACTTGACAACTAATCATCAAGCCCTCAGTGAGTTGAATCAGGTGAGTTTGTCTGGGACTACAGCAAAAATGTGTGCTGTTGGGGGGGTACTCGAGGACTGGAGTTGGGAAACACTGCTCTAGACTGCAGACCCTGCGATAGAGGTCTTCAGTATCTCTGAAACCATACCACTTGATCCACCCCTCTAAAAGTTGACTGTAGTTATCATCAATTTGTTTTGCTTAGAACACAAATCATGTATTTTTTGGTCTGCACCAGTAAATGTATTGAAGATCGGTGACCACAACAACAAACATTACCTTGAGTAGCTGGGTACAATGGGGTTGGGTCTGGCAAACTATTCCATTAATCTGGCACTTCTGGGGAAGAATAAGTTAATATTGTAGGCCTATTATTAACTTCTAAAGATGTTCCTATTGTGTGGTGTCATGCGCTGTTGGTAGATAAAGTGCAAAGATATGAATGTTAAACCAGTAATCTGTGCTTTATGAATGAGTGTTTAAGAAACCGCTCTGTATCTGACAGACACATTCTCAGCAACATGTTTCCCATTCCACCTAGAACCATGCCAATCCCCTACTGATGTTAGAGCGGTCTCACTGCACCCTCTTACCTGCATGTTCCTTATCTCTTCATCTCGATGTCGCTCCTCCTCTCCCTCCACACACACTCCTACTGTACACACAGTACAATTTATTAGTCAATGAGGGCAGAGTACATTCTGTTTTATTAGGCTAACTTCTCAGAATACAGTAATACTGAACACACAGAGGTATGTAAAGTGGTACGTAAAACAAAACCTGATCCTTCTCCTTCAACCCAGTGTCAAGTGTCAGCTTCTTCCATTTAGGAAGAAAAAACACCTAACACTGAAAGGATCTCTCACATGCATACACTCAAGGCTTATAGATTGATTGTCCTTAAGTTCTTTGATCCTGTTTGTTTGAAGGCGTTTGTTACTTGGACACACACAGACTTCCTCGGGGGTTACTCTCCAATGAAATCTCACCTTTAGAATGGAAGTAATATCTTACAGGTCCCCAATAGAACTCTGGGCCTCTCTCCACAGCTCAGCACGCCACAGACGATACAAACTGCAGAATTCTACTGCAGAGCCAGAATGGAAAGGAGCAACAGACCAGCCAAACTTGTCAGATTGCTCACGTGCTCCTCCTTCTCATTCCCCTACCTGACTACTACTTTTTCTTCTCCTTCTATGGTATTATGGCTGTCTGCAAACATACGTTAGAGGTGCATGCCGCCACCTTCTGTGTGGGCTGTGTCAGCCTACTGTTATGGAGTGTGAATTCATTACACTTTGTGAAACAAAAAGGGATGGGGAAAAAGGAGGGGGAAAAGAGAAGAAAACAATGTGCCCTGCCAACTAACTAACTAAACCTACACCAATTAAAACCTCACCACTATTCCACTACTTTGGCTCTATCTGAGCCTACCCCAGGCTGGCAGCCTGGGAGGACGGAACACTGTTGCTCAACACACCTTGTAACTCCTTTGCTGTAAAATCTTGTACATACAAGTACTTCTCTGCAGCTGCCACCACATCTATTTTCTTTGATTTATGTTCCATTTCTGCCAGTTGATAACCATGGCAATGAATACTATGAAGCCAACCTTGCTGAAGCACGTTATTCCTGTTTGAAAGTCGGACACTGTGGTGGTTTTCCAACAGCAAGGCTCAGATCAACATGGCAGTGTCAACATAGCTGCTATTGTTTATAAAGGTTTGTCTGTATAAATGTCGAAATAAACCTTTCTGTACCCCCATATCACACACCAACAAACTGGAAACATAACGTGTACAATTCGTTGGTTAGATTAATATTACTTTTCATTTGTATCCCCTGAATCACAGCAAAATTGGTTCCTGTTTCAGTTAAATAATTGGCCACGTTTGCGTGGGTCAAACAAAAACAACCTAGTGTTGATAAACAGCACCTCCCACAATGCAAGTGATGGCTGTATTGTGGAGTTGGTGAGAAGCAACTGTAACGACCTCTTTAAAAAAAACTGCATGACCTTTGATCACATGATTTTTGTAAAGTTCATGTAGTCGCAAGTCTGACAATTGTTATAACCATAATGCAACACACTTTAAAAGGCGGTGACCAACGAGTCAACGACTTGACAAAAGTGATCCGCTCGAACGCGCCCAGTGGCCGTGTTCGAAAGCATCAAAACGACTGCAGGCGACTGACTGATCTACAAATCACCTTGCATCATTAATAACGACTCATTATTTGTAGATCAATCAGCTAGTCACAATTTACCCATGATACATTGGGGTTTTGATCCTCTCTAACACGGCCAGTGTCTTCTCAGTTTCACCACGCTCTCCACCGGGTCTGCGTCGTCCCACCTGGTTACTCTGACCAAATCACTCCTACATAAGGAAGTACACTGGCTTCTTCTGTCATGTGATAATAGCAGTTTCCAATTCTCTAATGATTTCAGTAATCAGAATGATTTTTAAAATATGAAATGAGAACAAAGGGTTGTTTTAAATAAATGTATTTCCCCTATTACAGAACTTACAGAAACAGTAATTTCCTCATAATTTCTGAAAAGTTACAGTTTAATTGAATAGCGTTTTATATTTCAACAAAAAACATAGAAAAACAGGAACCAGCACCCAAGAGTATACAAATAATAACTGGACAAAAACAAATATTAATGTACATGTTGCACTATTTCCTCTTTTGAACATATCATACACTTACATAGGGAGGCTTTACTTGAAAATGGAAACCGCAGACACACATGAACATACACACCAACATTCACAGCCCAGGTTATTGTGTACAGATAAATCTCACTGTGTGGGCCTGCTACTCTGTTAATTATTTATGCATAGTCACTTTAACTCTACCCACATGTACATATTACTTCAACTATCTCAACTAGCCGGTGCCCCCGCACATTGACTCTGCAACGGTACCCCCCTGTATATATAGCCTCCCTACTGTTATTTTATTTTACTTCTGCTCTTTTTTTCTCAACACTTTTTTTGTTGTTGTTTTATTTTTACTTTTTTTGTTAAAAATAAATGCACTGTTGGTTAAGGGCTGTAAGTAAGCATTTCACTGTAATGTCTGAACCTGTTGTATTCGGCGCATGTGACCAATACAATTTGATTTGATTTGATTTGATAGTCTTAATTTTGGTACTCACTGCTCTCCCAGAGTATTTAACCAACTATTTGGTGACTCATAACTGTGTAACATTGCATATAATGCCAAAGAAAAAAACAGTAGGCTACAAAAACATTTGAAACATTTATATCGGCCTTGGCTAGATGGTAGAATGTGGTGGAGAACATGAAGAACTCTCTGTGTGGAAGCTGTGAGAGAGGGCCAAATGCCCATGAAGACTCATTAACTACAAATAAAGGTAGACTGAGAAGGAATCCTCAAAACCTTACATGTATGGTCCTATACTGTACAAAAATAGAAAGGTCAGTAAGAATAACTTCCCACAATGAATGATTACATGTTTATACTGGAATGAGAGTTCTCTCTCCACAAATTCACTTGAATAATATAATGCAAAGTGAATTTCCCCCCTTTTCTGAGTAAATCCTTTGGTTGTTCTTATGCTGTAATATGCACTGTGGCACACAGTGACGTTTCCTTACAGAAGCTTACAGATCTTCCCAGATGGATGCAAGTTTCATTTTACTGTGCAAAAAAGTGCCCGAAACAATATACAAACATAAAACGTATACAATTGTTATTTTAATATGTACACTAATATGTACTATGACGTATCTCTCTGATTCGTCATTGTACAGTAGTTCACTCCATCTTTGAATAAGTCTGCTGCATAGGAGTATTGTGTTCAAAGTATCCCAAAGGAATACCAACATATTACAGATTTATTTTTGTGATATTGAACATTTCCTTAACTTTCACTGGGTCTGTGAGGATCAAAGTTAGGAGATTGCACAGTTGTCTTTGTCCTTTGCGCCAAGGCTATTTGCCCTCCTCCTCCTTCTCAGGCTGTTCCTCAAACCCCTGTCCTTTACTCCCTCCCTCTCTCCGTCCCCCTCTCCCTCCCTCTCTCCATCCACGGACTGGGGCCTTCGGGTTAGCTGGGGGGGCAGGGGGATGGGCTGCCCCAGGAAGTAACCCTCTTCCTCTGAGGAGGAGGAGGAGGAGCAGGTTGAGCAGGAGTCCTCGTGTTTGTTGTACTGGGCTGGCTGGAGGGTGAGTGACAGGGGCTCTGTGGTGCCAGGGGAAGAGAGGGAAGCCCTCTCCCTCTCTCCTCTCCATTCTAGAGCGTCCAGACGGGGCCGATCAGGCACAGAGTAATGGAAGTGTCTCTCTGTGCCTAGGTGGAGAATGGAGTCCGAGGCCACGCGGCCGCGGTTCCACCCCCGCCGTAAACTACGATGTTGGTATGAACCATCTGTGAGGAGACACAGAAAATTAGAGACGGTTGGTAGTTGTGAAGAAAATAAAAAAGAACAGGAGAAGGAAAATAAAAAAAAGTGGTATTTGTCTCTTACCCAGAAGGTCCATTTGAGGTGGAATGCCCTTCTGCATATGTAATCTGCGCCCAAAACCTCCATCCTCTTCCTCCCCCTGTTCTTCTTCCCCATCTCCTTTCTCCTCCTCATCTTCTTCTTCTTCCTCCTCCTCCTCATTCACAGAGTAGCTGCAGCTGATTGGCTCTCGAAAGCTGACCCTGGCTGTCCCACTGCGAAATGATTGGGGGCTATGGTCAGGGGGGCTTGGTTCTGGTTGGTGCAGACTTGGCTTGGTCATCAAATCACAAGACTTGGTGGGTAGAGTGGGTGGGAGGGGCGGCGGGTCAGCAGGACTGGGGTGGTTTAGTGATGCAGGTAAGGAGGAGTTCCTCGGGGGAGGAAACACTGGGAAGAGGGAGAGGGAACAAATAAAATACCTCAATCCATAAAAAGGTAAAGGATTCAATTACTGTTCAATCAACTCACAATAACAGGAGGTGAGAAAGATGTGAAGACGGATTTATAGAATACTACCAACTCTTTCTTATGGCCAATTGTATCTAACAGAGCACTACAGTTAACTGTTTCATTCTGAACACAATGCTTTAGCTTAAGACCCACATTTATTATGCATGTCATTGCCTTGAAGTGGCACTTTGTAGAACAATTCACCCATGTGTAATACCTTGCGTAACTTGACTACTCTTCTCCACCCAGTTCCCACAGTCCTTTGTTGTAGACGTTCCTCTACTGAAACTGGTGAGGGGGTGTCCAGCGTAGCCGTTGGGCTCTCCTAAAAACTCCAGACTACTGCCTTGATGCTTGCCACAGTCTCCAGGGTGCAAACTGTTGAGTGATTGGTCGACAGGCCAAGATGGTGCCCAGCCATTGGCTAAGCGACAGTGGGGAAGTGGAGAGTAGGACCTTCTGAGGTTAGGATGACCTTTGGGTGGCGGGGGGACTCCATTTGGAACATTAGTAGAGATGGGAACACCTGGGAGACAGAGTTGAAATGAAGATAAAACACCTTGCTTGAATAGAAAAGGCTATGTAATCTTTGACAATTTCTAAATGGTATTGTTTTGATAATTTGATCAAAGTTGCCTTGGATAAAATAACCTGCTAAATAACTCAAATTATCTTTCTTCATTTCAATTACATTCCCTGCAGGCTATGTTATGTTTGTATGTGTATGAGTATTACATAGCTGTTACATGCTGGGCAAATAAAAAGGCTCAGGCATGACCTACATAACATGTAAATGCCATCTGCATATATGCATGTACAGTAGGCCCCTACCTATATTTTCCTGTGCAGCATGAACGCAGTCTTTTCCTGGGACAACAGGGATGTTGGCTCCCTCTGGTGGTTGCTGTGGGGAGCAGCGCTGCGACTGCTGGATCTTCTCTGCTGTCTCACAGCGTCTGTGCTGTGGAGGCCGGCTCTGGAGGGCTGAGTCACATGAGTCTGAGTTATCTGGGTCCTCTCCCAGGGAGCAGGGCCTGGAGCAGAAGATGAGGCCCCCACGCGGGAGGAAGGGCCGCCCCAGCAGGGGGAGCCGACAGCGGGCACAGCAGAAACACGACTCGGCTGCATGCCAGTGCTGGCCCTCATAGGTCATCTGACCCTGGTCTATACCTGGAAGACAAAGAGAGGCTCTAAGAAAGTTGTCTCTATGTGAGCGTGTATATTTCTCTGTGTGAGTGAGTATATGTTTCTTTCTGTGCACGTGTGTATATATTTTTTTATGTGTACAGATGACTTATCTTAAATTTGATCATCCTGTTGTTGCAGGAAGTTTCCTGCACAGCAGGAAATGCTAACTTGTAGTGTATTCAAGGTTAAAAAGGCTTCTAAAGTTTGTAATTTCCTCTTTAAAATGTCAGACTTGATTTGCCCTAACGGAAAATGTACCAACCCCTACAAAAATGACCCTTCATTATAATCCACAAAACTATTAACATTTCCTGTTGCTGCAGGATTATTTTCCTGCTGTAGTAAACTGGCTCATATGACGATCCTACATCTGTATGTGTTCACAGCGTTCCACAGGGATGCTGGCCCATGTTGACTACAATGCTTCCCACAGTTTTGTCAAGTTGGCTAGATGTCCTTTGGGTGGTAGACCACTCTTGATACACACAAGAAAATGTTGAGCGTAAAAAACCCAGCAGCGTTGCAGTTCTTGACACAAACCAGTGTGCCTGGCACCTACTACCATACCCCCGTTCAAAGGCAATTACATATTTTGTCTTGCCCATTCTCCCTCTGAATGGCACACATATACAATCCATGTCTCAATTGTCTCAAGGCTTAAAAATCCTTCTTTCATCTACACTGATTGAAGTGACATCAATAAGGGATCATAACTTTCACCAGGATTCATCTGGTCAGTCTATGTCATGGAAAGAGCAGGTGTTCTTAATGTTTTGTATACTCATTGTATGTTTCCCTTTGTGGAAACATGGACATGTGTAGTTGCAGTACCTATGTGTTCCCCACAGGTGTCACAGTACTCTGCATAGAAGGACTCATAGCAGGAGCAGCAGTATGGCCGGCTCTCCCTCATGATGTACCGCTGCCCTCCCAACGCTGCCTCACACTCAAAACAACAGAAGTGCTTCATGTGCCAGTGTCGGCCCTCTGCCTCCGTACACTCATCTGCTAGAATGATCTGCATTTCAGGGAGAGAAAGAGTGAAGAAGAAAGAAGGTGGGTCAACAAATCATATCTCAAGAAAATACTTCACTATTGAATATTTCTGGATGTTGAAAGACATTTTCATTCCTCTGACAAACAGGCTTTCCCAGAGTATCCGTGTGACAGGGCCAATGTTGTGTCCTCTAAGGACTTCCCACTGTGCACACACTGGTTGAATCTTCATTGTTTCTATGTCATTTCAATGAAATGACGTTGAAACCAACATGGAATAGATGTTGAATTTATGTCTGTGCCCAGTGGGTTGTGAAAGTCAGTCATGACAGACCTATTTGTCTACTTCAACTGATCTCTTTAAGTCACAAACAAAGAGGGTGTAAATGAGAGGGAGTCAGAGTGTGTGTGTGTGTGTGTGTGTGTGTGCGTGCGTGTTGATCTTTGTGTCTGTCTGTCTGGATTGCTGTCTATCTGTTTGTCTGGCTGTCTGTTTGTCCTATCAAATTTACCCTGTTAGTGTTGCTGCATTCATAATCAGTGAAAAGTAGTGAATATTTCTGTGTGTGTGAGTGTGTGTGCCTGAGGAGGAGAGATTAAAAAGGTGCTTGTGGAACAACAACATATGGCTCACTGTGGGACTAGATGTTCCTCTAGGGTCTACAGCAGTGTTGTCAAACTCATTTTGCCCCAGGGGCCACATTTGGTCTTCAATGAGCTCCAGAGGGCCGCACTGAAAATTGCTTATATTTCCTCGCCGTCAAAACTGGCTAAATATTGACTCTATCCATCATTTTTTGCATTTTCAAAGCTCCCTGACTGTCAAGCTTTCATTTCAGTGGCTATTAGCGAGCTGGAAACAGTCAAGAAACTATGAATGTCGGGCCATTATAATTTCTACACAGTTTCAATTTTATTTTAGTCATTTTAAAGTATATTGAGTTCTCCCCTCCCCCCGCCGTATGTTTGACAACCCCGGTCTACAGGCACATGAATCAAAGACAAAAGACAGACTCTCCCAGCCCAGAGTAAGAGTACACATCTCCTCATAAGAGTCAGTGTTAGAACTGGAGAGAGTGGCGATTTGAACTGGAGATTTTTAGACAGGGCAGATAGAATGTATAAACGGACAGTGGATACACAGTTTAGAGAGCTTTGTGGGGACAGGACAGACAGCAGTTAAACAGTAACAGTATGGAGAGATTTGTGGACTGGACAGGGCAGGCCAGAGTGTATGAGCCAGTATGGAGAGATTTGTGGACTGGACAGGGCAGGCCAGAGTGTATGAGCCAGTATGGAGAGATTTGTGGACTGGACAGGGCAGGCCAGAGTGTATGAGCCAGTATGGAGAGATTTGCATTGTAGACATGACAGGACATGACAGGGCAGAGCCAGTCACCTCATCACAGGCCTGGCAGCGTGGTTTCATTCTCTCAGCGTGGTGCCGACCGCAGTAGATCTGTCCATCCTGGTAGAAGTAGATGAGGTCTACCAGCAGCTCAGTGCACGAGGCACACTGGAAACACTGAGGGTGCCAGCAGCTACCGTGCCCCGCCCGGCTGGCAAACACCGCTATGTCCCCACCATAGATCTGTCTGCCACACTGAAACACAGAAAGAGAGAGAGAGAGAGAGAGAGAGAGAGAGAGAGAGAGAGAGAGACAGAGAGAGAGAGAGAGAGAGAGACGGAGAGAGAGAGAGAAAGAAAGAAAGAGAGAAAGAGAGAGAAAGAGAGAGAGTGAGAGAAAATGAGAGCGAGACAAAACAACAAGTAAACAAAATGCAAATGAGCCTGTGGGAGTACAGAGCATACATACACTAAAAACCATCTCCATCTCCTTGATCCCTCTCTCTCACTGTTTCCATTCCACCCTAGTCTCCCCCCTGATCCCCCATCCCCCTCCCTCAGCACTGTCTACCTGTTGGCAGATGGCTCCGGTCATGGTGACAGGGAACAGTCTGACCATGCCTCTTCCCAGGTTCTCCCTCTTCCTCTGCTGACTGAACAGACACAGCTCCTTCTTCTCCTCCTCATCCAGATGGTTACAGTACTGATGCTGGAAACCGGAAACACATACAGTTATAATGCTGACTCAGACAAGCAGAACAGTTTAGTGAGGAACAACACAAACCAACTACATTACAGCCCAGAGGTTAGGAAAACCAACATTTCACACAGAGTTGCAGACTAGTCCTAGAGAACACTTACAATACTGAGTCAGACAAGCATCCCAGCAGAACATTTTTTTTTTACAGCCCAGGGGCGTTAGGACACCAAAACCTCACACAGAGTTACAGTATTAGTGACCGTTACCTCACTGTCGTGGGCTGGTAGCTGGTGAAGGAGCTGTTTGATGCGATATCTCTCTCCTGAACTGTTAGCATAGGGCACTCTGTCCTCCGGGATACAGCTGAAATACTGATACACCTGCATTAAAAAACAAGAATGTTCAGACACACACACACACACACACACACACACGTTTTCAACCCTGTGTGTATGCAAATAAGAATGTGTGTTGAAGTTTAAACATACACTGAGTGTACAAAACATTAAGGACACCTGCTCTTTCCATGACATAGACTGACCAGGTGAATCCAGGTGAAAACTATGATCCCTTATTGATGTCACTTGTTAAATCCACTTCAATCAGTGTAGATGAAGGGGAGGAGACAGGTTAAAGAAGGATTTTTAAGCCTTGAGACAATTGAGGCATGGATTGTGTATGTGTGCCATTCAGAGGGTGAATGGGCAAAACAAAATATTTAATTCCCTTTGAACAAGGTATGGTAGTAGGTGCCAGGTGCACCAGTTTGAGTGTCAAGAACTGAAAATCTGATGGGTTTTTCACTCAACAGTTTCCCATGTGTTTCAAGAATGGTCCCCCACCCAAAGGACATCCAGCCAACTTGACACAATTGGAGTAAACATGGGCCAGCATCCCTGTAGAACGCTTTCGACACCTTGTAGAGTCCATGCCCCGACAAATTGAGGCTGTTCTGAAGGCAAAAGGGGGGGGGGTGGAACTCAATATTAGGAAGATGTTCTTAATGTTTTGTACACTTATTGTATATGCTGAGTGTTAATGTCTGCATGTATGTGAGTGTGTGCGTGCATGTGTTTGTGTGTGTGGTGTGCATGTGTGCGTGTATGTGCTTGCATGCCTGCGTGCATGCATTAATGTATGTAAGTGAAGCGCTCGCTGTACTGGTTCTGACCTGCTCCGGCTTGAGTCCAGGTGGGACCCAGGCGTACTCCTCGGAGGCGCAGCCCGAGTCGTCGTCAGATATGGAGTGTCTTTGGAAGTCTGAAACCAGCTTCATCATCATCCTCTCCAGCTGGCCCGGCACCACCCGCACTGCATGCTCCTCACGCACACACTTACAGTGCACACAGATCTTTCTGTGGAGAGAAGAAGAGGACAATGGGTTCAATACATGCCAACTTAGAGTATTGCACAGATGCAACACCTACCAAACAGAAGGCTAGGATTGAACAGTTGGCAACAGTGTGACTACGTTTGAATAATCTTATCATAAAAACACGCCATTGATTGCCAACTCAATACCCATACTGTCTGTAGTCAAGTATTGCATGGTTGGAACATAATTTGCGTTGGAGACATGAAGTAATTAGCCAGTCCACAAACATTCTTGAGTGTGACTCAATATGACTCCCTACATTACAGTTACGCATTCCTAAGACAACAAACAGGTGTTCATCCAAGGAGAGGCATGTCACCAGCTCGGATACAGTCAAATACACACTGCACAATCAGAGGCTAAAACAAGCATGGAGTCAAACTGCAAACTGACACACACACACATTCAGTCTAACAGTGACATGGTTGGACACACATAACTGGATGAGGTAGCTGACCATTCTCTGAATACCTGCTGAAGGAGACCCCAGCCCATTGAGCGGACATGTTTAACACCTTGTCACCTATGGTAAACATACCGGTAAGCCTCATCTTTGCCTGAGTCATGCCCTGCACATTAAGATTCCCACTGTTGCTGGGAAGGTGGTAGCTGCATCCCAATATGGCGACCGGAGTATGGGCAAATGGGTGTGTGGAAAGGACAGTAGTGGGTGTGTGGAAAGGAGTGGGTGTGTCGAAAGCGCTCTGCTATACACTGAGTGTATGACTGACCAGGTGAATCCAGGTGAAAGCTATGATCCCTTATTGATGTCACTTGTTAAATCCACTTCAAATCAGTGTAGATGAAGTGGAGGAGACAGATTAAAGAAGGATTTTTAAGCCTTGAGACAATTGAGACATGGATTGTGTATGTGTGCCATTCAGAGGGTGAATGGGCAAAGAAAATATTTAAATGCTTTTAAACAGGGTATGGTAGTAGGTGCCAGGTGCACCGGTTTGTGTCAAGAACTGCAACACTGCTGGGTTTTTAACGCGCAACAGTTTTCTGTGTGTATCAAAAATGGCCCACCACCCAAGGGACATCTAGCCAATTTGACACAACTGTGGGAAGTATTGGAGTCAACATTGGCCAGCATCCCTGTGAAACTCTTTCGACACCTTGTAGAGTCCATTCCCCGACGAATTGAGGCTGTTCTGAGGGCAAAAGGGTGAGGGGGGTGCAACTCAATATTAGGAAGGTGTTCTTAATGTTTTGTACACTGTGTAGGTTAGACGGTTTTGATTGAGCAGTGTTTTTTCTTCTTCTGTTTCTTACCACGCAACTACCGTACCGCAAGAGGTTGGGACTTCTGTTTTGAAGCCAGAGCATGAGTCTGAGTTGTATTTCACTGTTAGTTTCTCAAAAATTATTGTACATTTTCAGTTATAAAACTGACGATTGTTTATTTTTGATTAAAAGTATTGATGATGATGGGTGTGCTGTTGCTTCATGTGTTATATGTGTGTGCTTATTGTGACTGTCACCCTGATATTGGCTACTTCCCACGCCGTTGCCGGACAGTAGTTCTTGGCGATGTTGTTACCGTTCATGCCCACCCCATTGAGTAGTAGACTGTATGTATGTATCAAGGTGACATCTAGATGGTTATTAATATTAGTTATTTCTTGTGTAAGCTGCTATCCCGATCTGGCTATGGCATATGGCTGTGGGCTACACTAGTTCATTTGGCAGACAAGATTTGCTTAGAATTCCGTGGCATTATTTTATATTGTTTTATAGTATGAAGAATACAATTGAACATAGCTGAATAAAATAGAAAGGATATTTTCTCCAAATGATGAGGGAGTGCGCACATGTGGCTATTCTTTTGACAAGCCTTGATAATGCCTCGAATTTCCCGGCAGAATCCCCTTTGTGTGGCCGTAATGCTGCTTTAAAAAATCCATGCCTTTTGCGGCCAGTGGCCGTTGTTCCCTTGGGCTGAATATAATAATTATCATTCCCTTCTCCCGGCTGCGTACTCCGAAGCACCTCTCACTCACATGGCTCTCTCAGATATCTCAATTGTTATTAGACAATGCCGTCACATGATCGGGTCTTTCTCACAGGCTGAAGACAGACACATCAGGGTCGCAACTGAGTGTCCTTATCCAATTCCGAGGCGCATATTGAAGATATTGGAAGAACTGTCCACATTTACTTTTAGTCAGCCAACAAGATGAGTAGGCCTAACGAACAACAAAAGCACTAGCCTATGTCAATCTACTATCCCCCATAGTACAAAAGTTGACCTATTCTATACTGTGTGAGAAATAATGATTCCAAACATAGTCTGGGACAGTTGTGGGATGCAATAGATCCCAAATGAATACAACCACTAGCATCCCAAAAACTGTTTTAAGCAATGAGGCTGATGCAACAGATCAGAACGTTTAGCTTAAAATGTTGATAAACTATTAGGCTATTTCTTCACATTATAAACACAGCAATGCGCACACCGCAGTTGGCTATAAGCGCGAATGTTACAAAATGCAATCATTTAGCTGTCACGCCTGCTCCCGCTCCCCCTCCACGCCTCAGCCGGCTCGTCAGGCTCCCACGCCTCCGCCGGCTCGTTCGGCTCCCATGCCTCGGCCAGCCGGTCAGGTTCACCCAGGTGGGACGCCTGCTCCCGCTCCCCCTCTGCCAGTCTGCCCATCATTACGCACACCCGTCACCGTCGTTACGCGCATCTGCGCTTCATTGGACTCACCTGGACTTTATCACTGTTTGATTACCGCCCCTATATCTGTCTGTTCCTCAGTTGTGATCCCCGTGTCAGCATTAATATTGTTATGTTTCCCCTGTCCAGACGCTGTCCGTGTTTTGTTTCGTGTCTGTTTATATTAAATATTCACTCCCTGTACCTGCTTCTCCTCTCCCAGCGTCTGTCCTCACATTAGCGGGAAAACACCATTCTCAAAAGTGACCGCAAATGCGATTATGCATGTATGGCTTTTATTATAAAAGGTGCATTTTTATTGTGAAAATTAACTTCCCCAAACTTGAAACTCACGCGCTGCATATGTATGCCAGTTAGGTTCTACACCCGTCGTAAAGCTGATTAATGTGCTTTATTTTAATAGGTTATTTGGCCACTTTAGTTGTGATACAAACCTTATCAAAACATATAGGCCTATGGGCTAGGGTTTTTTTGTGATTAGGATTTGAAAAAGTCGAGAGAAAGGCATGCGCTGTTTCTTGCCTTACTGCACACAAGATGGTGATAATATATCATTCACAAGTGATAGGCTACTATTGTCACCCATCAGACTGTTCTTGATTTAATCTTGTCTTTACATATACTAAATTATATATGTGTGAAATTTGTTCTGATTTAGAATGGACCACTATCATGCACCCGTTTCGAAACAGGGGCAGGGGAAAAAAATACATGCACTTAAATAGTGAATAGAGTACACTTTTCCCGTGGTTCATTTTCATACCAGCCAGGTAGGCTATACTCCTGTTGTAAAGAGAAGCAATGTGCTTAATATTAGGAAAGTTCAGAAATAAATATAATAGGCCTAGCCTACAGAAAGCTGATGGGACCCTCTTTTTCATAGAGGCCATCACTCTGTTTTCTCACGCAATTGCATAGCCTATATAAATGTTGCGCAACATGAGCTCATGGGCTCTCATGAAGTGTTTGCGATTACATTTGCATTAATGTTAAAGTGATTAGAGGGACAATAGTGTGCTGAGTACCAGGCAGTTAGTACGTTTGGTAGGCTACTAATGACCATCAGCAGCATCAGAGCTTAGAGAAGCCTAATTACCGTGACTAAATGGTCACGTGGAATTTGACAGCAGTCATGACTCGTGACCGCCGGTGTGGCGGTAATATGGTCACCGTAACAGCCCTAGTGAAGACTCAGTAGCTCATTTGAAGCCCAGGAAGACGTTTTTAGCTTGCTAAAATGGCGTCTTATGGAGACATAACATGCGCAGTTTGACCTACTCCAGAAAGTGACGCTGCAGGCTATATACGTGTTGCCCCCTCTCATTGAGTAACTCAAGTTGAAGGCCGACCGGGGTACTGCAGGTTGCCATTAGTAACTAAATTATCCTTATAACTTATTCTGTGTGCGATTTTAAAATAATGGGTTCAATGACATACATCTGGTGTACTAGAAGCAATTATTGGTACCATGATTGTCTTTGATGTTTTTATATTTATTTACACAAAGGTTGACCACAAATATAGCAATTTTTCCATTCACTATAATGGGGGATCCTGTTTTCTACTAACAACGCCTGCAGTGCTGGGGTCAGCCTTGAACTTCCGTGGCTACAATGAGAGGGGGCAGTCGTTCTCCCCTGTCCCACAGTGGTTATTAACAGGAGGAGGAAGAGAAGATGGAGATGGGGGGAGTAATCCTCCCCCTTCTCACCCCATCTGGGCTGTCATATCTTTCCTCAGAGTAATTGGGGCTGTCTGTATGTGGGACTGACTGTGGCAGTGTGAGAAAGGGTTTGTACAGTATGTGTTCATGTACAGTGGGGAAAAAAAGTATTTAGTCAGCCACCAATTGTGCAAGTTCTCCCACTTAAAAAGATGAGAGAGGCCTGTAATTTTCATCATAGGTACACGTCAACTATGACAGACAAATTGAGGAAAAAAATCCAGAAAATCCCATTGTAGGAATTTTAATGAATTTATTTGCAAATTATGGTGGAAAATAAGTATTTGGTCACCTACAAACAAGCAATATTTCTGGCTCTCACAGACCTGTAACTTCTTCTTTCAGAGGCTCCTCTGTCCTCCACTCGTTACCTGTATTAATGGCACCTGTTTGAACTTGTTATCAGTATAAAATACACCTGTCCACAACCTCAAACAGTCACACTCCAAACTTCACAATGGCCAAGACCAAAGAGCTGTCAAAGGACACCAAAAACAAAATTGTAGACCTGCACCAGGCTGGGAAGACTGAATCTGCAATAGGTAAGCAGCTTGGTTTGAAGAAATCAACTGTGGGAGCAATTATTAGGAAATGGAAGACATACAAGACCACTGATAATCTCCCTCGATCTGGGGCTCCACGCAAGATCTCACCCCGTGGGGTCAAAATGATCACAAGAACGGTGAGCAAAAATCCCAGAACCACATGGGGGGACCTAGTGAATGACCTGCAGAGAGCTGGGACCAAAGTAACAAAGCCAACCATCAGTAACACACTACGCCGCCAGGGACTCAAATCCTGCAGTGCGAGATGTGTCCCCCTGCTTAAGCCAGTACATGTCCAGGCCCGTCTGAAGTGCATTTGGATGATCCAGAAGAGGATTGGGAGAATGTCATATGGTCAGATGAAACCAAAATATAACTTTTTGGTAAAAACTCAACTCGTCATGTTTGGAGGACAAAGAATGCTGAGTTGCATCCAAAGAACACCATACCTACTGTGAAGCATGGGGTTGGAAACATCATGCTTTGGGGCTGTTTTTCTGCAAAGGGACCAGGACGACTGATCCGTGTAAAGGAAAGAATGAATGGGGCCATGTATCGTGAGATTTTGAGTGAAACCCTCCTTCCATCAGCAAGGGCATTGAAGATGAAACATGGCTGGGTCTTTCAGCATGACAATGATCCCAAACACACCGCCCGGGCAACGAAGGAGTGGCTTCGTAAGAAGCATTTCAAGGTCCTGGAGTGGCCTAGCCAGTCTCCAGATCTCAACCCCATAGAAAATCTTTGGAGGGAGTTGAAAGTCTGTGTTGCCCAGCGACAGCCCCAAAACATCACTGCTCTAGAGGAGATCTGCATGGAGGAATGGGCCAAAATACCAGCAACAGTGTGTGAAAACCTTGTGAAGACTTACAGAAAACGTTTGACCTGTGTCATTGCCAACAAAGGGTATATAACAAAGTATTGAGAAACTTTTGTTATTGACCAAATACTTATTTTCCACCATCATATGCCAATAAATTCATTAAAAATCCTACAATGTGATTTTCTGGAATTTTTTTTCTCATTTTGTCTGTCATAGTTGACGTGTACCTATGATGAAAATTACAGGCCTCTCTCATCTTTTTAAGTGGGAGAACTTGCACAATTGGTGGCTGACTAAATACTTTTTTTCCCCACTGTATGTGTAGGCATTACGTGTGTGGATGCATCAGTGTGTGGGCTCCTGTATATACAGTATCTCTCTGGCTCTTGTGTGATTGCATAACAGGCCCTCAGCTGGTATTTGCAGCTCAAGGCCTGCTCCTCGGGAACAGATGGAGGATAAAGCCGCTTTGCGTAGACATCCCCCTTAAAACACACACACACTCCGACCAGAGACCAATCCTTTCGTGTGGATAAATGGCATTCCCTTTCTATCCCCTGTTCCAAAGTCTCCCATCCCATCCTTACTACTATTCCCTTCCCAATAAAATATTAAACTGAACAGCTCTCCTGCGGATCGCTTCTATCCCTAGCTGCCTTAGCTCCTTATAAGGCCATGTTGTAGTGCAGCAGGTCCAGTATAAATCATGGTAAACATAGCAGGTCACCTCAGGGTAAGCCATGCTGGAAAGACTCACAAGCCACAATCTAGCCCCAGCTGTTTGTTCTCAGAGCCTGTGTACACTGTACGTGTGTGCATGTGAGAGACACAGTACAACACAGAGTCACGTGTGTGTGTGTGTGTGTGTGCGTGTCGTACAGTAGGCCCGCAACATTCAGGCATTAATAAAACCACTACTGATGTACCAGGGAATGTTATCCAGCCACCCATAAACTCCTCAAAATAACAGGGAGGTTTATCAGGAAAATAATCAGCAAAGAGTTGTCCAGAGTATAGTTGCCAAGTCCAACATGAAACGTTATTGCACCAGAGCAATTCATTTTAAATGATGTGTAGGACTGTGCTTGCAAATGGGCTTGAGTGTTATTAACCCACTTGTATCTCTTTGCCAGCCTGGAAAGACATCTAGCTAGCCATTTAGAGTATATTTAGCTCAAATGCCAGGATGGCACACTCAGCCACCACAGCCACACCCAGCCACTGCTACCGAGCACCCTCTGAAATGACCAGCAGCGCTACTGTGGTCCCAGAACAGATGCTGATGTGATCTGTTTCGCCTGTAATCCGTGTTACGCCTCCGATTCTCAGGTTACATCACAACCTGCTGGGCGTCAGCGCACTGTGGCTGTAACAGTTGTTGTTGTTGAGGCATCTTTCTTTGTGTTGATGTGTAAGCAGTGACTCTGGTTGTGGATAATCCCGTCCATGACTGACTGCTAGGCAGAAGGATACAGTAAAGTAGTGTAGCCTGCTTCTCTGTGATTCTCCTGAGGTCAGAAATCAATGCTCTGCCACATGGCCTAAATGTTTACTATGACCTCTCTGGTCTTTTCACACGGCACTGATGGGTTTAGCGTAGTTCACTAGTAGTATATTTGAATAATCAATACAGTATATCCTTCTTTTATCCCCCCCAAAAATGGTTTAAGAAGCACATGTATACTAAATTATAATTATAATAAAATACCTATTAGCTTGTGGTACTCTAATCTGGTCTTAACCACTAAACATACTGAATAACTTCTGTGACTTTACAGAGTAAAACAGTGTGAACTGGGCCAGCATGGAGACTCTGTAACTTCCATTAGTGCACTGTACATACTGCACAGCAGGACCAAATAATCCTGACACATAATCCTGAATAACTTCCATTTTCTCTACTAGCCCTCTTGAAGGAGAGCAGACATAACTCTCTCTCTGCTCGTTTTCACTTTTGGAATGCCACAACCCAAATTACAATCATTAGCGGTCCTGTTTTCAAATTTGCTAGCAGTGTTAACAGGCTCAATCTAAATTCTAAACCTTCCCCCTCTGGAGAGTAGGGGCTATGTGCCCCCACTATCCACTTCCCACTATCCGTTGTGAGCTAACGCATTCAAGTACACACAATTACTTTTTATTTCTATTCTATGAGTGTTTAGCCTTCCAATTAGTGGCTACATACACCAAAACAAAAAAGTAAAGCAGTAAATAGCCAAGACCTTTACCTTTCGTCATCAACGTCACAAATAAATCCATGCTGACTCTGTAACATCCTCCTATCTCAGAATCAGTCACATTGTGCTGCTGCCTGTCTGCCTGCCTGCCTGCCTGTCTGTCTGCCTGCCTGCCTGTCTGTCTGTCTGTCTGTATGCCTTGTCAGAGCTGAGGTCAAGCTGAGGCAGCTCCTTACCATGGGAAATGTGTTTTCTCTCTCTGAGTGTCTCTTTTCAATGTCTCACTCCTTCCTTCCCCCACACCATCCCTCTACCCCCATCTGATAGAGTTGACCAAACAATAAGCCACTGGACACACACACACTCCATTCTTTCCATTCACTGCATGTTTTCTCCACACTTCTAAAAAGCGTATAATAGGTAAATTTGACCTCACCCTTTTTCAGAACACACATACACACTTAGACACACCAATGCCGACAGCTTCAATGTTTGAAATAATTGGAGCAGATTCTATGACTCAACTTCATTTGGGAATGAATCATTCCAAGTTTTGACAAGTCTAATCAAGATGAGCAATGCAGCACAGATAAAAAAAAGCCTATGTTTGGACATCAAGCCCTTCTGACCAATTAAAGGATGACATTTCAGAGAACATCATGGCCTGGCTATGGGCCTCTAAGAAGTCCAAAATCATAACAGCTCATCTGACCTCGCTGTCAATCACTCCAGGATGACCTGTCAATCAACAGGTCCCACCAAAAAGGCCCTTTGTCCTTAGATCTATGTTAAATTGCCTCGCTTGTCAATCTCTCTTTTATCTTTCTCTGTTCATGACCCTTTTACGGTTTCTCTCACTCTCGCCTAGAATAACTATTTAACTGTTCAAACATCAACAAGTGTGCCATCAACCCTGACAAGATAAGTAATAAGATACTCACTCTTCCATACAATCACAACTTAGAACAAAGTCAAAAGTCTGAATTTTTTGATGTATCATTAGCCAGTCAATCCATCCCATTCGTTTTGGCCATACATTTGTCAAATGGGTAATCTACCAACCAGTTTGTACAATACAGTGATCGATAACCCTCTTGGGATGAATGTGTGTGTGTGTGTACTCTGCTCTTGGTGTGATTAGCTGTGAATTAAACTGAGTAGCTACATTGTCTCTCTCTGTGGCCTGATAGTGCTCTGAGTCCAGATTAGATCCATCCATCCATCCCTCTGAGAAACAGATGGACACTGTCCCAGAATGCTCGCTCTGTGGTCACTAATTAGTGCCTGAGTAATCGCCATGCCACCTGCCTGCTCTTCCCAACTAATAGGGGAGGCTGGCTTTGAGCACTCTGTGTCTCAGTGTCACTGACTGGGACATATGGGGTCACAAGTAACTTAATTCCTCCTCTGGTGGATGGGGTAGTGGAGCCATCTGCACTCTGCCTATGAGGCCTCAGCCCCGGCCCTGTCTGGGAGAGAGCAGATCGAAGATGGATCACTGCCCTGACAGTGTGGTTAAACAGCTGAGCTCTTTGGTCACTTGCCTGTTTGTCCTCCAAGGGGGGAAATGGGGGTAGGTGTTACTGTGAATGGGTTAATAAAGGAGATGTCATTTGTCCTGGACTCTGGAGTCTTTAAGATGTTAAGCAGCGACCCCCATACATCTCAATCATTTAATCATTCTGCCCTGTGGTAACTGGGCAGTAACTGTGGTTCTGACGCCTCCTGCTTAAAAGGATTAAACAGCTCTCATTATTCTTGCCCTGATATCAGACTGGAACATTAAACAAAAACTCCCTGTCACCAGACCTCAAACCAAGTACCCTCTCTATTCTGCTCAAATGTCTTTCAATAACTTCACCAATAACTTCGCCAATAACTTCGCCAATAACTTCACCATAACTGTGATTCACAGATTAACATGTATGGTAAACACATTAATGATATGATGACAGTGGCAGTTTCATATCTGGTTTGTCTGTGTTTTTAGCATGCCAGTATAAAGTACAGTAGAGTCACCATGTGCTTTAGATGAAGGACTGTTTGTCCTCAAAGCCTGTTGACTTGACCTTAACACAGGGACAGACTAACCAAGGAAGCAAGCACTCAATTAGAATAATTTGATAGAAATGAATACCCTCCTTGCAGCCTTTATTCCATTGTATAGCCTAGTCGGTGTTTCTTCTATTTGACGCTTTATTAGTTCAATCTGCCAGCCAGGGTTGGCTTGTTTTCTGAAGGCCCAATGTGTGTTTGTGTATGCTACATTATTTTACCCAGAACTCTCTTTCTCTCTGTCAAACCTACCATGAAATGTGGCTATTGTCTCCATTCACTAAAACAACTCATAAAGGGAGCACTTCAGAAAATAGTCAGAAGTGCAAGCTGTGTTAACTTCAAGCCTTGTGCGAATGTACAGTATGTCTACAAAAATATTCAAAAAACTGCCCTTCCTCAAAGTGCTTATTAACTGTATGAGGACAGTGAAAAGTCAGAAAGGGATGGGGAGAAGGACGGAGAGTGAGCGAGGGATGAAGGAGGGCGAGAAGGTTAGGGCTTCATCACAGCGGTGGCGGCAGTAGCAGGAGCTGAAAGGGCTAATCTTATTAGGGTGAAGGACAGGATTAGCACTAACCAAGAGACCCAATGGGCTGGACACACTGAGGAGGGGAGGGGGGAGGGGAGGAGGGAAGAGGGAGGGAGGGGAGAGGATTCATACAGGAGGACTGCACAACACAGAAAAAAGAGGAGAGGAAAACTAGTTGCTGCTCAGAAAGACACGAGGACACTGACTGGACACCTAAATGACCATTGGTGGTTGAAAAACACCAACAGACAGACACTCATAGACACTCAGACACCAGTATTTATTTGGACAGTGAAGCTACAACTTTTAATTTGTCTCTATACTTCAGCAATTTGGATTTGAGATCAAATGTTTTATATGAGGCGACAGTACAGAATCTCACCTTTTATTTGAGTGTGTTTTTATACAGTATGTGGACACCCCTTCAAATTAGTGGATTTGGCTACTTCAGCCACACCCGTTGCTGACCGGTGTATAAAATCGAGCACACAGGCATGCAATCTCCATAGACAAACATTGGCAGTAGAATGGCCCGTACTGAAGAGCTCAGTGACTTTCAATGTGGCACCGTCATAGGATGCCATCTTTCCAACAAGTCAGTTCGTCAAATTTCTGCCCTGCTAGAGATGCCACCTTTCCAACAAGTCAGTTCGTCCAATTTCTGCCCTGCTAGAGTTGCCCGGTCAACTGTAAGTGCTGTTATTGTGATGTGGAAACGTCTAGGAGCAACAACAGCTCAACCGCGAAGTGGTCGGCCACACAAGCTCACAGAACGGGACCGGCGAGTGCTGAAGCGTGTAGCGCGTAAAAATAGTCGGTTGCAACACTCACTACCGAGTTCCAAAATGCCTCTGGAAGCAACGTCAGCACAATAACTGTTTGTTGGGCGCTTCAGGAAATGAATTTCCATGGCCGAGCAGCCGCACACAAGCCTAAGATCACCATGCGCAATGACAAGCGTCGGCTGGAGTGGTGTAAAGCTTGCCGCCATTAGACTCTGGAACAGTGGAAACGTGTTCTCTGGAGTGATGAATAACGCTTCAACATCTGGCAGTCCGACGGACAAATCTGGGTTTGGCGGATTCCAGGAGAACGCTACCTGCCCCAATGCATAGTGCCAACTGTAAAGTTTGGTGGAGGAGGAATAATAGTCTGGGGCTGTTTTTCATGGTTCGGACTAGGCCCCTTAGTTCCAGTGAAGGGAAATCTTAATGCTACATAATACAATGTGTCATAAGAATAGAATATGTAATGTAATATAAATGTAATATATTTCTGAACACTTCTACATTCATGTGGATGCTACGATGATTACGGATAATCATGAATGAATCGTGAATAATGATGAGTGAGAAAGTTACAGATGCATAAATATCATACCCCCAAGAAAATCCTAACCTCCCCTGTAAATAGTACATTATTTACCATTCATTTCTATTGGGCACAACATAATCCAAAACCGTACCAAAACCAACTGCAAATGCATCCAACATATTTTTAGAGTCACAAGCTTGATGTAGTCATTACGTGCTAGGAATACGGGACCAAAAACTAAACTTTTGACTAAATTGAATACACTATAAGTGAATTTGTCTAAATACTTATGACAACTTCAAATGGGGAGACTAGATACATGAAGTGCTTTCATTTCTAAATGGTCAAATAAAATAAAAGGTGACATTCTGTACCAAAATACTGGTGTATAGAGCCAAATTAAAAGCTTGAACTTCACTGTCCAAATAAATATGTAGGGTAGATTATTTTAAAATGTGTGACACACCGGCAGACAGAGGCTCACACCTCTGAGCCTGGTGGAATTCCCCTTGTGTCCTGTAGAGTTTGTTCCAGTTCAACACTCAGCTATTTCCTACTCTCTGGTAGTAAGACCAAGTCAAGATTTATTTAGTTTAGCCAAATGGTCTCTTTTAATCTCGGCCATTTCCATTCCAAATGTATCATATTTTATTCAATGAAATGAGATACAGTGATACACTATATAGGCTCCATATATAATCAGAGAGCTCCCTCCATCCATAGTATGTTTTAGGTCTCTGCTATGAACCCTTTCAAAAGTTTAAAACGTGCTAAACCACATGCAGCTAGCATGTCTAATGGTAATCCCTTGCCCTCAGAGGTTGTGTGTGTTGTGTGTGGATAACGTCCACTCACACAAAGTGCAGCTGCTCTCACTTTATTTTTTGCCTCGATTCTCTATGACCTTTTCATTCACATTGCTGGATGCTTTATCTGCTCTGGATGTGGTAAATGCGTTGTGTGTGGATAATGTTTGTTTGAGTCAATACATAGACCTACTCTCAACATGGACACAGTTTGGTTAATCAGCTCTCCACTCTAACATACAAACACACAGAGAAACCCTATTGTTGTCAGCAATCACCTCAAATCACCCAATAAAGACTGGAAGTTAGCTATATGACTCTTCCTCAATAAGTAAGTCACAACCAAATAGTGACACACAAGAGGGCACTGCCTGCACTAGACTGTGATCATACCTATCCTACTTATGAGTTATGAATACCTGGAATAGTATAACAGTAATCCTTCTACACCCCCCCTCCCCCAGTGGTGGTTGTCCCACTGGCTATCCTAAATTGAATGCACCAATTTGTAAGTCGCTCTGGATAGGAGCGTCTGCTAAATGATTTAAATGTAAATGCAAATGTAATCACATGAAACATCTTGGAAACAGTGTCTATGTTCCTGTGAGGAGGTGAGGAGTATGTGATGGGTGTATGAGAGGCCTACCTCCAGCCATGCATGCGAAAGCCAGGACACTGGTCTCCACATCTTATACATGGTTGTCCCCGGTCTGGGTCTTCCGTCTCCTCCTGAAATCACAACATACAACAACATGACATTAGACACCCAGTATGTTAACATCATTCATGCATCACAAACAATGACAATAAAATGATCAACAAATACAGCATTTATTTATTTCACGACAGTTAGTGAGTGTGAGGAGAAATGGTCACATGTGTCAAGTGGTCATTCCACTTTAATCAAAAGCAGTATGGATTGTGAGAGGTTAATCCCTGAGAGGTCAATCTCTACTGTCATTTATTGCATAGGATGTGAGTGGAGTGATCTTTCGCAATAGATTATTCTCTGGGAAGCAAAATAAATTCACAGAGATCCAGAGAAATACATGGAAAAATCCTCTCCCCCCTCAATTTGCACAACTGCAGTTTGATTCCATGATTGACAGAGAAGTAGGATTGCATTGGTTCAAATCCACATCAGGGTACTGTATGTGAGAGTGGTCTTGCTCATAATCCATGGGTGTGATGCCATCTGTGAGTACATGCGTGTAAATAATGTGCATGACTGTGTAACAGGGTGTGTTAATAGGGTTGTGTATGTTTATGTGTACACACATACATTATGTTGTGACTGTATTCCTATTACATTTACATTTACGTCATTTAGCAGACGCTCTTATCCAGAGCGACTTACAGGAGCAATTAGGGTTAAGTGCCTTGCTCAAGGGCACATCGACAGATTTTTTCACCTAGTCGGCTCGGGGATTAGAACCAGCGACCTTTCGGTTACTGGCACAACGCTCTTACCCACTAAGCTACCTGCCGCCCAATATGCATGTCAAAGGTCTGTGTGTATGCTTGCATAGCCGCCTGGTCCATTACCCAGCTTTGTGTGTGTGGAGCGAGCGGACGAGCGGATTAGGTGCTGACTGCTCGCTGATATGTGGCAGGGGGTTAGCGGTAGGGCTATTATGGTGACCGTACTACCGCCACACCGGCGGTCATGAGTCATGACCGCAGTCAAATTTCACGTGACCATTTAGTCACGTAACTTGGCTTCTCCAAGCTCTGATGCTGCGGTTGGTCATTAGTAGCCTATCAAACTTGTTAACTGCCTGGTACTCAGCACTCTATTGTCCCTCTAATCACTCTGACATCAACGCAAATGTTTTTGAAAATCAAATCAAAACCCTTAATGAGAGCCCATGAGCTCATGTTGCGCAACATTTCTATAGGCTATGCAATTGTGTGAGAGTTTTGATGGCCTCTATTAAAAAGAGGAGGATCCCATCAGCTTTCTATAGGCTAGGCCTTCTATATTTATTGATCAACTTTCCTAATATTAACTTTATATCAACTTTCCTAATACAACAGCATATAGCATAGCCTACCTGGCTGGCATGAAAATGAACCACGGGAAAAGCGTCCTTCATAGATTACATGTATTTTTCCCCCCCATGCCCCTGTTCCGAGACAGGTGCATGATAATCGTCCATTCTAAATCAAAACTAATTTCACACATATATTATTTAGTATATGTAAAGACAATATTAAATTAAGAATAGTCTGATGGTGACAATATTAGCCTATCACTTGTGAATGATTTATTATCACTTGTGAAGGATGCCCTGCGTGTGCAGTAAGGCAAGAAACAGTACATGCCTTTTTTTGCGACTTTTCTAATCATAGTCGCACACCTCATGTAGCCTAGCCCATTAAAATTAAGCACATTAATCCGCTTTACAACCGGTGTAGAGAATAACTGGCATACATAGGCGGCGCCTGAGTTTCAAGTTTGGGGAAGATCCTTTTCCTTTATAATAACGCACTACATGCATAATCACATTTGCGGTCACTTTTGAGAACAATGTTTTCCCGCTAATTGATTGCATTTAGGAACATTTGCCCTTATAGCCTACTGCCGTGTGCGCATTGCTGCGCTTATATTGTTAAGAAATAGCCTAATAGTTTATCAATATTTTAAGCTAAACGTTCTGATCTGTTGCGTCAGCCTCATTGCTTTTAAAAGTTTATTTGATGAGAGTGGTTGTATTAATTTGGGATCTATTGCATCCCACAACTGTCCCAGAGTATGTTTTGAATATTTATTTATTGCACAGAAGGACAAGTTGACCAATAGAATAGGTCAACTTTTGTACTATAGGGGATAGTAGATTGAAATAGGCTAGTGCTTTTGCTGTTCATTAGGCTTACGCTTGTATCTTGTTGGCTGATGAAATGTAGGCTAAATGTGGACAGTTCTAACATCTTCAATATGCGCCACGGAATTCAATAAGATGTACGGGAGCTGTTGCGTCCCCGATGTGTCTGTCTTCACTTGTAGCCTACTTCTTAGCTGAGATGCCTGTGAGAAGGACCCGATCATGTGACGGGCATTGGCTAATAAACATTTAGATATCTGAGAGAGCCATGTGAGTGAGAGGTTCTTCAGAGCATGGCAGCCGGGAGAATGGAATTATAATTATTATATTCAGCCCAAGGGCACAACGGCCACTGTGGCTGCAAAAGGCATGGATTTTTTAGGAGGCATTGCGGCCACAAAAGGGGAATGCCACCGGGAAATTCGAGGCCTGTTGAGAATATTATCAAGTGCTTGTCAAATTGTGAATGAGAGATTGATGTGCAGTCTGCACAAGAAACAAAGCAGAGTTCATGCCTTTGATGCAACTTTTTTCAAATCATCATTAGAGTCGCATCATGCAGCCTTAGAATGTATTCAAAATCAAAACATATAGCCCAACGTTTGTATTGTTTGTATTGTACAAGGATTTATTATAATTTTTTTATGTAGATGTTCCAAAGGTCTGCATCAGTGGCTTGTAGGCTATGCGTGGAAGCCAGGAGATGCTAAACGTGTTTATGTTAATTAACAGTAAATTACCGTGAGACCGGCAGTTATTTGCTTGACGATCACTGGCTGACAAAATGTAATGACTGCCACAGCTCTAGTTAGAGGGAGGGGAACAGGGGCTAAGTTCTCCTCCGGTCCAGAAGAAACAGCCCAGGCCCTGGGTCCAAACCCCATACAGCAGAACTACAGCTCCTGCTGGGAGTGGGACTACAGACACACGCGACCCAAACTATCACAAGTCATTTGGTGAATTCAGAATATCTCAAAGTACATTCAACAAACCATAAAAAAGCCAAACATTTCTTTGCACATTAGTATTGGTGTGTCTATTCATGTAAGTAGTATCTGAGATTGTGTTGTGTGTGTGTCACACTACTGCTCATTGTGGTGTCTCTTTTTAGAGATGAGAGGAAGGAAACAGATACAGGAAGTGTGCCTCACCCTTTCCTTTCCCTCTCCATGTAGTCACTGTCTCCACTTTCCTTTCCTCTGACGCTGTCATCCTGCCTCTCCTCTCCCACATTCTAATCAATTATTTTCTCACAATAATGTGCACTTACATTCGTCCAGAGGTGTTGAGAGATACAGTAGATGATAAACAGTTGGTTCACACCGTACACTAGGGTTCCCCAATAGGCGCCCCGCAGGCCAAATTCGTCCCATGGGAGAGTAGAGCATATCTTAGACAGTTATAAGATATATGATGGCAAACATTTAGTAGTGAATTGCATACAAATGTAATGTTACCTCATATGCGCCGCACAACAGAGAGGGACTCACCGATAGATATAGAACGCTATGGACACACCAGCGCCCCCTTTCTCCCACTGGGTACTTTACAATGAACACGTGACTGCCTGCTGTTCTGGGGAACTACAGTATGCTTCATAATGAAAAATAATTTGGCAGGCGAAATGAAGAACGCAATCTGCTTTATCTCCTAACATACTGCACGAGTTGACTGCAGGTATTTACTTAAAAAGTAGCTACAAATATTCAAAAACCTCAAATAAATAGTTTCAACGGTATTGACGGTATATGAAAACCAACCCGTGGATATTTCCAAATACCCCGGAATACAGTATATATCAGTGGCGTTCGGTGCCGTTTAAGATGAGGGAGAACAATATATTTTTTTATGAGCATGGCCTTATTTCTATTACAGCATATTGGATGACTGTCATTCATATTCCATTCACCCAGCTCAATGTAACATCGATAAGTTTAGGCTACTCCATGACACTCTAATTTTCCTTATACCAATCATGAGGTTGCTACAACCTAGCCTATGAATGAAAGTTTACAATGTAGGTGCACAAGTCAAGATACATTTTTGTAATTAAGGTGACAGACATTGACACATTCAATATCACCTTGCACAATCTTGCCTGGATCTAGCTGATCTAGGGTGTAATCATTAGTCCAACAGTTGCAAATGAGAGTTTCTATTGGACAAATTCAGGTATGTTTATTTCCATTTAGTTCCGTTTGATTCCGTTTAAGAAACGTTTTTCAACAGAGTCGGCGGAATGAATGTACCCCTGTACACATGCGATAACAGTTCACTTTCATAGCAGCGACATATAAACAGCATGATCCCTTTGATCATTGGATAACTCCTTCTTGCATCTACGTGCGCTCCTCCTCTCATCTTTTCCCTTTGCTTGAGGACTTCAGTGCACAACACATCAGCTGTCTGTGACCAGGCAAAAAAACGTTTCCAAGCCAAACCTTCATATCATAACCGCTACACACAGCCTACATCGTTGTCACCATATTAGCTCTCTCTCTCTTGCTTCTCCTTCCTTTTTGAAGAAATGTATTTGTTCAAAACTGTTCAACTATTGTCTTTCTCTCTCTTTGAGTCAACTACTCACCACATGTTATGTCCTGCAGTGCTAGCTAGCTGTAGCTTATGCTTTCAGTACTAGATTCATTCTCTGATCCTTTGATTGGGTGGACAACATGTCAGTTCATGCTGCAAGAGCTCTGATAGGTTGGAGGACGTCCTCTGGAAGTTGTCATAATTACTGTGTAAGTCTATGGAAGGGAAGTGAGAACCATGAGCCTCCTAGGTTTTGTATTGAAGTCAATGTACTCAGAGGAGCTAGCTGTCCTCCGGCTACACCATGGTGCTACCCTATAGAGTGCTGCTGAGGCTGCTGTAGACCTTCATTGCAAAACAGTGTGTTTTAATCAATTATTTGGTGACGTGAATATATTTAGTATAGTTTTATCTAAAAAGGAAAACTTTTTTAATGTTTCACTATTTTAATTTTTTATGCAATTCACTGAGGAGGATGGTCCTCCCCTTCCTCCTCTGAGGAGTCTCCACTGGATACGGTATACCGCCCAACCCTATTCCCAACTATTCCCACGCATGTGAACTTATCCCAATGTTATCAAGGTTTGAAACTATTCTGTTTTTGTCAAATTCGATATCTGTTTGGGCTTCTTGAGGTCAATTTGCAGTGTACAAATTATTTATTGCTATGTTCCGGCCATCCGCTCAATAAATGTTTTTGGGGAACCCCTGCCATACACCATAACCTGATACCCCCTGTCTTGGTTTGTGTGGTGTACATGACAATGTGTCAGTCTACTCGTTTCATTGTGCAAAACATTATTAGCCAGCCCTTCAAACAATATTTCTTAGATAAGTGAGAGAGACAGGGAGAGATACAGAGGGAAAAAAGTATTTGATCCCCTGCTAATTATGTACGTTTGCCCACTGACAAAGAAATGATCAGTCTATAATTTTAATGGTAGGTTTATTTGAACAGTGAGAGACAGAATAACAACAAAAAAATCCAGAAAAACGCATGTCAAAACTGTTATAAATTGATTTGCATTTTAATGAGGGAAATAAGTATTTGACCCCCTCTCAATCAGAAAGATTTCTGGCTCCCAGGTGTCTTTTATACAGGTAACGAGCTGAGATTAGGAGCACAATCTTAAAGGGAGTGCTCCTAATCTCAGTTTGTTACCTGTATAAAAGACACCTATCCACAGAAGCAATCAATCAATCAGATTCCAAACTCTCCACCATGGCCAAGACCAAAGAGCTCTCCAAGGTTGTCAGGGACAAGATTGTAGACCTACACAACGCTGAAATGGGCTACAAGACCATCGCCAAGCAGCTTGGTGAGAAGGTGACAACAGTTGGTGCGATTATTCGCAAATGGAAGAAACACAAAATAACTGTCAGTCTCCCTTGGCCTGGGGCTCCATGCAAGATATCACCTTGTGGAATTGCAATGATCATGAGAATGGTGAGGAATCAGCCCAGAACTACACGGGAGGATCTTGTCAATGATCTCAAGGCAGCTGGGACCATAGTCACCGTAACACACTACGCCGTGAAGGACTGAAATCCTGCAGCGCCTGCAAGGTCCCCCTGCTCAAGAAAGCACATATACAGGCCTGTCTGAAGTTTGCCAATGAACATCTGAATGATTCAGAGGAGAACTGGGTGAAAGTGTTGTGGTCAGATGAGACCAAAATCGAGCTCTTTGGCATCAACTCAACTCGCCGTGTTTGGAGGAAGAGGAATGCTGCCTATGACCCCAAGAACACCACCCCCACCATCAAACATGGAGGTGGAAACATTATGCTTTGGGCGTGTTTTTCTGCTAAGGGGACAGGACAACTTCACCGCATCAAAGGGACGATGGACGGGGCCATGTACCGTCAAATCTTGGGTGAGAACCTCCTTCCCTCAGCCAGGGCATTGAAAATGGGTTATGGATGGGTATTCCAGCATGACAATGACCCAAAACACACGGCCAAGGCAACAAAGGAGTGGCTCAAGAAGAAGCACATTAAGGTCCTGGAGTGGCCTAGCCAGTCTCCAGACCTTAATCCCATAGAAAATCTGTGGAGGGAGCTGAAGGTTCGAGTTGCCAAACGTCAGCCTCGAAACCGTAATGACTTGGAGAAGATCTGCAAAGAGGAATGGAACAAAATCCCTCCTGAGATGTATGCAAACCTGGTGGCCAACTACAAGAAACATCTGACCTCTGTGATTGCCAACAAGGGTTTTGCCACCAAGTACTAAGTCATGTTTTGCAGAGGGGTCAAATACTTATTTCCCTCATTAAAATGCAAATCAATTTATAAAATGTTGTTGTTATTCAATGTTCAAATAAACCTACCATTAAAATTATAGACTGATCATGTCTTTGTCAGTGTCACACCCTGGCTCTGGGACTCTATATGTTGAGCCAGGGTGTGTTCTTTCTGTTGTGTTTATTTCTATGTTGGCCAGAGTGACTCCCAATCAGAGGCAATGAGTGTCAGCTGTCGTTGGTTGTCTCTGATTGGGAGCCATATTTAAACTGTCTGTTTTCCCTTTGTGTTTGTGGGTTCTTGTTCCGTGTTGGTCATTGTTACCGTGGACTTCACGAGTCGTTTGTTGTTTTGTTGATTGTTGTTTCTATTATCACTAAAGATAATAAAGTTAACCATGTTCGTTCATCACGCTGCGCCTTGGTCTGTTCCCTACGACGATCGTGACAGAAGAACCCACCATAAAAGGACCAAGCAGCGTGTCCAGGGGCAGATCTTGGACTGGACATGGGAGGAAGCACCGGGAAAGGAGATGGAGAGGTTGGCGATGGCCCAGGTGGGCAAATCGTGGTCCTGGGAGGACATGCTCGGGGGCAAGGGACCTTGGGCTAGGATTAAGGCCCTGGCGAGAGAGGAGCAGCGGCGTCAGCAGTGTCATCGTCGGACGGACGAGAGGCAACCCAAAACATTTTTTAGGGGGGGCACACGGCATGGGCGGCTGGGCAGCAGGAGGCTGCCACAGGGCGATTTGGAGAGGAGGCCACCGGGTTAGGGGGGCCAGAAGGCAGGTTGGCGGAGCCTGGAAGGAGAGCGGAACCAACTTCCCGTACTCAGGCATGGCAGCATGGGACGGGGCAGGTTCCGTGGTATGCGGAGCGGCGTACTGTGCCACGAGTGGTCCGGCATAGTCCTGTACGTCCTGTGCGAGCACCCCGCACGTATCGTGCGAAGGGGGGTATGCAGCCAGGACGGAGTGTGCCGGCTCAACGCTCGTGGTCTCCAATGCCTCTCCGCGGTCCCGGATATCCTGCTCCAGTGTCACGTGCTGTTATGCCAGTACGGGTACACAGCCCTGTACGTCCTGTGCGGATGCCTCACACAGAGTGTGTGAGGGTAGGCATTCAGCCAGGACGGGTTGTGGCCGCTCTTCACTCCAGGTCTCCTATCCGTCTCCACAGCCCGGTTCGACCTGTCCCTGCTCCACGCACCAAGCCTACGGTGTGCGTCGCCAGCCCAGTCCGGCCTGTCCCTGCTCCTCGCACCAAGCCTACGGTGTGCGTCGCCAGCCCGGTCCGGCCTGTCCCTGCTCCACGCACCAAGCCTACGGTGTGCGTCGCCAGCCCGGTCCGGCCTGTCCCTGCTCCTCGCACCAAGCCTACGGTGTGCGTCGCCAGCCCAGTCCGGCCTGTCCCTGCTCCACGCACCAAGCCTACGGTGTGCGTCGCCAGCCCGGTCCGGCCTGTCCCTACTCCACGCACCAAGCCAGGGGTGCGAGTCGTCAGCCCGGTCCGGCCTGTTCCTGCTCCACGCACCAAGCCTACGGTGTGCGTCGCCAGCCCAGTCCGGCCTGTCCCTGCTCCTCGCACCAAGCCTACGGTGTGCGTCGCCAGCCCGGTCCGGCCTGTCCCTGCTCCACGCACCAAGCCTACGGTGTGCGTCGCCAGCCCGGTCCGGCCTGTCCCTGCTCCTCGCACCAAGCCTACGGTGTGCGTCGCCAGCCCAGTCCGGCCTGTCCCTGCTCCACGCACCAAGCCTACGGTGTGCGTCGCCAGCCCGGTCCGGCCTGTCCCTACTCCACGCACCAAGCCAGGGGTGCGAGTCGTCAGCCCGGTCCGGCCTGTTCCTGCTCCACGCACCAAGCCTACGGTGTGCGTCGCCAGCCCGGTCCGGCCTGTCCCTACTCCACGCACCAAGCCAGGGGTGCGAGTCGTCAGCCCGGTCCGGCCTGTTCCTACTCCACGCACCAAGCCAGGGGTGCGCGTCGCCAGCCCGGCCCGGCCTGTTCCTGCTACTCGCACTAAGCCAGGGGTGCGAGTCGTCAGCCTGGTAAGGCCCGTTCCTCCTCCACGCACCAAGCCAGGGGTGCGCGTCGTCAGCCTGGTAAGGCCCGTTCCTCCTCCACGCACCAAGCCAGGGGTGCGCGTCGTCAGTCCAGCACAACTCGTGCCTGGGTCACCGGTGCCTGGTAAGGTACCGGTCAACTGCTCCACGACGGAGCTGAAGCTAACCGCTCCTGCTGCGTCCAGTTCCGCTCCAGCCAGCGGGGCCAGACTGGACCAGGGGCGCTATGGGGGGTTTATTGGAGGGTGGTGGGCAAGGCCGGAGCCAGAACCGCCGCCGAGGAGGAATGCCCACCCAGCCCTCCCCTGTTTTGTTCAAGTTGAGGCGCGGTCGCAGTCCGCGCCTTTAGGGGGGGGTACTGTCACACCCTGGCTCTGGGACTCTATATGTTGAGCCAGGGTGTGTTCTTTCTGTTGTGTTTATTTCTATGTTGGCCAGAGTGACTCCCAATCAGAGGCAACGAGTGTCAGCTGTCGTTGGTTGTCTCTGATTGGGAGCCATATTTAAACTGTCTGTTTTCCCTTTGTGTTTGTGGGTTCTTGTTCCGTGTTGGTCATTGTTACCGTGGACTTCACGAGTCGTTTGTTGTTTTGTTGATTGTTGTTTCTATTATCACTAAAGATAATAAAGTTTAACCATGTTCGTTCATCACGCTGCGCCTTGGTCTATTCCTTACGACGATCGTGACAGTCAGTGGGCAGACGTACAAAATCAGCAGGGGATCAAATACTTTTTCCCCCTCACTGTAGTTACTGCCACGAGACAAGAACACATAGAAAGAACGTTGCCAAAAAACTGGAGACTCCCTCGAGCAATCTCACAAACTAGACAGACACGCAGACACACCACTTATCCTTCTCTCTCACACACAGACATACACACACACACGCCAATAAACCAAACCCATGTGATACGGGAATTGGGAAGGCACCTGTGCATACCTGCTCAACTTCGTTCTTAAACCACCTCTCAGTACATAGGGTAAATGTAATGTTAACGTTAGTATTCACGTCAAGACAGTTATACCATTTGGGTTTTTATTGCTTGTGAATCAGGGTTATTATGATAGGGCTGCAGTGGTAACAGTGCTACAGTAGACCAATCTGTTGGATGTTGTTGTACAGAAAGAACACCTCTGCATTTCGCTCTTTTCATCAATGTGCCTATTCGTTCATTGAGTCCAGATGTTGAGATGTTTGTGTGTCATTGAGAAACTACACAACTGATACACTTCAACAACAACATACCAATAGCGCCATCACCCTGCTCTGAGCTCAGACGCCCAATCTATGAACAGCATCAACAGGTTAGCCCACAAGAAACACTCACAAGCTCTGGAAAGAACATTGAATGGTTCACATACCGATTTATTGCAACTGGTGTGTGATTTAATATCTACACATAGACATGCACATGCATGCTCACACACAGACATATAAGTACTCAAAGTTATCTAAATTAGTCAGTACGCGGTAGAAACAGTTATTAAAAAGTGGAACATAGCCTGTTTGAACATCTTGTGTATACACCCGAATGTAAAATGGCAATTAGGTGGGGATAAAGGGACTGTACAGTCGTGGTCAAAAGTTGAGAATGACACAAATATAAATTTTCACTAAGTCTGCTGCCTCAGATTTTATGATGGCAATTTGCATATACTCCAGAATGTAATGAAGAGTGATCAGATGAATTGCAATTAATTGCAAAGTCCCATGAAAATGAACTTAATCCCCAAAAAACATTTCCACTGCATTTCAGCCCTGCCACAAAACGACCAGCTGCCATCATGTCAGTGATTCTCTCGTTAACACAGGTGAGAGTGTTACATTTTACATTTAAGTCATTTAGCAGACGCTCTTATCCAGAGCGACTTACAAATTGGTGCATTCACCCTATAGCCAGTGGGTTAACCACTTTACAAAAAAAATATTATTATTATTATTTATAATTTTTTTATTTATTTTTTTATTTTGGGGGGGGGGGGGGGGGGGGGGGGGGGTAGAAGGATTACTTCATCCTATCCCAGGTATTCCTTAAAGAGGTGGGGATTTCAAATGTCTCCGGAAGGTGGTGAGTGACTCCGCTGTCCTGGCGTCATGAGGGAGCTTGTTCCACCATTAGGGTGCCAGAGCAGCGAACAGTTTTGACTGGGCTGAGCGGGAACTATGCTTCCGCAGAGGAAGGGGAGCCAGCAGGCCAGAGGTGGATGAACGCAATGCCCTCGTTTGGGTGTAGGGACTGATCAGAGCCTGAAGGTACGGAGGTGCCGTTCCCCTCACTGCTCCATAGGCAAGCACCATGGTCTTGTAACGGATGCGAGCTTCAACTGGAAGCCAGTGGAGTGTGCGGAGGAGGGGGGTGACGTGAGAGAACTTGGGAAGGTTGAACACCAGATGGGCTGCGGCATTCTGGATGAGTTGTAGGGGTTTAATGGCACAGGCAGGGAGCCCAGCCAACAGCGAGTTGCAGTAATCCAGACGGGAGATGACAAGTGCCTGGATTACGACCTGTGCCGCTTCCTGTGTAAGGCAGGGTCGTACTCTCCGAATGTTGTAGAGCATGAACCTGCAGGATCGGGTCACCGCCTTGATGTTAGCGGAGAACGACAGGGTGTTGTCCAGGGTCACGCCAAGGCTCTTCGCACTCTGGGAGGAGGACACAATGGAGTTGTCAACCGTGATGGCGAGATCATGGAACGGGCAGTCCTTCCCCGGGAGGAAGAGCAGCTCCGTCTTGCCAGGGTTCAGCTTGAGGTGGTGATCCGTCATCCATACTGATATGTCGGCCAGACATGCAGAGATGCGATTCGCCACCTGGTTATCAGAAGGGGGAAGTGTTGACGAGGACAAGGCTGGAGATCACTCTGTCATGCTGATTAAGTTAGAATAACAGACTGGAAGCTTTAAAATGAGGGTGGTGCTTGAAATCATTGTTCTTCCTCTATTAACCATGGTTACCTGCAAGGAAACACGTGCCGTCATCATTGCTTTGCACAAAAAGGGCTTCACAGGCAAGGATATTGCTGCTAGTAAGATTGCACCTAAATTTAACATTTATCGGATCATCAAGAACGTCAAGGAGAGAGGTTTAATTGTTGTGAAGAAGGCTTCAGGGCGCCCAAGAAAGTCCAGCAAGCGCCAGGACCATCTCCTAAAGTTGATTCAGCTGCGGGATCGGGGCACCACCAGCGCAGAGCTTGCTCAGGAATGGCAGCAGGCAGGTGTGAATGCATCTGCATGCACAGTGAGGCAAAGACTTTTGGAGGATGGCCTGGTGTCAAGAAGGGCAGCGAGGAAGCCACTTCTCTCCAGAAAAAACATCAGGGACATACTGATATTCTGCAAAAGGTACAGGGATTGGACTGCTGAGGACTGGGGTAAAGTCGTTTTCTCTGATGAATCCCCTTTCCGATTGTTTGGGGCATCCGGAAAAAAGCTTGTCCGGAGAAGACAAGGTGAGCGCTATCATCAGTCCTGTGTCATGCCAACAGTAAAGCATCCTGAGACCATTCATGTGTGGGGTTGCTTCTCAGCCAAGGGAGTGGGCTCACTCACAATTTTGCCTAAGAACACAGCCATGAATAAAGAATGGTACCAACACATCCTCCGAGAGCAACTTCTCCCAACCATCCAAGAACAGTTTGGTGACGAACAATGCCTTTTCCAGCATGATGGAGCACCTTGCCATAAGGCAAAAGTGATAACTAAGTGGCTCGGGGAACAAAACATCGACATTTTGGTTCCATGGCCAAGAAACTCCCTAGACCTTAATCCCATTGAGAACTTGTGGTCGATCCTCAAGAGGCGGGTGGACAAACAAAAACCCACAAATTCTTTTAAACACCAAGCATTGATTATGCAAGAATGGGCTGCCATCAGTCAGGATGTGGCCCAGAAGTTAATTTACAGCATGCCAGGGCGGATTGCAGAGGTCTTGAAAAAGAAGGGTCAACACTGAAAATATTGACTCTTTGCATAAACGTAATGTAATTGTCAATAAAAGTTGGGACACCCCCAACTCTAATCACACAAGCCCAATGGTACGGAGTACTGAGAAAGTAAATCAAATCAAATTGTATTTGCCGAACACCTTACAGTGTGAAATGCTTACTTACAAGCCCTTAACCAACAATGCAGTTTTAAGAAGAAAAAAAAGTGTTAATAAAAAATTGACAAGTAAAAAATTAAAATAAAAAATAATTAAAGAGCAGCAGTAAAATAAAATAACAGTAGGAAGGCGATATACAACGGGTACCGGTACAGAGTCAATGTGTGGGGGCACAGGTTAGTTGAGGTAATTGAGGTAATATGTACATGTGGGTAGAGTAAAAGTGACTATGCATAGATAATAAACAGAATAGCAGCAGCGTAAAAGAGGGGGTGGGGTGAGGTGGGGGGGACAACGCAAATAGTCTGGGTAGCCATGATTATCTGTTCAGGAGTCTTATGGCTTGGTGGTAGAAGCTGTTAAGAAGCCTTTTGGACCTAGACTTGGCGATCCGGTACCACTTGCCGTGCGGTAGCAGAGAGAACAGTCTATGACTAGGGTGGCTGGAGTCTTTGACAATTTTTAGGGCTTCCTCTGACACCGCCTGGTATAGAGGTCCTGGATGGCAGGAAGCTTGGCCCTAGTCATGTACTGGGCCGTACGCACTACCCTCTGTAGTGCCTTGCAGTTGGAGGCCGAGCAGTTGCCATACAGGCAGTGATGCAACCAGTCAGGATGCTCTCGATGGTGCAGTTGTATAACTTTTTGAGGATCTGAGGACCCATGCCAAATCTTTTCAGTCTCCTGAGGGGGTCGTCGTCAAATGTTCCCCTCCAAGTTGCTATTAATAAAATACGAATACAAACATGAAAATATCTGTTTTGTACTTCATACCTTGTCCTGAACACACATGCTCACACATAACTACACATAGTCTCTCACAGTCAGAGAGCTGACTCTTTTGTCACTGGGGAATGCGATCCATGTTAACACGTGTGCTAAAACAAACAGTTAGTGAAGCCACATTGCCCTCTGCCATACCCACTGATCCTTGACTTGTGCATCTCGCCAGCAGAGCATGGGACTCCCTGGAAAAGTCCAGCAAAGTGTGTAATAAATACAGAGAGAAAGATGGGGGAGGAAAAGCGCAATCATGTTGTATTGACAAATGGAGGATTAGAATACTGGGGAGAGAAGAGAGAGGAATGGAGAGAGAGGGCATGCAAATCATGCAGTCCATTTGGGATTGTAGACGTACTACATACTGTACCAAGCCTGCAGAGAAGGAGCATAAGTAAATGCAATAAAGACACATAAAATGTTACCTGACAACTGTTAGGCCAGTACAGTACTGTTCGGTTCAGTACAAGTGTGGTTAAATCAGTATACAGTGCATTCAGAAAGTATTAAGACCCCTTCCCTTTTTCCAAATTTTGTTACGTTACATACTTATCCTAAAATTGATTGAAAAAAATAATAATCCTCATCAATCTACACACAATACCCCATAATGACAAAGCGAAAACAGGTTTTTATAAAAAAAAATTATAGAATGTATTAAAAATAAAAAACTGAAATACCTTATTTACATAAGTATTCAGACCCTTTGCTATGAGACTCGAAATTGAGTTCAGGTGCATACTGTTTTCATTGATCATCCTTGAGATGTTTCTACAACTTGACTGGAATCCACCTGTGGTAAATTCAATTGATTGGACATGATTTGGAAAGGCACACACCTGTCTATATAAGGTCCCAGAGTTGACAGTGCACGTCAGAGCAAAAACCAAGCCATGAGGTCGAAAGAATTGTCCGTAGAGCTCCGAGACAGGATTGTGTGGAGACACAGATCTGGGGAAGGGTACCAAAAAATGTCTGCAACATTGAAGGTCCCCAAGAACACAGTGGCCTCCATCATTCTTGAATGGAAGAAGTTTGGAACCACCAAGACACTTCCTAGAGCTGAGCAATCGGGGGAGAAGGGCCTTGGTCAGGGAGGTGACCAAGAACACGATGGTCACTCTGACAGAGCTTCAGAGTTCCTCTGTGGAGATGGGAGAAACATCCAGAAGGACAACCATCTCTGCAGCACTCCACCAATCAGGCTTTATGGTAGAGTGGCCAGACGGAAGCCACTTCTCAGTAAAAGGCACATGACAGCCCGCTTGGAGGTTGCCAAAAAGCACCTAAAGGACAAGAACAAGATTCTCTGGTCTGATGAAACCAAGATTAAACTATTTGGCCTGAATGCCAAGCGTCACGTCTGGAGGAAACCTGGCACCATCCCTAAGGTGAAGCATGGTGGTGGCAGCATCATGCTGTGGGGATGTTTTTCATCGGCAGGGACTGGGAGGGTAGTCAGGATCGAGGGAAAGATGAACGGAGCAAAGTACAAAGAGATCCTTGATGAAAACCTGCTTCAGAGTGCTCAGGACCTCAGACTGGGGTGAAGGTTCACCTTCCAACAGGACAACGACCCTAAGCACACAGTCAAGACAACGCAGGAGTGGCTTCGTGACAAGTCTCTCAATGTCCCAGCCAGAGCCGGGACTTGAACCCGATCAAACATCTCTGGAGATACCTGAAAATATGTGTTCAGCGATGCTCCCCACCCAACCTGACAGAGCTTGAGAGGATCTGCAGAGAAGAATGGGAGAAACTCCCCAAATACAGGTCTGCTAAGCTTTTAGCGTCATACCCAAGAAGACTCGAGGCTGTAATCGCTGCCAAAGGTGCTTCAACAAAGTACTGAGTAAAGGGTCTGAATACTTATGTAAATGTGATATTTCCGGTTTCCTGTTTTTGCTTTTTCATAATGGGGTATTGTGTGTAGATTGAAAAAACAATTTTTAATCAATTTTAGTATATGGCTGTAATGTAACAAAATGTGGAACAATTCAAGGGGTTTTAATACTTCCCAAATGCACTGTACTCAGCAGTGAAACCCCAAACATATTGACGATAATAGCACACTGCTCTTCGACCTTACAATCAATGTAAACATTTATGTGAGTTGATCAATGCCAGGAGTCATATGTCCAGATAATAGTTATGTAGGCCTTGAGCTTATGTATTGCATATGAATGCCTTTATAATAGTACATAAACAAGAAACAAAAGGTCAAACTCCATCCCCATTATAAAGCTGATCCATTCTGCTCATGGAGAAAAAGCTGGCATTAGAACAGTCCCATCTGTAAACTGATCCAGAAAGAAATGCATCCAAACCCGCCAAGCTGGTTCTATTTAACTGCACGGTGCAAACAGAGAGAGAGGGGATGTTATCTGCATATCATTACCATGACGAATAAAGTTTGTAATGGAAAACATCAGATCCATCATACAACTTTAGCTTATTTTTCCTTGAATGAAGACAAGAGCAGCAAGGAGAAATGCATCATGTGCTAGAGAACATGGGAAGGAGATGATGTCAAGAAAACCTCACATACTGTAACATAAGTCAAAGTAACGTGGGTTATTGTGGTTTCATGTATTTCCTTCACGTCTCTTAGAAAGAGATAATATACATCAGGTTTATGGCCCTACAGTGGGTTAGCCTTCTTTGCTTTCTGAAGTAGGGGATGTGATGGGTGGGGACTGCTGAGGAAGGAAGTGAGGTAATAAACGATATGTGTGAAGTATAATATAATATAATATAATATAATATGCCATTTAGCAGACGCTTTTATTCAAAGCGACTTACAGTCATGTGTGCATACATTTTTACGTATGGGTGGTCCCGGGGATCGAACCCACTACCCTGGTGTTACAAGCGCCATGCTCTACCAATTGAGCTACATAGAACATTTGAATTCACAATAGGTTTGTTTGTACTATGACACAAACCTCTTCTTCTCTCCATGAAAAGGAAAGGCTGGTATAGGAGAGCGTACACTTGAGCGATGGCAAACACACTCACATATACACACACCCTACTTTAGTTACTGCATATGACCTTGATATCAGCTTTATCTAAAAAAAACTTTTTTTGTTATTACAAGGTGGGGATCAGATATTTTGTGTTTGTTCTCAGGCTCATGCATGTTATGGCTATGTGGACACAGCAGTCAGATAGATTGTGAGGGCCACAGATAGTTACTGTAGGTAAAGGGTTGAACCTAAAAGCTGACCAGTGCCATCATAATCATATAATGGCAATTTTGGGGTAACACTTTGAAGTGAAAGTAAGGTGGTGCGGTCCGGTACGACGTCCTGGAAAAATAGATATTGGGGGTACGCCGTACCGGTAAAAACATGAGCCTATCACAATAATTAAAACAAAATGTCAAGAAAACTGTAGGCTATTATACAACTATTTATCATTACCGCATGAAAAATTAGCGAATGGTCTTGAAAACGGGTGGTATAGCCTACACTCCAAAATGGGATGTGGTTCGACGAGAACACTGACATTTTGCCAAGGCAGAGATGAGTGGCCGAGATACGCGGACAGCAGTGGATGCATAAATTCTGGCCTACACTCTTAGAAAAAAGGGTTCCAAAATGGTTCTTCGGCTGTCCCCATAGCAAAACCGTTTTTGGTTCCAGGTAGAACCGTTTTTGGTTTCAGAAGAAAAATACATGTTTAGAACTCATAATTGATCGCATGCTGCAAGAATGAATGCAATTAATTGATTATTGAATGTTATGATGGACACAGCTTTGTAGAACCAAAACATACACAGCCTCTGCTCAACAAACTCAAACTCGAGAACGAATCATTTGGGGGGCTGCAGTTCACAAATGACATTGTGCTTATCACCCTCACGGCAGTCAAGCAATGCATTCCGCCAAGAGTCCTTCACAATCGAGTCCGGTTGCGGCCACTACTACGTGCTTAGGCCTTACCGACTCAAATGAACTAAATGGGTCGAAAGATTTGTTCTTTTGACTGAACGAGTTGAAAAGATCAAAGTCAGTCAAAAGAGCCGAACTTCCCATCACTAAGGAACATGCGCACGTAGCTTAGTAAAGGAGCCCTTTGAAGTGATTATTTGACAAGCGCATGCACACATAGGAGGTCCCTTACCGGAAATGTATTCTACTTTCACCCCTGCTTATACTCATGTTATAACAATGTAACTACATAGTAACAACATTGTTACAATGCATAGACAAACAGATGCTGAAATGGAGACAGCAGGGTATGTTCAGCTTAGACATAAAACAGAATGTTTTACGTAGAGTTTTCCTGCTGTGTTTGAGGAGTTAAACGTTAACAGAGGAGAGGTCAGTGGTCACAGGCCTGTGCAGCCTAAATCACTAAAGGCATGCTGTTGTTGAGTTGTTACACTCCTCACTAGGCTGGATACATCAAACACACAGCCTGCAGGGAACGCTTCACCTCACCATCACAACACCACACACATCTGTCTCTTCTCTCTGGAATGGTCAGGAACACATCCCCATCCCTTTTGAGTTCTTACAATACCATACTGTATGTTAACATCATACAGCCTTTTGCTTATCTTTGCAATGCACAAGTTATGTACCTTTTGTGATGTACGTTGATAAGGTGATCAGGTTTTTACCTGATTGCATCTACTGTACTGTACATCAGGGATAAAATGTAATGTTGTTGTCAGTAGGGATTTAATACAAGCACTTCAGTCAGGGATACATTTTCTGGTAAGAATGCTTTTATTGCTTCCTGAAAATGTATCTTCTCTTTACTTAGAGAGGCTGACACCAACTAAACTCACCAGCTGGCTTACTGTGTTGTGTCTTGACCTCAAAACCACCCTTTCAAGCGATTCATGACAAAACTGAGGAGGAATAATTCTGCAGCTTTTGCATGTCTTAACTACCTGTGTTTTTTGTTTCCAATGGGAGGATTGCTTCAGGCTACTAAAATGACACTGACTAAAAGCTTTATTCACATTTTGGAAGCTCCTGCAGAGGAAAGGAGACACGTACTCCCCTGGATATGCCTTTGCATGTGCCTTCTTGAAATTGCAATATTAACTTGCTTTAAAATGTGTATGTCTGATATCATGTCCACATAACACATCTACTTCTACTGAAGTTCTTATAGAATGGATACTGTAGATACAGAGCAGTCATGAATGCAGCAGACCCTAAATTGGACCATAGTGTGGATCAGTTGTGTGTGGCGTGTTCCACATGCCAACAGTCCAGTATAATTATAGTGGGATTCACTTTTATGGGCATTGGAACGGCTCCAAGTCTGCTAGGAGCCAGATGTTTAGTATAACAACAGCTATACTAGTCATCCATGACTGAATGGTTCAACTCCCTTACTGACAAAAACCAATGCATTGGTGAGTCAATGTTCTGAATATTTTTTTAAGACTACCTTGCCTTTGCGCAACAAGTGTGCGTAAATGTTAAAAACGATATAAGTGTGTGTCACACAGAGCTCCCTAAGAGTGTGTGGGCTGGTCTGGGGTCGGTGAGTGGTAGGCTATACTTTGGGCTATAAATTGCCTACCTAACCTGTGCAGGTAAATGCCAATGACGTAGGTGACTATACGCCCCTCCCATGCAACCATGATTCATTTCAACTCAGAAAACAAAGAACGGAATTCCTGTAAACTAAATCAAGGTAAGCAAAGCAACTTGTCCAATTATATCATATAAAAACGCATAGCGCATAGGCAGGCCTATAATCAATCCGAATAACACAACGTTAGCAAAAAACAACCACATGATCAAAGTTGGCAGAACAAAATAGGCTATATCTTTATTTGTAAGTTAACTATATAAACTTTCAAAAGCTATTATATGTCAATAAGGTCTTAAGTGCGTTCCAGATAACAGTAGGCCTATACCTCGGACTGAAAAACTAAAAAACTAAAGTGCAATGTTATAACCTGTAGTTCTGGCCATTATACTTACCGAGCGATTCGACCGTCGTTTTTTAGATCCGCGCGTGAACATGTCGATTGTAAAAGAACAAGCGGCTTAGTTGTTTCCAAATAGTCCAGCAGGGTTTTTAAATAGGTAGATACATGAAGCATCTAAATTCACAGAACAACGTAAAATATGTTCCGATAAGCTGTGTCCCAAATACAGTACCAACTTGTACAAAGCCCCTCTTCTTGGAGTTTTACGCAGTCGACTTGCTGGAGTTTTCTGAAAATTACTGACGCAGACGTAAGCACGCTACACCTAGATGACTGCACTTATTGAGCACGGAAGCACACTGTACTGTAGTTCTAACTACGCGACACCCTTCCTCCTGCCCCTCTTGTCCCGGGCCCTGGTGGTATGCTCCTCAAGTTGAGGTTCCTCATCATCGCCCATCTGTTGCCAAATGTTCCATACAGAAAACACTCGGGCCATGAGATGAGTCAACTTTTTAAAGGTGGAGTGAACCAGGGGCATCATGCACCCCAAAAAACCTGAAGGGGCACAAAGTACATGAGGATGGCTGGTGGGTGGTCCTGAGGGGGGGCTAGGCCCTCGTCCATAATTTGGAGAATTTCGCATTTTACAAACACCCAAAACATATTTTTCCTGCAATCTACACTCTTAGAAAAAGGGTTCCAAAATGGTTATTCGGCTGTCCCCATAGGAGAACCCTTTTTGGTTTCATGTATAACCCGTTTGAGTTCCATGTAGAACCCTCTGTGGAAAGGGTTCTTCATGGAACCCAAAAGGGTTCTACCTGGATCCAGAAATAGTTCTTTAAAGGGTTTACCTATGGGGACAGCCAAATAACAATTTTAGGTTCTAGATAGCATCTTTTTTTCTAAGCATGTAGAGCCATAATTATTATGCATAATTCTATGTAAAAGATATGTATATTTTTCTGCATATCTAAGTATACCTCTTGAGCTGTCTGTATCCTCCTGACTGGTGGTTATTTTTTTTAAAGAAACTAAATATGCTTCTCTGCATCTCTGCTAAAATCTGGGTAAAAGATTTCAGTACATTTAGTTATTGCTTGCTTTTCTAAAGCAGGGGTCTTCAACCTTTTCTTGCCCAGAGGCCCAGGCAAACCAACGACCCCCATAATATGTTTGCAAAACATGTTTCTTTCCAATGGCAAGGACAAGTAATCAACATTTAAAAATGAATACATCTGGTAGATCGTTTTTTCCCATTATTTTGACCTGCCCACATTATAATTGGAAGAAGTGTTAACTCTAACACACTGTAGCCTATTAGCTAGAAAGGTAACTCTAAACTAGGGCTTTGGCGATTATGGAATTTGGGGTAATAATGAATTGTCATGCAAATTGTCATAATAGTGATTTTTGTTGAAAATTGTTTTGAGCTTGTAATGCATCTTTGAAAATTAGCTACGACATACCTAATAAATACAACACAGCTTTGGTGACACCCCTGTTTCATAAACGAACGGTTCTGACCGCATATAACTTATGGAAATGAAGCTTCTCCTCCCAACTTTATCCACTTCATGTAAAAATGAAGAACTGCTATTGGGAAAACTATATCTACTTGAATATTAAGTTGAATCCCCCCCTCTCCTAAAATTAATGTATTAAGACGATTATGACTAGTATTATACGATAATTGTGCCAGCCATACTCCAAACACATGTTCGCTAATAGCAGCTGTTTCGCTGGTTAAACAAAGGTTAGCAATGTGTTGACGAAAGTTAATGTCCAAGTCAAGAAAGCTTGCCAGCAGCCAGCATCACTTGCCGCGACTGGGACTCGGGGGTGCTTTTTCAAAGCTCCAATGAGTGTGATTTGCTAAATATTAGGAGTTGAGAAATACAGTTGACATCATTAGAAAAACGATATTCCCCTCTTTGTAATAAAACATTAGTTTAGTCTGTTGTTGCTAGCGATATTCATAAAAACATACAAATATACTAGGAATAGATAATTTAGTGGTGGATGCGATGACATTTTTGTGAAAATGTATTAATCATCTAAAAACATGGATTTTCTTCTAGCTGGGTACTCAGAATAGACCCTAGACAAACCATCAATCGCATCCCCTGACCAACCCAATCTCTCTGTTTCAACTTTGACCTAGTGTACAGCATCTTTACATGGAAAAGTTACTATTCACAGGAGTTCATGTTAGGCCTATATACAGTATACAGTATATATTTACATGAGCCAACTATGCCCATATGGAGGTCCTGTCAGGGGCCCCATTCCAACATACATTTTCCCTAATTAGCTTGTGACAAATATTTCTAGCATATTTTCTCACAATGATGAAACTAGGTATAAATGGAGGGCTTTATTCTAATGGGATTTAAAATCTCTGATGAAGTTTTTTGTCCAAATAATTGTCCAACGTGAATGTGATTTTTTGACGGCAATGACCAAACATTTTGGTATTAACGAACACCAGAGGAAGGAATCGGCGATAAGTTGCACAAAAAACGATATTATATTGGCCAGCATGCAAATGGTCAAAGAGGTGTAAGCCAGTAGAACTCCCAGCACTGTATGGGTCCTTGTTGGATCAGCTGAAGGGTTTGTTGGAGAATTTGGGAAAAGCAAACGGAGAACCAGATATATTTGTTTATGGTGGGAAAATCTTTATGATCTAACAAAAGGCCTACAAAGGGTCATGGGGTTTACAGAGGAGGATCAACCAAAGATAGCGAAAGGGCATTTGTTTATCTAGTTTCCTGAAAATCATACTAAATATGTTATTTAGATCAAGTCAAAATCTAAACAATTTATAGTAATTATTGATAGTATTTTGCAGCATTCCATTTAATTGCTATTATTAGGCCTATGTGTGAAGAAACAAATGAAGTACAGAATGAACCCTGGTCATGTTGAAAGGGCAGCTGCTTCCATCTAGTGGTAGCTTGAGAGAGAGCACTCAGATCCTTGAACTTGTGCATGCCACAAACCAGTATACAGTCGTGGTCAAACATTTTGAGAATGACACAAATACTTTCACAAAGTCTGCTGCCTCAGTTTTGATGATGGCAATATGCATATACTCCAGAATGTAATGAAGAGTGATCAGATGAATTGCAATTAATTGCAAAGTCCCATGAAAATGAACTTAATCCCCAAAAAACATTTCCACTGCATTTCAGCCCTGCCACAAAAGGACCAGCTGCCATCATGTCAGTGATTCTCTCGTTTACACAGGTGAGAGTGTTGACGAGGACAAGGTTGGAGATCACTCTGTCATGCTGATTGAGTTAGAATAACAGACTGGAAGCTTTAAAAGGAGGGTGGTGCTTGAAATCATTGTTTTTCCTCTGTTAACCATGGTTATCTGTAAGGAAACGTGTCGTCATCATTGCTTTGCACAAAAAGGGCTTCACAGGCAAGGATATTGCTGCTAGTAAGATTGCACCTAAATCAAACATTTATCGGATCATCAAGAACTTCAAGGAGAGAGGTTCAATTGTTGTGAAGAAGGCGCCAGGGCACCCAAGAAAGTCCAGCAAGCGCCAGGACCGTCTCCTAAAGTTCATTCAGCTGCGGGATCGGGGCACCACCAGTGCAGAGCTTGCTCAGGAATGGCAGCAGGCAGGTGTGAGTGCATCTGCACGCACAGTGAGGCGAAGATTTTTGGAGGATGGCCTGGTGTCAAGAAAGGCAGCAAAGAAGCCACTTCTCTCCAGGAAAAACATTAGGGACAGACTGATATTCTGCAAAAGGTACAGTGATTGGACTGCTGAGGACTGGGGTAAAGTCATTTTCTCTGATGAATCCCCTTTCCGATTGTTTGGGGCATCTGGAAAACATCTCCCAACCATCCAAGAACAGTTTGGTGACAACCAATGCCTTTTCCAGCATGATGGAGCACCTTGCCATAAGGCAAAAGTGATAACTAAGTGGCTCGGGGAACAAAACATCGACATTTTGGGTCCATGGCCAGGAAACTCCCCAGACCTTAATCCCATTGAGAACTTGTGGTCGATCCTCAAGAGGCAGGTGCACAAACAAAAACCCACAAATTCTGACAAACTCCAAGCATCGATTATGCAAGAATGGGCTGCCATCAGTCAGGATGTGGCCTAGAAGTTAACTGACAGCATGCCAGGGCGGATTGCAGAGGTCTTTAAAAAGAAGGGTCAACACTGCAAATATTGACTCTTTGCATAAACTTAATGTAATGGTCAATAAAAGCCTTTGACACTTATGGAATGCTTTTAATTATACTTCAGTATACCATAGTAACATCTGACAAAAATATCTCATAACACTGAAGCAGCGAACTTTGTGAAGACCAATACTTGTGTCATTCTCAAAACTTTTGACCACGACTGTACACAGTTGTTAGTACTTTGCCTGGCTACCCAGAATCCTTGCTCCAGCCAAACGCTACGCCACGCCAACGGAGGTATGTAGCAAACGACAGAACAGCAGAACAATTTAGTGTGAGTCGTCAGGCTAGTAAGGACTATGTATTTAACAACAATGTGATTATACAGTTATTAGAGAGGTTCATAATTCATTAGAGTAAAACAAATGGCTTTTATTGTGCAAAGCATTGTGAATGCCGCAATATTTCAAACACGCAAAAAGGATGAAACAAGAAATAAAAAATCCTGTTAGAAAAAAAAAATTGAGGCCAAATTATACCTTGAAAAAGTAATTTTATATTTCGGAGGTCAGGTAGCATTTATTAAAGCATATTAAAATTATAACATATGCATCCTGAAATGTCAACCACACAATTGATAAAATAACCTTCTCTGCTAATTAATTAAATTAATTGCTCATTCTAAATAAAAACAATTCTAAGAGTTTACTATAACTGCATACAAACGGTCAAAATCCCTTAACAATGGTGCACTAACTGAGGTAACCTTTCTCTTGTACAACATAAAATGTCATTAAAATATCTTCATTACCATTGGTTAAAAAACATACCAAAAAATGGTAAGAAACACACTTAACCTGAGTTAGATTTTTGAAAACCAGGATGATGAAAACATGTGTTTCCTTTAGCAAGAGTAGCCTACTAATGAGAAGTTCTTTGGTGGCAAAGGAACATCTAACCTTACTATGAGGGCAGAATGAATGGTGGTCAGTCGGCCTAACAGTGCTGGGTGAGTAGAGAGGCAAAATAACAACCAATACAATTAAGGCACTACAAATGGTGTATTAAAGGCACTGTTTGAGAGAGGAGCTCTATGTGTAGTATGCATTACTGTACAAGTAGCACTATGCACTGAGTGTACAAAACATTACGAACACCTGCTCTTTCCATGACATAGACTGACCAGGTGAATCCAGGGGAAAGCTATGATCCCTTATTGATGTAACTTGTTAAATCCACTTCATCAGTGTAGATGAAGGGTAGGAGACAGGTTTAAGAAGGATTTATAATTGAGACAATTGAGACATGGATTGTTTATGTGTGCCATTCAGAGTGTGAATGGGCAAGACAAAATATTTAAATGCCTTTGAACGGGGTATGGTAGTAGATGCCAGGTGCACCGGTTTAAGTGTGTCAAGAACTGCAACGCTGCTGGGTTTTTCATGCTCAACAGTTTCCTGTGTGTATCAAGAATGGTCCACCACCCAAAGGACATCCAGCCAATGTGACACAACTGTGGGAAGCATTGGAGTCAACATGGGGCCAGCATCCCTGTGGAACGCTTTCGACACCTTGTAGAGTCCATGCACCGACAAATTGAGGCAGTTCTGAGGGCAAAAGGGGGTGCAATGAAATATTAGGAAGGTGTTCCTAATGTTTTGTACACTCAGTGTAGGTAGCAAAATCACTGGTCACAAGGAGAACATTGACTAAGTGCCGGCTAAATTTGACCAGCACAATTTGAATATATTAGTGATAATACGGAGAGGGCTATGCCGCTGAGGTGAAATGTTGATGACGCAGAAAGATAGAATGCCGTTTGTAGTAATTTGTACCAAAACTGCAAAGGTAAACAGCTGATGTTACATTATGATGTTATATTAATCTGAGCACCTCTATGAATGTAATGCTACAATCTCATTACTAATACAAACCAACCTTTTAGTAGTGGATGTAATACAAACAACAGACATCTTTTGACACATTAATTAATTAGATCAGAAAACAAATGATGTATGAAAACTGACCAAGGCTTTTCACCTCCTTGTGCTGCATAATATTTACATCTTTCCCTTTTCGGTAGATGGTAGAATTGTACACCGAGACTGGAATAATGCTTCTCAAGGGAATCCCTCCTGAAATTGACATGATTCTTTTGAACATGCAGATCTCAATGCAGTGTAACATTCTCCTCTGGGTCAGCTATAGATGTACTGTAGATGTTTCTCTCTTCTGACCCTAACATTGGTTAATTTCTGCTATTAATCTCTTCGTTTGAGCATCAAACTTCCTTCCAACCTGCTCCACTTCTTTCTCTCTTCATTGTCGACTCCTCCTGCACAAACTTCATTTTTCTTTCACTGGCTAAATTGGGGTATAGCTTTGAGTGCTTAAACTCTGTCGTCTGTAAACAAAGCAGGGAATAGAACAAATACAATTAGGTGAGAAAATGTCAGTCAGAACTGTAGTTGGGTCGTTCCACGAAATGAGTGACTTCTGAGTCCCTTTGATATTTTAAGTAAAAACTGTGCACCAATATTGCATTTTAAAAGCCTGTATTATTCAATGAAGTGCTCTTTAATATAGACCACATGGATAATTCAATAAATCTGAATAAAGCCTTGCTAAAGTGCCAATATTCAGCAACGTGGTTTAGGTTGGCACCCTCTGTGACTTTTAGGAAGATTTTAATCCACTTAACCCCAACATTTCTCCAAGTTTCCACCATCATTGTAAAGCCCTAGTTATTTTGTTGCTTTGACAAAGTCATTTCTGAAGATGATTATTTATTTAATGTGATTAGTGATTCATTTACGTCTGTCCCTCATTTTAAGGTCAACCCTGTTATGTTAACTTAACTCTACTCTTTTTGTCAATTTTCTGGTGTTTTGTGGTGGAAATCTGAGCGGGTCAAGCATAACACATCCACCCTGTTACCCATATATAGACAGGATAGAAATGTAAAAAAATAAATAAAAATAAATGTGAAGCTTGCATTGCCCCTCCCTGTTTCACACAACAAGCTTCCATTTCCCCTGTCAAAAGGAGATTTATGGCTGATTTTAAGATGAAATTGTAAACCCTGTTACGGTCACCCCTGTTACTTTATTTGGCAGTTAATAGGCACTTACTACAGTCATTTTTATTGATTTAACCTTTTGCGTGTTTTTTATGAAGTTGAACATGTGCTCTTTATGACAGAATGTTAAAATTAGGTGAAATCAAAGTTTTTTTATTTTTTATTACCAAATTACTCTTCTCAAAAGGCACCGAATTCTTGGAACGACCCAGTTCATAGCAAAGCTGCAGCCTTATCTAAATCACCCACCAGTGGACGCTGCTGTGTGCTGCCTGGTGCTCTTGAGAACCAGAAAGATGGTGTAGGCATCATAGGCAAACAGGATCCCAGCCAGCAGGCCAAACACCTAAGGGAATGGAATAACTTTTAATCTAAACGTAATCTAAGCGCCAAGTTCTACTTTTCAGTGATTACTTGGTCTGAAGTATTGGAGAGCTGAAGAACTAGGCAATTTGAGATGCTCTAGTTTGTTTCTATTAAAAATCTCAGGGTGGTTAGACATTTTACTCACCCCTCCTGCAATACGGGCGCCGTCCCCTGCTCCACCAATCACACAGATCAGAGAGGTGATAAGGTACAGGGCTGCACCAATAGTAGCACGGATAAAATCCTGAGAGGAGGAGACCAACATTAGTGAATGATTGTCCTATAGGCGCTTGGAAAGTCCTCGTGTCACTGTTTGTTTTTATGAATGTATCTTTAATTTGTGTGCTTCTCTTTCTCTCTCTCTGTGTGTGTATGTGTGTGTGTGTCTCTAAGTATGTGTGTCTAGGTGTGTGTGTGTGCGTTTGTGTAAACATATATACTGTACTCACACTCCAGACCCAGTTGACCACATGGAAGGACTTGTCCATTTCCATCATGAAGACACCAAAGAAGATGATGGCGAACACCATCTCACAGATGGCCACGGCAGAATAACCTCCATACAATGACGCAGCATAGCAGATTAGGATGATAAAACTGATGAGCTGAAAGAAAAGGACAGAAAATTAATTTTGGGAAAAGGTAGAGTGAGAGAAAGAGGAGAAAAAAACAGCCTGCATGAAAATATTCAGTGTAAAATGTTAATAAAGATACTTAGAAAATGCTAAATCTGTAGGGCAAAAATTGGTTTTTGTTCAATGAATCTGTAGCCTAATTGCTTGAACTTGGGATGTTGTTCATAGCATTTCCTTTTTAGGAAATGACTGCTACGTATCCCAGAATCCTTGGGGAACGTCTCGCTGTAGTTTACAACAAACTAACAATTAGGCTCCAAATTCCTCCCTTTCCTTTGAATTAGCAGTTCAGGTTGAATGACGTGATTAAAACTCATCCCAGACAGCAGATCAGCAGTGATAGCAACAGTCATCTCAGAGTCATTTCCAACACATGAAGGCGGTATGACGGTTGACTTAAGACCATATTTTATCCATGATAGCCTTCTACTCCAAGACCCAGTCTGAGTGAGACCAGGGGGCAGCACTGTCAAATGGGCAGACACCCTAACTGCCATGTCACACACTAACACTAGCATCTCACACCTCAAACAGGACACAATATACACAGCCTATATGGGGTTAAAGACCCTGTGGTGACGCAACAAAGTACACAAACAACAGAGGCTGTCACAAAACACACACAACAACAACAAACATAGTAGCCAACATAGCCAATCAGTTTAGAAGCATATATCACACTGAGTAAGACCCCCAGTGTTGGGATTGATCATTTTTATCCTAAACATTTGGATGTATTTCTTTAACATGTTGCTTTAATTTTATCTACAGAGGGGTCTGTACCAAGTCAAGAATGAATTTTTCCATCAGATAAAAAAATTCAGCTGGCATTCCCTTCAGTCCATTCCAGTGAAATAGGGTCAGTGTGGAGAGCACATAAACTTGGACAGCCCACAGTGTAGCAGCAACACCAGCCCTTACTGAATCTCTCTATTGTAGCTGCTGTTGAGTTAGGATTCTGGGTGGGTAGATGTATTTAAATACAACCACAGGCAGGTTTTGAAAGAATGGTCACGTTTCATGGTGTCACATGACATCACAAAGCCTTTGTGAGGATGACAAAGATGTTACTAACTTAGATGTTCAGGGAAGATATTGGAGTTTGTCAACTTTGCTTGCAATTGCATAGCTACCCTTTTTTCATTAATGTGAGGGATACTGCATGATTTGGTATGTATCATTTACAAAATGATACATGTAAAGAGGGTAGGTTAGATTATTTGGGCCTTAGTCTTTTAATCAAACACTGTGTAAAAAAATTTTAATGTAAAAACAAATCAAATTCATGCTGCCAAATCACCTCAACTACAATCCATTGTGTAGCACCAAGGAATATGTCATGAGTTGGCCACAGAGCAGTAAGCAAAGCTAGGGCAAACCCAGTGAAAAGCGTGGTAGTAGCCTACAGATGATGCAATAAACTGCCCCCCCCCCCCCCCCCCCCCCACACGCATCAGTGCTTCATGTGTTCCAGAGACTGGCACGAGCTGCCTCTGTGCACTTATGGGGTGGCCGGGGCGAGGGGCCTACACAATGAGGCTCTATTCTATTCTGGCCTCAGCCGGCTGCTCGAAGGGGAACCGGCTAATGAAGAGGCCTTCACACGGAGAAACACCCACTATCCAAAAGCCCTTCACAACAAAAAAGGGCCTGCGATGTTGACACCTCACTGTTACACCACAGGAAAAACTGCTCAGTTTCTGACCAGACTGAAGACCCAGATGGAATTACATTTACATTTTAGTCATTTAGCAGACGCTCTTATCCAGAGCGACTTACAGTTAGTGAGTGCATACATTTTTTATTTTTTTCATACTGGCCCCCCGTGGGAATCGAACCCACAACCCTGGCGTTGCAAATGCCATGCTCTACCAACTGAGCTACATCCCTGCTGGCCATTCCCTCCCCTACCCTGGACGACGCTGGGCCAATTGTGCGCCGCCCCATGGGTCTCCCGGTCACGGCCAGCTACGACAGAGCCTGGATCAGAGAGGCTTGCATTGCCCCTCCCTGTTCTGATGTTCAGTCCTCCATACACTGACTATGGAAAATGACTAACATTTTGTCAATGACTACAGTCAATACATGAACAAACTAAAAACAGGAACAGAGTGGCAACCAAAAACAAAGAGAGATGTAAATATACACAATCTCTCTCACACACAAAGAAATGCCAGGAATAGTTAAACTGCTGTTTCAATGGAACTAGCTTTTCTGAATAGTATGGGGATGAGGCAAAATACAATTTCTAAGTACAGTTATAAGAACAGAACAAGCTACTGCAATGCCTGCATCACTCAGCTTACATGGAAGCGATTGCTCATTATCCAGGGAGAGTCACACTGACTGTGTTTCACTTTGACATTAGCTAGCTATCACAGAAGCATGTTCAAAAACAATGAACCACTGAACTAATTAATGGTTTGCGCTACAAAAGTAAAAAGCATATCAAACATTCTTCGTCCCAATGAAGTTTCCATGTGAGAATTGCCAGAACAATCTGAGATACCAAAAATATTTTCGGCCTATGCTGGCATGGAATCGCCCTTTTGGAGTATGGCTTCTATAGGCCCATTTAAGTTCAGAAGCAATGTACCATAGTGTCAGAGTGTCAATCTTATACAGTACATGGGGTTACTATGAAACATTGGGCGAGAAAATTAGAGAATGAGTATTTCCCAACTGATTAATGATGGTAGGAGTTGTCTTCCTGTGTATCTCACATCACATGATCCTTCTCTCCCTGCTGGAGTATTCTTTGCTCTGTATGAACTACAGTATGTAAACTGTCTGAGACACCTACTATCTCTCGTCCTGTGACTTTCATACTTTCTCCCAGGCTGTTGTGATGTTCCACAGGGGGGTCATCCACCTGACCTGGGTCTCCAGTGAGGTGTGAAACTATCCTTGAATGCCAAGCCAGGTCATGTAGAGTTGCAAGCAAAGCGATTCCTGCATTCCTTGTCCCAGGCTGCAGGAACCTCACACATCCTCGGTAATTTCCATTACCTCTGCAAAGCACTGACTCTTAACGTGTGGTGAAACACTGACCTCCGGGATCTGAGTCTAGGAATTCCCTTGCTGGAATAAACTCTACAATTGAAGTGTTTCATTCCAAAACGCTATATACACTACATGACCAAAAGTATGTGGACACCTGCTCGTTGAACATCTCATTCCAAAATCATGGGCATTAATATGGAGTTGGTCCCCACTTTGCTGCTATAACAGCCTCCACTCTTCTGGGAAGGCTTTCCACTAGATGTTGGAACATTGCTGCGGGGACTTGCTTCTATTCAGCCACAAGAGCATTAGTGAGGTCGGGCACTGATGTTGGGCGATTAGGCCTGGCTCGCAGTCAGCATTCCAATTCATCCCAAAGGTGTTCATCCGCCAAACCCAGATTTGTCCGTCTGACTGCCAGATGGTGAAGCGTGATTCATCACTCTAGAGAACGCGTTTCCACTGCTCTAGAGTCCAATGGCGGTGAGCTTTACACCACTCCAGCCGACGCTTAGCATTGCGCATGGTGATCTTAGGCTTGTGTGCAGCTACTCGGCCATAGAAACCCATTTCATGAAGCTCCCGATCTTGTGCTGACGTTGCTTCCAGAGGCAGTTTGGAACTTGGTAGTGAGTGTTGTAAACGAGGACAAACGATTTGTACGCACTACGTGCTTCAGCACTAGATGTTTCCACTTCACTATAACAGCACTTACAGTTGACCGGGCCAGCTCTCGCAGGGCAGAAATTTGAAGAACGGATTTGTTGGAAAGGTGGCATCCTATGACGGTGCCGCATTGAAAGTCACTGAGCTCTTCAGTAAGGCCATTCTACCACCAATGTTTGTCTATGGAGATTACATTGCTGTGTGCTCGATTTTATACACCATTCAGCAATGGGTGTGGCTGAAATAGCTGAATCCACTAATTTGAAGGGGAGTCCACATACTTTTGTATATATAGTTTATCTATTTTCAGAAATGTTGGTAAATTAGCATTTATTGTTTAAATAACTTATGAAAGAGATTGGTGTGTTCTCACCACCTAATCATGGCATGGGGTTGTTCAATGATAGATTTCAAACAAATGCATGTCTATCACTTGATGGTTTCATTTCAGAGAGACAAATAATCATGTTTTGCTGCAAAATGCTATACAGTGAGGGAAAAAAGTATTTGATCCCCTGCTGATTTTGTACATTTGCCCACTGACAAAGACATGATCAGTCTATACTTTTAATGGTAGGTTTATTTGAACAGTGAGAAACAGAATAACAACAAAAAAATCCAGAAAAACGCATGTCAAAAATGTTATGAATTGATTTGCATTTTAATGAGGGAAATAAGTATTTGACCCCTCTGCAAAACATGACTTAGTACTTGGTGGCAAAACCCTTGTTGGCAATCACAAAGGTCAGACGTTTCTTGTAGTTGGCCACCAGGTTTGCACACATCTAAGGAGGGATTTTGTCCCACTCCTCTTTGCAGATCTTCTCCAAGTCATTAAGGTTTCGAGCCTGACGTTTGTCAACTCGAACCTTCAGCTCCCTCCACAGATTTTCTATGGGATTAAGGTCTGGAGACTGGCTAGGCCACTCCAGGACCTTAATGTGCTTCTTCTTGAGCCACTCCTTTGTTGCCTTGGCCATGTGTTTTGGGTCATTGTCATGCTGGAATACCCATCCACGACCCATTTTCAATGCCCTGGCGGAGGGAAGGAGGTTCTCACCCGAGATTTGATGGTATATGGCCCCGTCCATCGTCCCTTTGATGCAGTGAAGTTGTCCTGTCCCCTTAGCAGAAAAACACCCCCAAAGCATAATGTTTCCACCTCCATGTTTGACGGTTGGGATGGTGTTCTTGGGGTCATAGGCAGCATTCCTCCTCCTCCAAACAAGGCGAGTTGAGTTGTTGACAAAGACCTCGATTTTGGTCTCATCTGACCACAACACTTTCACCCAGTTCTCCTCTGAATCATTCAGATGTTCATTGGCAAACTTCAGACGGCCCTGTATATGTGCTTTCTTGAGCAAGGGGACCTTGCGGGCGCTGCAGGATTTCAGTCCTTCACGGCGTAGTGTGTTACCAATTGTTTTCTTGGTGACTATGGTCCCAGCTGCCTTGAGATCATTGACAAGATCCTCCCGTATAGTTCTGGGCTGATTCCTCACCGTTCTCATGATCATTGCAACTCCACGAGGTGAGATCTTGCATGGAGCCCCAGGCCGAGGGAGATTGACAGTTATTTTGTGTTTCTTCCATTTGCGAATAATCGCACCAACTGTTGTCACCTTCTCACCAAGCTGCTTGGCAATGGTCTTGTAGCCCATTCCAGCCTTGTGTAGGTCTACAATCTTGTCCCTGACATCCTTGGAGAGCTCTTTGGTCTTGGCCATGGTGGAGAGTTTGGAATCTGATTGATTGATTGCTTCTGTGGACAGGTGTCTTTTATATACAGTGGGGAAAATAAGTATTTAGTCAGCCACCAATTGTGCAAGTTCTCCCACTTAAAAAGATGAGAGAGGCTTGTAATTTTCATCATAGGTACACGTCAACTATGACAGACAAAATGAGAAGAAAAAAAATCAAGAAAATCACATTGTAGGATTTTTTATGAATTTATTTGCAAATTATGGTGGAAAATAAGTATTTGGTCAATAACAAAAGTTTCTCAATACTTTGTTATATACCCTTTGTTGGCAATGACACAGGTCAAATGTTTTCTGTAAGTCTTCACAAGGTTTTCACACACTGTTGCTGGTATTTTGGCCCATTCCTCCATGCAGATCTCCTCTAGAGCAGTGATGTTTTGGGGCTGTCGCTGGGCAACACGGACTTTCAACTCCCTCCAAAGATTTTCTATGGGGTTGAGATCTGGAGACTGGCTAGGCCACTCCAGGACCTTGAAATGCTTCTTACGAAGCCACTCCTTCGTTGCCCGGGCGGTGTGATTGGGATCATTGTCATGCTGAAAGACCCAGCCACGTTTCATCTTCAATGCCCTTGCTGATGGAAGGAGGTTTTCACTCAAAATCTCACGATACATGGCCCCATTCATTCTTTCCTTTACACGGATCAGTCGTCCTGGTCCCTTTGCAAAAAACAGCCCCAAAGCATGATGTTTCCACCCCCATGCTTCACAGTAGGTATGGTGTTCTTTGGATGCAACTCAGCATTCTTTGTCCTCCAAACACGACGAGTTGAGTTTTTACCAAAAAGTTCTATTTTGGTTTCATCTGACCATATGACATTCTCCCAATCCTCTTCTGGATCATCCAAATGCACTCTAGCAAACTTCAGACGGGCCTGGACATGTACTGGCTCAAGCAGGGGGCCACGTCTTGCACTGCAGGATTTGAGTCCCTGGCGGCGTAGTGTGTTACTGATGGTAGGCTTTGTTGTTACTTTGGTCCCAGCTCTCTGCAGGTCATTCACTAGGTCCCCCTGTGTGGTTCTGGGATTTTTGCTCACCGTTCTTGTGATCATTTTGACCCCACGGGGTGAGATCTTGCGTGGAGCCCCAGATCGAGGGAGATTATCAGTGGTCTTGTATGTCTTCCATTTCCTAATAATTGCTCCCACAGTTGATTTCTTCAAACCAAGCTGCTTACCTATTGCAGATTCAGTCTTCCCAGCCTGGTGCAGGTCTACAATTTTGTTTCTGGTGTCCTTTGACAGCTCTTTGGTATTGGCCATAGTGGAGTTTGGAGTGTGACTGTTTGAGGTTGTGGACAGGTGTCTTTTATACTGATAACAAGTTCAAACAGGTGCCATTAATACAGGTAACGAGTGGAGGACAGAGGAGCCTCTTAAAGAAGAAGTTACAGGTCTGTGAGAGCCAGAAATCTTGCTTGTTTGTAGGTGACCAAATACTTATTTTCCACCATAATTTGCAAATAAATTCATAAAAAATCCTACAATGTGATTTTCTGGATTTTTTTCTCTCAATTTGTCTGTCATAGTTGACGTGTACCTATGATGAAAATTACAGGCCTCTCTCATCTTTTTAAGTGGGAGAACTTGCACAATTGGTGGCTGACTAAATACTTTTTTTTCCCCACTGTAAGTAACAAACTGAGATTAGGAGCACTCCCTTTAAGAGTGTGCTCCTAATCTCAGCTCGTTACCTGTATAAAAGACACCTGGGAGCCAGAAATCTTTCTGATTGAGAGGGGGTCAAATATTTATTTCCCTCATTAAAATGCAAATCAATTTATAAAATTTTTGACGTGCGTTTTTCTGGATTTTTTTGTTGTTATTCTGTCTCTCACTGTTCAAATAAACCTAACATTAAAATTATAGACTGATCATTTCTTTGTCAATGGGCAAACGTACAAAATCAGCAGGGGATCAAATACTTTTTTCCCTCACTGTATATCCGCCTTACACAGTCAAATAACAACATTTTAAATAAAGAACTGTACAAATGATACCTTTGTGACATCAATATGTAACAATATTTTTGTAATGAATTAATACAGTAATATGAGATCTGTATGTAAAATATTGACACAGTTAGTCCATTCATTTTAAGATCGCTAGGTGAGACAACCACATAACAGTCAAATATACAGGATACAAACATTCCTTTCCAGCTAAACAATGGATATATAGTGTTTTGCAACAAAACCCATTTTAATGGAGATCTAAAATCTCTGAACTAAAAATCTGAGAACAGTAATATTTTACACACACATGAAGGTACCCATAAGCAATCATTTGTGAGGAAAAAACACAAATATGAAAAATTGGTGGATATAGCGTTTTGGAAAGAAACTCTTCCATTCTAGAACTAGAACTCGCTAGAATTCTATTCTGTTCTATTCTATGAGAAAGCTCAGTCGGTGAGTTACCACCTCTTTTAGAACAGAAAACCTATCATCCCCAATACTGCTTATCTTTACAAAAGGAGAGATTCATCAGTGCTGATTTCTTAGGGCAATGAAAACACTGAGCAACAAGATAGGCAATCAGTATGCATGCAGCAACTCCACCAGAGTAGTGGGATGGCCCTCTCCAATGCACTTACACATGGGTAACAAAGCCCCCAGAGGACACTTACTACCCTACAATACCCCTCATGGATGTAGATCACATAGAAGGGGTCTACTGTGTACAAAAACCCTACAGAGAAGCTGTATGACCTGCTTGAAGTTATTCATGTCTATTCCTGGAGTTCCTTTACATACGCTACCGTTCAAACGTTTGGGGTCACTTAGAAATGTCCTTGTTTTCCAAAGACAATCACTTTTTTTGTCCATTAAAATAACATCAAATTGATCAGAAATACAGTGTATACATTGTTAATGTTGTAAATGGCTATTGTAGCTGGAAACAACTGATTTTTTATGGAATATCTACATAGGCGTACAGAGGCCCATTATCAGCAAACATCAGTCCTGTGTTCCAATGGCACGTTGTGTTTGCTAATCCAAGTTTAATTATTTTAAAAGGCTAATTGATCATTAGAAAAACCTTTTGCAATTATGTTAGCACAGCTGAAAACTGTTGTGCTGATTAAAGAAACAATACAACTGGCCTTCTTGAGACTAGTTGAGTATCTGGAGCATCAGCAATTGTGGGTTCGATTACAGGCTCAAAATGGCCAGAAACAAAGAACTTTCTTCTGAAACTCGTCAGTCTATTCTTGTTCTGAGAAATGAAGGCTATTCCATGCGAGAAATTGCCAAGAAACTGAAGATCTCGTGCAACACTGTGTACTACTCCCTTCACAGAACAGCGCAAACTGGTTCTAACCAGAATAGAAAGAGGAGTGGGAGGCCCCGGTGCACAACTGAGCAAGAGGACAAATACATTAGTGTCTAGTTTGAGAAACAGACGCCTCACAGGTCCTCAACTGGCAGCTTCATTAAATAGTACTCGCAAAACACCAGTCTCAACGTCAACAGTGAAGAGGCGACTCAGGGATGCTGACCTAGGCAGAGTTGCAAAGAAAAAGTCCAGTGTCTGTGTTCTTATGCCCATCTTAATCTTTTATTTTTATTGGCCAGTCTGAGATATGGCTTTTTCTTTGCAACTCTGCCTAGAAGGTCAGCATCCCAGAGTCGCCTATTCACTGTTGACGTGAAGTAGAGGTAAAGAAAAACATGCGCAGAATGAGATTCGGATCTTCAGCTCTGGGGAAAAGTGATGCAGGGGGGCGGGGCAGCCTCGTCTTAATTTATAAAGTCAACCTCAATGTGACTTGGATTTAAAAGGAATATTGTCGAGACAGGTGCAAAAAATATGGTGGAAGGAAAAGCTCTCTAGCCCATATACTAATCCGATGCGTTTTAACTTTAGTAGTACATGTAAGAATCAAGTTAGCTACTTAGAGGTACCAGTCGAGGCATACCAGTCGAGGTATATCAAACCTTTTTTGATATACTCAGAAGACCGTTATTAGCATGTTTTAACCACTCCTATGTAAATCTGATTTATTTATTACTGAAACAGGATACAAGTGGAAAATATAAAGATCCAGTCCATTAAAAAATTGGAAGCCCCTTACACTTCAGTGTTGTGATGCAAAAATTCTAGCAAAATGTATAGCGCATAGAATTAAAAAGGTATTGTCGGACATTATTCATTCTAATCAGACTGTTTTTTTACATGGACGATACATTGGAGATAATATAAGGCAAGTACTGGAAACAATAGAACACTATGAAAAATCAGGGAAACCAGGCCTGCTATTCATAGCAGACTTTGAAAAGGCATTTGATAAAGTATGACGGGTTTATATATAAATGCCTGGAGCATTTCAATTTTGGAGAATCTCTTATAAAATGGGTTAAAATCATGTATAGTAACCCTAGGTGTAAAATAGTCAATAATGGCTATTTCTCCAAAAGTTTTAAACTGTCAAGAGGAGTGAAACAAGGTTGTACACTATTGGCATATCTATTTATTATGGCCATCGAAATGTTAGCTATTAAAATCAGAGCCAACAATAATATCAAGGGATTAGAAATCCAGGGCTTAAAAACAAAGGTGTCATTGTACACTGATGATTCATGTTTTCTTTTAAATCCACAACTTGAATCCCTCCACAGCCTCATAGAGGATCTAGATACATTTTCTAACCTCTCTGGATTACATCCAAATTATGATAAATGCACTATATTCCGTATTGGATCACAAAAAAATACAATTTTTACATTACCATGTAGTTTACCAATAAAATGGTCTGATGGTGATGTGGATGTACTCGGAATACATATCCCAAATGAAAAAAATGATCTCACTCCAATACATTTTAATAGAAAGTTTGCAAAAATAGATAAGATCTTGCTACCATGGAAAGGTAAATACCTGTCAATTTGTGGAAAAATCACCCTGATTAACTCTTTAGTATTATCCCAGTTGACCTATTTGCTTATGGTCTAGCCTACGCCTAGCGAACAGTTTTTTAAATTATATGAGAAAAAAATATTCCATTTTATTTGGAACGGCAAGCCAGACAAAATTAAACGGGCCTATTTATATAATGAATATGAATTCGGGGGACAGAAATGATTAAATATTAAAGCATTAGACCTATCACTAAAAGCTTCAGTAATACAAAAGTTATACTTAAATCCGAACTGGTTCTCTAGCAAATTAGTACGATTGTCTCACCCAATGTTCAAGAATGGCCTTTTTCCCTTTATTCAGATTACAACCTCTCACTTTCAGTTATTTGAAAAGGAAATAATCTCCCAAATATCACTATTTCTAAAACGAGCCATAGAAAGTTGGTTGCAATTTCAATTTAATCCTCCAGAAACGACAGAACAAATAATGAAACAAATATTGTGGTTAAACTCAAATATACTAATTGTTTTTAAAAGGTATAATCTTCGTAAATGATATCATAGGTAGGACTGGTGGAGTTATGTCGCACATGCAGCTAACAAAAACATATGTAAATGTCTGCTCTATCCAAAATTACAACCAAATAATTGCAGCATTACCACAAAAATGGAAGAGGAAAGTGGAAGGGGGAAAAAGTAAGAACATAATTGGTTAAAGAAAATTGTGATAAATATAAAAGTATACCAGTTTCATTTAAAGACCAAAGGATTGACAGCTGTCCCATATAGATTGCAAAATAGTCGGGAAGAGATTTTTGATGTACCGATTCCATGGCATAGTGTTAATGAACTGATACGCAAAACGACGCTGGATTCAAAACTTAGAATTTTTTTATTGAAATTATTATACAAAATTCTTGCTACCAATAGAATGTTATTTATATGGGGGATACAATCTTCCCAGCTTTGCAGATTTTGCTGCGAAGAGACAATCATTACATCATTTGTTTTGGTACTGTCCATTTGTAGCTTGTTTTTGGACACAGGTCCAGGAATGGCTAAAGGATTGCAATATTTACCTGGAGCTAACCCTGCAGATAGCACAACTGGGTGATCTGAAAAGTCATAGTCAATCGATCAATAATATAATAATGCTTTTAGCAAAAAAGTTTATTTTCAATTTACAATCTGTAGAAACAATGAGAATAGAAGGGTTCAGAACTTTTGTGAAACATCACAGTACAGTTGAAAAATATATGGCAAATAGAAATCCAATATGGATGGTGTTAAGAGATAGATGGGTGGTGTTGAATGGAGTTGAAGGATGGGACTAATAACAACTAACAACAACAAGATAACTAATGTAAAGCATACTGTGTCCATAATACAGTGGGGGGAAAAAGTATTTAGTCAGCCACCAATTGTGCAAGTTCTCCCACTTAAAAAGATGAGAGGTGCCTGTAATTCTCATCATAGGTACACGTACAGACAAATTGAGAGAAAAAAATCCAGGAAATCACATTGTAGGATTTTTAATGAATTTATTTGCAAATTATGGTGGAAAATAAGTATTTGGTCACCTACAAACAAGCAAGATTTCTGGCTCTCACAGACCTGTAACTTCTTCTTTAAGAGGCTCCTCTGTCCTCCACTCGTTACCTGTATTAATGGCACCTGTTTGAACTTGTTATCAGTATAAAAGACACCTGTCCACAACCTCAAACAGTCACACTCCAAACTCCACTATGGCCAAGACCAAAGAGCTGTCAAAGGACACCAGAAACAAAATTGTAGACCTGCACCAGGCTGGGAAGACTGAATCTGCAATAGGTAAGCAGCTTGGTTTGAAGAAATCAACTGTGGGAGCAATTATTAGGAAATGGAAGACATACAAGACCACTGATAATCTCCCTCGATCTGGGGCTCCACGCAAGATCTCACCCCGTGGGGTCAAAATGATCACAAGAACGGTGAGCAAAAATCCCAGAACCACACGGGGGGACCTAGTGAATGACCTACAGAGAGCTGGGACCAAAGTAACAAAGCCTACCATCAGTAACACACTACGCCGCCAGGGACTCAAATCCTGCAGTGCCAGACGTGTCCCCCTGCTTAAGCCAGTACATGTCCAGGCCCGTCTGAAGTTTGCTAGAGTGCATTTGGATGATCCAGAAGAGGATTGGGAGAATGTCATATGGTCAGATAAAAACTCAACTCGTCGTGTTTGGAGGACAAAGAATGCTGAGTTGCATCCATAGATGTGAAGCATGGGGGTGGAAACATCATGCTTTGGGGCTGTTTTTCTGCAAAGGGACCAGGACGACTGATCCGTGTAAAGGAAAGAATGAATGGGGCCATGTATCGTGAGATTTTGAGTGAAAACCTTCCATCAGCAAGGGCATTGAAGATGAAACGTGGCTGGGTCTTTCAGCATGACAATGACACACCGCCCGGGCAACGAAGGAGTGGCTTCGTAAGAAGCATTTCAAGGTCCTGGAGTGGCCTAGCCAGTCTCCAGATCTCAACCCCATAGAAAATCTTTGGAGGGAGTTGAAAGTCCATGTTGCCCAGCGACAGCCCCAAAACATCACTGCTCTAGAGGAGATCTGCATGGAGGAATGGGCCAAAATACCAGCAACAGTGTGTGAAAACCTTGTGAAGACTTACAGAAAACGGTTGACCTGTGTCATTGCCAACAAAGGGTATATAACAAAGTATTGAGAAACTTTTGTTATTGACCAAATACTTATTTTCCACCATAATTTGCAAATAAATTCATTAATAATCCTACAATGTGATTTTCTGGATTTCTTTTCTCATTTTGTCTGTCATAGTTGACGTGTACCTATGATGAAAATTACAGGCCTCTCTCATCTTTTTAAGTGGGAGAACTTGCACAATTGGTGGCTGACTAAATACTTTTTTCCCCCACTGTATGTATGTATATATATATATATATATATATATATATATATATATATATATATTATTATTATTTTTTTGCGAGAGAAAAAAACATATGGGGGATTGGAAGTGATGCAGACAATTACATTGATGGAAGTTACAATCTATCTGCAATATTAAAGCTGATCTACCCCCTAAAAAAAAAAAAAAAAAAAAAAAAAAGTTAGCTAACTAGACAATTTTTTCCCTGTTAGCTAGTGATAGCTAGTGATAGTGATGCATAAACTAGGCCTATTTGAAACATCATCATCTCCTGACCACATTTTTACCTGCCAAATTTAGTAGCATGAAAACCCCCCAAAAGCTTGAAAACCCCATTACATTATTTTTTTACTGAACATAATTCATGATCGTTTTTATGTTATTTTAGTTAGTTTTGGGGTCAAAGATAATCATTTCAGTATAGTTTTAGTTTTTTAGATGGGTTTGTTAATGATTTTATTTCTGTTTTTTATTTTTTTTAATCACGATTAGTTTTCGTTAATAATTTACTATAATAACCTTGCTACATAACGGAACATTAATGAGAGCAACATCAAAGAGAATGAGTTTTACACATTTACTGCCTACAGCTAGGTAGTAAATGTGTAAAGCTTCGGCATACCAACTCCTTATCAATCTTAAGGAGAGGTCGGTCATCATTTCATAATAATATAATATAATATGCCATTTAGCAGACGGTTTTATCCAAAGCGACTTACAGTCATGTGTGCATACATTTTTATGTACTTTATTTCATGACTAACTGTCACACATAATCATAACTATATCCTGTAGCATGTCACCCTATGTACACTCTGATTTTCAACCTAAACTGTCAGCATTTGACTGTTGGGTGCCAAATGAGGGGAGCTTCAAGCACACCACCACATTAGAAGTGACAGGTGGAAGCTCTTAACCCTTGGCCCACAAACCCAGCCCTTGGCCTGGCCCCTACCTCCAAGACCACATGGTTCTCATTCCAGGTCCAGTTCCTCTAAATCCACACAACTGGGTAAAATATTTTAAAAGGCCCCATTCATTATCATGCTATGATCAAATCATTGGAATACCATCATGGAAATACTCACAGATCTGTATTGCAGAAACAGCTGTAGGTAAATGAACTACACCTACATAGCCTATTCAGTTGTGATCTAAGATACATTTTTGTAAAGTAGTAGGTTTACTTATTGCTTAATATAGGCCTAAGCTAACGTCATGAATGCAAACCATGCAAACCTAAAGTAGTATGTAATCATAACAATGATATATTCGAGGAAATTATATTATATTTCTACAACAGACCTTTCATTCATAGTTTGGAAACTCCTAAATAGCAGTACGTTTAGGTTACAGCAGTAGTCTACTCTTTGTGTGAGGCTATAAGAGTAAATGGAAACAAACGTACTATTTCTGCAGCAAGAATAGTTCCTTTTCGGGTCTTCACGTAGCCCTTCAGCTTCTCCAGGCAGCCTGCAGCGACACTGGCCTCTGTATCAGCCATAACGAAATTAAATGTATAGTTTACCAGCTAATTATAACGGCTGAATATTGCAATGTTGCAGAACTCAACGAAGACACAAGTTTTCTTCTCTCCAATTTGCCACTCCTTCGAATCGGTCAGTAATGGCAACTTCCTTGATTTAGCAAAACTAGAGAACAAAATAGGAAGGAGGGAGTAAAGACGGGCAATGGGGCGTTGGCTTGAATTTTTCTCTAGAGATTTAGGTGGGGAAGGGTAAGGGGAGGGGGGGCTGTTGGCGCACAGAGGTGGGTTTGCTCCAACTGTTGATTCATAACTGTTTCTCTGTTTCTATGATTAATTTATGGAAGTTATTTATCGTTCATGAACATTATAGCCATCAGTAATATGTTTTCTCAAGTTCAGTGGGCAGAAACTAACCGAAAGCATTAGACCTATCCTATGCAGTTGTTGTGTGACAAGCCTCTATTTGCTTTGGCAACAGTGTCGACTATGTTCTTGACAACTAACTAGAACTGCCTACTGGTAGTCTGGTGCTGTTGGGCACATACGGGAAACACCTTCTTAGCGCGCAGCTTTCTCATCCAGAGGGTGTGAGCAGTTGTTTTTAAAGCAAACAAGATTGAGAACAGCTGCCCACGGCTATGCATGACACATGACCTTTTTGTAAAATGTGTTGTTTCATTTACTTTGCTCTATGCAGAATACAATAGAATATGAATAGAATAGAACAGAACTGTGTTGTTAATTGATTGTTCATTAGAGGGGCATTAAAGGGGCAATCTTAGTGGTGTAGTGGAGGGTATACGCAGGTATACGCCGTATACCCACTTATTTTTCAGTAGGCATTGCGCATACTCACTTAATCCCAACTGATACGTATCAAAGTAGTGTAGTGGACGTATACGCCATATCAATTACTAGGGCTGATGGAACAGATCAGAATGTTTCGCTTCAAATGTTGATAAACTATTATTTCTTCACATTTTAGGCGCAGCAATGTACACACGGCAGTAGGCGGTTTCATGGACAGAGATGGAAATATCCATTAGAAAGACGGGGGATTTAAAGATGCAACAACTATCATGGGTTGCTAATATGATAAGGATAATGCCTTTGGCTGCTAGCCAAGGAAAAAACGTTTAAAGAAAATCAATAGAACAAGAGAACACATATGAGTAAGTCTTTATAAAAATAATTGCAATGTAAGACATGAAGCAAGGTAAGACAAATAATTAAGGAACAGGAAAAATATAGAGATGCTAATGATAGGCCTAACCGTCTTCTGGTAGATGGAAAGGCTTTGCCAAAAACCTTCTCTATTAAATGTTAACTAGCTACAAAGTAGCCCATGCCTACCTGTCAGAATGATATTGTGGTGGTGACAGCAGTGCTGAGATGCTGTGTTGACAAGGAATCCGCTGACACTGTACTTGATTATAACTTTTATTACATCAAAGATTTCAGCATCAATTTACAGATTTCTGCAGAATCTGGAGAGCAACTAACCCAATCTCAAATATAATCACTCTCTCATCCCTTTGTTCAAACATGGTATATATCCTATGTAACACAAAATGGCGTGTTTTGAATAGACCAATCCCTGGCCTCCCCATATCCCCCTGTCCACTGTTTTAGGGGGGCCCTATAGTAACACTTTCCAGATGTTTCAGCACAGCAGAGCAAAGTTCATTTAACCAACAATATGAAAACCTCAGCCAAAGCTATAAATGTTCAGATACTACAATATCATGATGATTATTTGCATCAATCCAGTGGCCATTTATTTTGCAAACTACATCTCATGTGCTACAGAAACACTGCTAATCAAACAATAGTGCTAGATGCCTGCAAACTTGAATTAAAGGGTAACTACTGTCAAAAATCAAAATGTCTTAGAATTTTCCCAGACCTCGAATGTGGTCTCCTGACGTGGTTTAAGCATTGTTATGGACTTAGAACATACCATTTTGTTGTTGTTCTGTAAAAAAAAAAAAAAAGTGTGATGAATGAATGGCGCCAGAGAAGATGGCTGCCGTTTTACAGCCCTCTAACCAATTGTACTATTATGTGTGTTTTTTTTGCGTTATTTGTCATTTATTCTGCACATAATGTTTCTGCCACCGTCTCTTATGACCAAAAATAGCTTCTGGATATCAGGACAGCGATTACTCACCTCGTATTGGACAAATATTTTTTCTTCAACGAGTCAGACGCGAAGGATATCCTACAGACACCCAACAAGGCCCAAATCCCCGTCATTCGCATGAGAAAGAGACAGAGATATCGTGGACGTAGGTCGGGGTGCCTTGTAAGGATCCGACGGCGAGCGAGTAAACTGCCTCTTCCATCAATCCTATTAGCCAATGTTCAATCATTTGAAAATAAATTGGACGACCTAAAATTAAGGTTATCCTACCAACGGGACATTAAAAACTGTAATGTCTTATGTTTCACCGAGTCGTGGTTGAACGACGACATGGACAACAACTTAAATCCATTCTATCTAATTTCTACCAGCATGTTAAATGTGCAACCAGAGGAAAAAAACCTCTAGACCACCTTTACTCCACACACAGAGATGCGTACAAAGCTCTCCCTCACCCTCCATTTGGCAAATCTGACCATAACTCTATCCTCCTGATTCCTGCTTATAAGCAAAAACTAAAGCAGGAAGCACCAGTGACTCGGTTAATAAGGAAGTGGTCAGATTAACGCAGATGCTAAGCTACAGGACTGTTTTGCTAGCACAGACTGGAATATGTTCCGGGATTCTTCCGATAGCATTGAGGAGTACACCACATCAGTCACTGGCTTCATCAATAAGTGCATCAATGATGTCGTCCCCACAGGGACTGTACGTACATACCCCAACCAGAAGCCATGGATTACAGGAAACATCCGCACTGAGCTAAAGGGTAGAGCTGCCGCTTTCAAGGAGCGGGACTCTAACCCAGACACCTATAAGAAATCCCGCTATGCCCTCCGACGAACCATCAAACAGGCAAAGAGTCAATACATGACTAAGATTGAATCGTACTACACCGGCTCCGACGCTCGTCGGATGTGGCAGGTCTTGAAAACTATTACAGACTACAAAGGGAAGCACAGCCGTCAGCTACCCAGTGACACAAGCCTACCAGGAGAGCTAAATCACTTCTATGCTTGCTTCGAGGCAAGCAACACTGAAGCATGCATGAGAGCATCAGCTGTTCTGGATGACTATGTGATCACGCTCTCCGTAGCCGATGTGAGTAAGACTTTTAAGCAGGTCAACATTCACAAGGCCGCAAGGCCAGACGGATTACCAGGACGTGAACTCCGAGCATGCGCTGACCAACTGGCAAGTGTCTTCACTGACATTTTCAACATGTCCCTGACTGAGTCTGTAATACCAACATGTTTCAAGCAGACCACCATAGTCCCTGTGCCCAAGAACACTAAGATAACCTGCTTAAATGACTACCGACCCGTAGCACTCACGTCTGTAGCCATGAAGTGCTTTGAAAAGCTGGTCATGGCTCACATCAACACCATTATCCCAGAAACCCTAGACCCACTCCAATTTGCATACTGCCCCAACAGATCCACAGATGATGCAATCTCTATTGCACTCCACACTGCTCTTTCCCACCTGGACAAGAGGAACACCTACGTGAGAATGCTATTCATTGACTACAGCTCAGCGTTCAACACCATAGTGCCCTCAAAGCTCATCACTAAGCTAAAGACCCTGGGACTAAACACCTCCCTCTGCAACTGGATCCTGGACTTCCTGACGGGCTGCCCCCAGGTGGTAAGGGTAGGTAACAACACATCTGCCACGATGATCCTCAACACGGGGGCCCATCAGGGGTGCGTGCTCTGTCCCCTCCTGTACTCCCTGTTCACCCATGACTGCATGACCAGGCACGACTCCAACACCACCATTAAGTTTGCCGACGACACAACAGTGGTAGGCCTGATCACCGACAACGATGAGACAGCCTATAGGGAGGAGGTCAGAGACCTGGCCGTGTGGTGCCAGGATAACAACCTCTCCCTCAACGTGATCAAGACAAAGGAGATGATTGTGGACTACAGGAAAAAAAGGGGACTGAGCACGCTCCCATTCTCATCGACGGGGCTGTAGTGGAACAGGTTGAGAGCTTCAAGTTCCTTGGTGTCCACATCACCAACAAACTATCATGGTCCAAACACACCAAGACAGTCGTGAAGAGGGCACGACAAAGCCTATTCCCACTCAGGAGACTGAAAAGATTTGGCAAAAAGTTATACAGCTGCACCATCGAGAGCATCCTGACTGGTTGCATCACCGCCTGGTATGGCAACTGCTCGGCGTCCGACCGCAAGGCACTACAGAGGGTAGTGCGTACAGCCCAGTACATCACTGGGGCCAAGCTTCCTGCCATCCAGGACCTCTATACCAGGCGGTGTCAGAGGAAGGCCCTAAAAATTATCAAAGACTCCAGCCACCCTTGTCATAGACTGTTCTCTCTGCTACCGCACGTTAAGCGGTACCGGAGCGCCAAGTCTAGGTCCAAAAGGCTTCTTAACAGCTTCTACCCCCAAACCATAAGACTCCTGAACAGCTAATCATGGCTACCCGGACTATTTACATTGCCCCCCCCACCCCACCCCAACCCCCTCTTTTACGCTGCTGCTACTCTGTTTATTATTTATGCATAGTCACTTTAACTCTAACCACATGTACATATTACCTCGACTAACCGGTGCCCCCGCACATTGACTCTGTACCGCCTGTATATAGCTTCCCTACTGTTATTTTATTTTACTGCTGCTCTTAAATTATTTTATTTTAATATTTTTTACTTATCTATTTTTTACTTAACACGTTTAAAACATTTTTTTACTGCATTGCTGGTTAAGGGTGTCTACACCTGTTGTATTCGGCACATGTGGAAATAGAATTTGATTTGATTTGACATAGATTGCTGGAGAAATGTAACCACTCTCAAATTCATAGATGGGGCTATGGATGCAACGACTGACCATCCATG